AAGCTTGCCAAGCAACTGATTAAAGATATTGTAGCTGATTCTGTCAGATCCTTACCCAATGAAGCAAGTCAGGGATAGTCAACCTTTTTGGACCAGGAGGCACACTTTGAATTTTGAGTTATGTCACAAAATAGCTGCTGCCATGCAGGTGTGGCATAGCACAACAGAGAAAGTACAATCAAGGTGGAGCTTTTTCCATAACTGTATCTCCACATGAGCAAAGGATTAGCTTGTTGAAAATGAGACAGAATCAGGAAAAATACTTTAAAGGGGAGAGGAAAACTGCAGCTCTTTAAGGATTCCAATCACTTATCAACTGCAGCTCTGATTTTACTCACTGACCAAAACATGGACAGGTGGGAGCAGCCAGGATTACTCATTTCACAAAAATCATGTAGAATGTTAACTGCATATTCTGCTTCATAACTTACTTTCTAGGAGGGCTGGAGACTATGAGGCTTCTTTTAATGAAAGCTCAAAGTCCGGCCCCTGTCTAGGGTGCCAGTCTTTGTGGGTGCTATGCACCCACAAGTGATCGGTTGGTGAACTAAGTGGTTATGTTTCAATGATTTGCACAGTGCAATATTTCACCACAGGTGTTTTTTGAAGGGTCCTGAAAGTTGACAATTTCACTTAAAGTGTGAACCCTTAGAGTTTTAACAAATAAAAATTGCTGACCACTGATTATAGGAAGGAAAACTCTTATTTTTGCTTTTAACTAGTTTTAGAAGAAGTCAGTGCTCTAGTCCTGTTTGGGTTGCTTTGCATAGTATATGAATGCAGTGGTACCTCGGTTTACAAACAGCCCTGTTAACGAACACTTCAGACAGCGAACTCCGCAAAACCGGACGTAGGTGTTCCGGTTAGCTAACTTTGCCCCGGAAGCCGAATTGAAGCCGAACACCGGTGGTGAGAGGCCTCATTAGGGAACGCACACACCTCGGTTTAAGAACACTTTGGTTTAAGAACAGACCTCCAGAATGGATTAAGTTTGTAACCCGAGGTACCACTGCACCAGGAACATATCAGTACATCCTGTTCCCATAGTGGCGAAACAGCTGCCCATAGGAAATAGGCAAGCAGGATCTGAGCATGAGAGCCCCCTCTCTCGCCTCCTGTGGTTTCCAGCAACTGCTATTCGGAAGTGAGGTTGGCAGTGATGTGCTGCAAGGTGCACTGGATGCACATGGCTGGCTGCCTGTGGGCTGAAAAGTGGAGTGCATGGGATATTCAGCACACACTTGCCACAGCTCCCATTGGACATGCAAATTCCCTGCTACCATTGTTGCCAATGGGGTGAGAGCAAACTTCTGAGAAGATCTGTTGAGCAAAGTATATCTGGCTAGGCAATGTTATACCAAAATGCCCCTAGCAATATGAGAAGCCAGTTATGTGTGAATGGATAGCCTGCTGCACACTGAGTCCATTCACTGGAGCTGCAGTACATCACTGTGTGCTATGTGCAAAGAGCTGTTACACCCACCGAAGGGTTACTCTAGGTCAGGCATCCCCAACCTTTGGCCCTCCAGATGTTTTGGACTACAATTCCCATCATCCCTGTTAGCTAGGGATCATGGGAGTTGTAGGTCAAAACACTTGGAGGGCCGCAGGTTGGGGATGCCTGCTCTAGGTTGACCAGGCCACCCCTGGTTTGATCTTTGCTCCCACTTGCGGTGCTGCTTCCATATGCAACTCATAGGAGTGCATGGTAGTCATGAATTTACATGGGGAAAGTAAGAGAGTGTTCCATGGACCCCATTTATGTGCAGACGGGGGGGGGGGATAAATTGCCCTACCACCCTGATGACCCCCATCGTTTAGGACAGGCTTCCTCAACCTCGGTCCTCCAGTTGTTTTGAGACTACAATTCCCATCATCCCTGACCACTGGTCCTGCTAGCTATGGATCATGGGAGTTGTAGGCCAAAAAATATCTGGAGGGCCGAGGCAGAGGAAGCCTGGTTTAGGAAATCATCCTTTGTTGCCCTCAACTGCATCCTGGATTAGAGCACATTGTTTTTCTCTCAGAGATTGCAGGGACATGCCTTGAGAATAGAGGTGGACCCGATTTGCATAACTCTGCCCCTCCTCCACATATTCCTCTCCCTGGATTTTCTTGGTATGATGCTCCTGTGACAGAACGGTAAGAACTTCCTTCTCCATGGCTTATGACATACATTTTGATGTCCATTGTGATGTCTGGAAGGAAATGGTCATATCCCAATACTGTACCGTACAAGCTTAGTCTCTCAGAAAATCCCCTGGGCTCAGGTTCTACAAGTTCTACAGTGAAATAAGCTGTTGAACTCGCCTCCAGTTAGGTATTGAACTTGTATGAGCAGGACAGTAATTTTTATTGTTATTTTTGTGTTTGTTTGTTTTAATGTTTCTGTGGTCCAGCGCAAGCGGACCGTCCTGCAATTTCATGATATGCAGGGCCTTTCTCTTGACAGCCATGCCTGCAAGGACACACCTTGGGGAACAAACACTGCTTGCATCAACAAGTTCCAGCTCAGAAGCAGTTGCATCTCAACAAGGGGTTGGCTCTTGGAGACACACATATAAAAGCCCTCAGAGAGGATAGTATCAGGAGAGGAATCCCCTTATAAACAGCTGTGCATTTCATAACCCCACTACTTCCTTGCACTAGCTGCTCCTTCTCCTGCTGTTCATCAACCCTGGCCTGTCACAATGAATCAAAGAATCAATTTACCTCCTGACTCCCTCCATGCCTAGAATCATTTATGAGACGTCGCAGGGACCCCCGCGGCAAGCACTGCTGTAACAAATGGGGCCCCTTTCTCTTCACTTACCCCTTCTAATCCCTGCCTTGTTTCTCCTCCGTTCCCAGAGCGGTGGTAAGGAGAAGGATTCCCGGTTCCCAGGGGGGGAAACTAGGCGTTATTTCACCCTGGTCAAAGACCCAGTTTGGCACACGCCCATGTGCATTTGCGTATACACACACACACACACACACACAGGCTGAGAGCCTCAATGGCACTCCTCTGGAGTCTTCACTAGGGGCAAAACCCCCCAGCTAGCTCTCCTTCCTCCCCCCCCCGCCCCATAGCTACATCTCTCCTTGCCCCCTCCCCACATTTAGGCACTGGATGGATCACAGAAGTATTCTGACCTGGCCAGCAAGTTGGGGAGGTGACAGGTGCTTCCACCACCACCACCCCGCTTGTAATCTGTCCCCAGCTAGTCATCTGTCATGTGTTGCACCTGAGGTATTCCATCCATAGCTAGCATGGTTAATTTATACCATGCTCTATAAATTTGTCTATCTGTTAAAAACAACAACCTCCTTATGCTTGTGGCCATCACATTATCCTGATGTATTTTTAAGTAACTCAACTCAGTGGCAGGCTCTGTGAAAGGACTTTATCAATGGGAAGATGGGTTAATGCTGATGGGCAGAAGGTGGGTGAAGTGAAGGGTGAGAACAAGGGGACTGGATCTTCTCTACTCTAAGGCCACTAGTTGTCAATATCTCACCTCCATTTGCTACTGCAGATGCTAAGCCCTCTTGGTAGCAGCACCATGCTTCTAAGCATACTATTGGGACTAATCAAATGTTTACTACTAGTGGTGCATGCTATTAACTTACTACTGGGATTAATAATAATAATAATAATTTATTATTTGTACCCCACCCATCCGGCTGGGTTTCCCCAGCCACTCTGGGCGGCTTTCAACAAAGACCAAAAATACACTAAAATGTCATACATTAAAAACTTCCCTGAACAGGGCTGCCTTCAGATGTCTTCTGAATGTCAAGTAGTTATTTATCTCTTTGACATCTGATGGGAGGGCGTTCCACAGGGCAGGCACCACTACCGAAGGCCCTGTGCCTGGTTCCCTGTAACCTCACTTCTCACAATGAGGGAACCGCCAGAAGGTGCCTGGCACACTCCGGGAACTAATAAAATGTTTGCTAATAGTTGTGTAGGAAAATGGTAATGCATACTATTGGCACTAATTAAAAATGTTTACTAGTAGGATAAGATAGTAGTAGTACATCTATTAGTACATCTAGTATGTTATCTACAAACCTTGAGTCGCAATCTGGAGAAAAGGTAGAAACAACAACATACTACTGAGGCTAAGTATGTTAAAATGGTAGGGTAGGATGGTAGCAGTACAGTACATCTATTACCATACTACTGAAACTAAATAAAGGTTTAGTAGTAGCGTAGTAAACAGACTTAGCCTTTGTAGTATGTCATTTGCTGTAGAAAACATAACAGTAACAGAGAGTAGCAACTGAAGGAGATGACTGGATGACTACAAAGAATCATAGAATTTTAGAGTTGGAAGGGACCAGGAGGGTCATCTAGTCCAACCCCCCGCAATGCAGGAATCCTCTGCCCAACGTGGTGCTTGAACCTAGGACCCTGAGTTCCTCCACCGCCAAGGAGCCGTACTTACCGCACGCCATGCCTAGTGGTCAGTCCCTGGCCTCTTTGCCCATCTGCCTTTCTGACGTTTCTCTCCTGTGTTAAATAATAACATTATATCTGACAGCAGGCTCTCTAGAGGTGGGTGACTGGAAAAATGGACGACGTGGAGGTGGCGGGCCAGATTCTGCCTGGGCATATCCGTCAAGGCATGGGTAGGCAACCTAAGGCCCGTGGGCCGGATCCAGCCCAATCGCCTTCTAAATCTGGCCCGGGGACCGTCCAGGAATCAGCCTGTTTTTACATGAGTAGAATGTGTGCTTTTATTTAAAATGCACCTCTGGGTTATTTGTGGAGCATAGGAATTCGTTCGTCGTCGTCCCCCCCCCCATATGGTCCCCAAGGTCTGAGGGACGGTGGACCGGCCCCCTGCTGACAAAGTTTGCTGCCCGCTGCCTGAAGGGGCACGGAGCAGGGGCGTCTGTGGGCAGAAGGTTGGGCGAGAGCGGAGAGATGCTCGACGAGGGACATGCGGGACCGAGGGGGCTGTGCCCGGTGGGGGGGGGGGGCACGAAGCGCGGCCGAGACCGGGCGAGGCAGCAGGGGCGGGCGGCCCCGGCGGGCGGCTGGGCCCCGGCGCTCCGAGAGCGACTGGGGCGGGCTCGGAGTCGCCTCCCCTCGCCTCGCCCCCTCCCCGAAGTCATCCATATTTATCAGGCGCCGCGTCCCCCTCCCCTCCCTCTGGTAATCGGAGCGAAGGAGCGAGGCAGAGCAGACGGCGGACCAGCGCGCGCGCTTCTCCGCGGCAGAGACGGCGGCTCCTCCGGGAGGGGACCCCGGCTGACCCCCAGCGAAGCGGGGCAAGCCGCCCTCCCAGCACCGCGCCCCCCACGCCGCCGCCATGCCCCCCGGGGGTTGAATGGGGCGCAGCGAGCGGAGGGCACCCCCAGCCTCCCTGCCCAGGGCTATGCCAGGGTGGTGGGGGGGCCGGGAGAGCGAGCGCCCCGCGCCCCCCACCTGTAGGGTCCCCATGAGCTGACCCTCCTCCCGAATTGCGAGCCCCCCCCGGTGCCGCCCCCTCCCGCGGCCTCGCCATGGGATGTAACATGTGTGTGGTGGAGAAGCCTGAGGAACAATATAGGGTCATGCTGCAGGTAAGGGGGACCTCGCGGGGGGGGAGAGAAAGGGGGCGGGAAAGGAGAAGAGTTGGGGGTGGGGGGTGACCGGCGGGAAGCCCTTCGGGGAGGGGAATGGGGTAGCTTGCATATGGGGTAGGGCGGGGGCGGTAAGGGGGCGCGTTTGTGGTAGTTGTGGGGATAAAAAGGGGGCTGAGGCTCCGGGGGGTTGTCTGGGGACAAGGAAGGCTGGGCAAGGCTGGCGAGAGTTTCCAGGGGTTCCTGGATGGGGGGGTTCGGTGGGGCGGGGTGGGGTGACTATCCTGGACGTGAGAAAGAGCCCTTTGAACGTAAGGGAGGAGAAGGGGTGGGGAATGAGGGGAGGGGGCACTGGGGAAAGAGAAGGCGGCCTGGAATTATTGGAGGGGGGGCACATCAGGGGAGGAATCCCTGATTTTCTGGGGAGGCGGTTCTGTGGCATTGGAGGGGGGGTGATGCTGCAGTGGGGGAGGGGAGCAGGTAGGGGGAGGTTGCCTAGCAACTGGTCCTTCTCCAACTCCCCCCCCCCCATTTCCCCATGCCACACAGTGCCTGAAATAATGGGGAGGGGGCTTCTGTGAAAGAGAAGAAAGAGGAATTGGGAGGAATGGCAAAGGGCCGCTGAGGTGGAAGCAAAGGATGGGGAAGGGTCTGAGAGGGAATGGGACAGACTCACATGAAGCAGGCATTCATTCACCACCAGCCCCAGCCCCCCCCCATCCATCCATCCATTCATCTCCACTCACTTTCCATCCCTCAGTCCTTGTATGGTTCTGCATCTGCTTAACCCGCCTGCCCTTTCTCTGCCTGTTCAGGTATCTATTTTCAGACTCTCTCCCTTCTTTTTGTCTGCGTCAGCCCGTGTTCATTCATATCTTTCTTTTCTGCTCACTCTCTCCCCCACCTCCCCTCTCTACCCATTTATATATTCCATGCATCCTGGTCTCCCCCTCCCCTCCCCAGATTACAGGTACAAAGGCACCTTCCCACATCCCCAACTTGGTCCTGTCAGATCTGTTGGTTGAGGCTCTGGAACTCAGGACAACAGAGGAAGCCTTGAGGTAGAATGAAGGTGGTGTGTCTAGGCTCAGGAGTAGCCAACATGGTGCCCCCCAGATGCAATCTCTCTCCCCCCCCTCTTTCTGTGTGCGTGGACATCAGTATATTTGCCAGTGTGCATTGTACTGGCTATTGGATATAACTGTAGGTTTACATGTTCTTGTTTGCACAGTAAAGAGACAGTATATTTTCTTTTTGTCTTGCTTTTTAAATCTCTTCCCTTGGCGTTTATTCATAGACAGGCAGTGTACAAGTGGCAAATAAGCCTGCCATGTGTAGTGAGAGAAATGACCCCAAAGTTATGGTTTATGCTGTATAGGTGCTCATAACATCTTCGCCTACTATCCTGACACCCCTCCTACTTATATATATAGGCAATGCCATGTATATCTGCATCTTCAGTAATACATATATTTACATACACAGAGAAAGCATTCATGTTTGGGTCTTCTAGACAACGGCGTAATATTGTAAATGAGTCTTTCAGATATTGCAAATGGGTTGTTGGGAACAGGTTGATTTTTTTAAAGTACCAGATTTCTGGACCAAAGTGGGGAGGGAATTACCAGCTGGCATTTTGATGACAAAGACATCGTGGAGACATTGTGGAGAAAATGCATGCACGAGGAGCCCCCATCCCACATTAAACATCCATCTCTGGAAGCACCCATCCTTTCCTTTGGGCTGTTACTTGAACATTGCAACCAGTAATCTAGCAAAGAGGATCCTGTTGTGTTGTCTAAGAAAAATGGGAGGTGACTGCTTTAACTGTGTTTGCCTTCAAAGTTTCCTCTTCTTTTGAGCCATGTCAAATAAGTGCCTTCTTTTTGCCCTGGCAGTCTTTGTATTTAGTCTACCTGTGTGCAAGGTCTACTTTGAAGGGATGTGTGTGTTCTTTCATAATTCCAGTTCAGTTTTTAATAGTGGGAACCAGATTTCCTTCCAATAGGGAAGGTCAGATTAGCTAATGGTCTCATTATAATATTTTAAAGCAGGGATGAGGAACCTGTGGCCCTCCAGATGTTGCTGGACAACATCTTCTGTAATCCCTGATCCCTGGGCATCCTGGCTGGGGCTGATGGAAGACTGACAATATCTGGAGGACCAAAGGTTCCACTCCTCTGTTTTACAGAGAAGGGCCAATATTGTTATGAACTAAGCTTCTGGTTCCAAAACGTACTTATTATCAGACTGAGATAACCGGAAGTCATTCCTTTCTTTGTCTCTTTATAACAAAACTAACTGAGTGTGCATCACTATGTAAGAGGAATGGGGAGAGGCTGAGCCTTGTCACATGAGAGGTGCACAGGGGTTCTTGCTGTTTCCCACCCCATCTAACTTCATCAGAAGCCCTGTCTTTCAGGCTGAGTTTCCAACAAGTGGAGGGGAAAGACCTGGAGAACTGAGGCTTCTTCTCCACCTCTGCTTTGCATTGCCTCATCTCTTGGTCACTTTGGAGAATGGCCAGGGGCCATTTATTTACCTACCTGTCCTGCCCTTTATCACAAGTGATTCCAATACTAGCTACAATAATCTCTCTGTGTGTATATATATTTGTCCAGTTTAAATGGTTTTGAGTTTTCTTTGGTGGTATGCATGCTAATTCTTCCAAGCTAAGCTGTAAGCATAGTTATTAAAATTTATCAATAGCAGTTAAAGATTCATTTTGGAAATGAGGCTCTAGATTAAAATTTCTGCCATCAGGAACCTTTTCAGAAAACCTTTGCTGATTCATATTCTTATGGCTTCATTTACTAGAGTTTGCTTACATATTCAGTCTAGTGCACAGGAAATCAAGGAAGCTCAAAAGTAGAAATGCATTGACTAGACAGATTTTTGCTTATTTAGACAAGCAAATTTTAGAAAGTTGAAAGATTTTGGGGGGGTTGCTCCTGGCTGTGACAAATGTGGGTGATCAGAAATAATAAATAACAAGTTTCATGGAGAGCCAAGTAATAAGTTCTGAAATACAATATTAGCGTTAAATTGTGAATTAATAATGGCTGGTTTTTAAGGGTTGCTTCACGCATTCTTGTTTTAATGAAGACACTTTACCTATAGTAGCATATGCCATAGTTAATGGGTCAATTTCTCGCAGAAACTTAATTTATCACTTATAGATGAAACTTCCAAAGATCACCAACTAATGTGTCCAAGGATATGTCCAAGAACTTCATTGTGAAATATTCTTACGATTATGAGGAATTTCTAATGTCAAGTGACATTTGCCAGTTTTTATAACTTTCCATACTGTGTATGAGTAGACCATTCGTAAATGCTTTACAACTCTATCTTTGCCTTGTGAGGGAAGTGGTTGTTGTTCCTGTTTGACAAATGAGGGACAAAGGCTGTAGGATCGTGAGTAACTTACTCATGGCAAAGACAGATCTGGAACACAGGTTTTCCAGGTTCACCCTGGGCTCTGACAGCAGGCAAGATGCTTCTTACACTTTGGAGTCCTGGGATTTGGGAATTGTTCCTGTCAAGTTCACAGGTCATTTGTTCTCAAAGTGCTAAGAGTGATCTGTGGGGCCATTGTGAAGGGGTGTGTTTTGAGACCCTCTCTGCCTGGGTTGATTCCACAGTGCCTGTTCACCACCTGCTAACAGCAGCATCAAGTGTAAGACTTCACATGCATGTCTGAGCAATCACAAACCAAGTATCGCAGCCATGGAGCTTTCATAGCACCTTGTACACACGGCTTTTTCAGTGGAGCCAATTCACGTAGTTGTCTGAGTCACGAAACATTGAGTAATCAAGTGGCGAGCCGCCAATGGACATACAAACAGGAGAACTGACTTCTGGTTTCCATCCGCATTCCAGGGGTTGATGAAATAGAATTGTGATCTTCTCATGCTCCTCCCAATCAATACGGGACATCACAGGAGAACCTGTGGCCTGCCAGGTGTTGTTGGACTCCTATCAGCCCAAGACAACATGACCCATGGCCAGAGATTATGGGAGTTGTAATCTAACAACATCTGGAAGGCTGCTGGTTAGTTAATTCTGATCTTATTGATACTCCCTAGTTATAACCAGTGCTTTTTTTCAGTGCTTTTTTCAGGGGGTTCTCAAGGTTACCGGCATCTCTTGTTGTTGTTGTTGTTGCTGTTGTTGTTAAAAGTGTGGCACTTACTGTAACAACTGCACGGTCAGTACTGGCACCTATTTTTTCTAGGAAAAAAGCACTGGTTATAACAGACACGGGGGTGGGAGTGGGCTGTGGATCCATATTTCTCATTGGTTGATGGTGGCTACCTACTGGCCAGCAGGGCTACCCTGTTTTATCTACTTTTGCTCTATGTCACCTTCCTTGTGCATCTTTAAAGCACACAATATGATTTTCTTGTGCTTCTTACCCTCAGATCCGGGATGTGTGAGCTTCAGTAGCTTACTTAACTTGGGAGTTTATAGCCACAAGATGATGGCCAGCACTGGATTTGGGGTGGTACCAGTGGTTCTGCCGCACAGGATGCTGAACTGAGAGGGTTAATAATAATAATAATAATAATAATAATATCAATATCAAAATCATACGGGTACCTACTGAGAAGATCCATAAAAAGCAACTGTACCAAAAGGAATTATTGTGAAAATAACAAATTTTGTACACATTTTGGCCTCACTTGGGGCACCATGTTACCAAAGTCTACCCCTGATGGCTTTTTAAAAAGGAGGCTTTAAAAACAGGTTATTAGAAGAGAGGCCTAGCAAATGGTTATTAGCTATGATAGCGAAATGTTCAGTCAGTATATTTTTGAATGCCAGGAATCAATGAGCGATGTTGCTTTCACACTCTGCTTTTGAGTTTCTCGGAGGCATTAGCTTAGCTCCATTTGAAGACTCAGATAAGCCTCCTGTCACCATTCTGACTTCAGGAGACTCACTAGGACAACTTTTGTCTAGTATGATGGTTGTCTGTCTCTGGTAAAGGAATTTTTGCAAATACAAGGCTGACTGGTGATGTATTTTCCACAAAGGGCATACATATTGGTACTTGTGGCTTAAGAGTGTCATGGTCTGAGTAGAGGATTTAACTGCTTTATTGAGGATGTCACAGAGAACTTCTCTGAAGTTGTGGCATAAAGAGATGTGATAGAGAAATGCCTGGTGCATGGGTTCTCTGAGAAACTCAGTTGGATGAACACCTCATACAAAAAGACCAAAGACAACAATGAAATCACATGCAAACTAGGTTAGACACAAAAGACCAAGCACACCTGTAGAAATGCACGTAAAGCAGGTGAGATATAAACCTAGTGACATAAATACAGTATATGCCCTGTCTAATTATGAATAGTTACATAATCAGTGCCAGACACAAAGAGAAATGGACAAAACAGGGCATAGCTCCTTTTATCAGAAGTCGATGGGATGAAAATAGAACCATAAAAGTGTGTAAACACTGTTCCTCTTGCAATATTGGCTAAACTCTTCTGTGTCTCTGTGTGTGTACACATACACACATTGCTCACACCAAATAATTACTTTTCCAGACAGTTCCTTTGCAGACACTTTCTGTATGGACACCCACACACCAAGACCAGACAAAAACAGAGATCTAAATATAACACACAAACACACACCCCAATAGTAGTTACACATGCAAACAATGCCATATGTTCACAAAGTCACAACTGCTATGATTCCTGAGATTTCATAGGTGCTACTCACATACAGGGTTACATTTCTACACTCCAGACCCAACCACATTTCACACAAAAATAATTAAACGCCTTTTCACCACCACCCCTCGCTTGCACGCTCTCTGCTGCAGTGGGACAAGGCTGCGCATTCTAACGCTGGTCACTAGCCAGAGATTCTTGCAGAAAGGGGAATGGGGGAGCTTTTGGTCAGAGCTAGGAGGAATCATAAAATATAAGAAGCGCCCAAGGCTTCAGAGAATACATTAGAGAGAAGGCTCTCCAGGAGGCTTATAGAGTCGGGATCTGAAGGGAGGGGGAGAGGCGGGGAGAGTTGCTGGAAAGGCAGTTTGGGAAAGATGAAGAAGAAAAGAAACACACAAAGGGAAGCTGTGGGAACCATCTGCTGAAGGCCTGAGGCTGGATCTCATTCCAGACCTGCCTGCAGGAATGTGATTAGCATTTGTTATAAATTCCTGCAGGGTCTTCCTGAGGCAGAGAACATCTTCCTCATTCCCACCCACAGCCCCTCCCCAAACCACCAGTTTGGGGTCTTCGTTTCAAGCTTTAAAACATGCAGCCTCATTTCTCTACCTTATAGCCCTTTGGATTCCTCATCATCAGTTTACTGCTCCCGCCCCCCCTTCTCAGTTATTTTCCACTCCGGCCCACAGCTCTCCCTCTCCAGTTCTGGGGGATGACCCTCCATTTGAAGAGGCAATCCATCTGCTGTCCTGGTGGCTCCCCCCACCCCATATTTCATAGTGGAAGAGGAAATGGGAATTAATGATACCCTTGACTTTGAGGAGAGGGAGTGGGGAGGAGATTTGCTCGGCTTTTGATCCCCTTTCCCCATATTTTCCTTCTCCCCAGCTGCAGATGCCTGTATCAATCACTCTAGTTTCCATGGCAACTGCAGCTGCAGTGATGGAGAAAGAGAGGGAGACGCACACAAGACTGTGCAGCAAAAGGCAACGCAATACACAGAACTGCTCTGCACATTGTATGAGGGCACACACTGTACAATGACGCACCTACAGATGCATCAGCCCATGACGCATAATGAAGTGGTTCTTGTGTAGGTTCCCACAATAACTACAGTCTGTTGAGTTACGTGTTGAGTTACGTGCATGAGAGAGCATTGTGCATACAGGAAACGGGGCGTGTTGTCATGGACCTTTGGCGAGACAAAATGGACCACAAACTGCCAGGGTTTGTATTAGGTAAGGGTTTGACAGCCAGTATCAGATACTACCTAGTCCGGGGACAACCTGAATGACTATATTTCCCCTTCAGGTTCCCATCTGGAAAAGAGGAGTGATAAAATGGAGATTAAATAGATGTTTGAATGAGGGGTAGTGGAACATTTCATGATCTTTACGTACTTGTACTTGAGAGCATCAGGGATGTCTTGGGTATTTGCTTGTACTGAGGCAAATCACACAACTGTACAAGGGTGGTTTTTTTCTTCGGGTCTTTAATTATGTATCAGAAATTCAGCAGGTGAAATATTTCCTAAGCTTTAGACAGAAATGTTCAGAAATGATACACTGACTGAATTTCCTCTTATCTTGCTGCTGTTAAGAACTTAGGCACAATTCCAGAAATTTAAAAAGCTGGGAAGTATATCTAAAAGCATAGGTGATCCACTGTGCCATAGCCTTAGGGCTGCTCATGCTATTGCCACAATTATTCTATGAGCTGAAGTACTTGGGCTTAGCTACATAATCAGCTAACCTGGGATAGCAACCCTCTACTTTGTTTTGGCCTCTAACTTGCTTCTATAATTGGGGGCAAATCAGCAACTGAAGTGAGGTTAAAGGCAAGGATCAAGTCAAGAGCTCTGGAATCTCTTCCACCAGACATGCAAATGCTGAACAGAGTATAGAGTTCTCCGCAGACAAAATTTAACTGAGTGGTCCAAGATAGCAGGGATTCAAGTCCAAAATGCACCCTGGCATTCTTTGTCTATGTGTAAACAGAGACTTCTGCCTCAGGGGATAATGATAACCCTGTGACAACCTTTGAAGCAATCTCTGAATGTGTAAGCAAGTCCCTTATCTTATTTTACTGCCACTGCTGTAATGGCTTTTTTACATGATCAGTTATCCTGTGACAACATCCCCTGAAACAGACTCCAATTTGTTTACATGCTCATGAGGCTGACAGTCAGTAACCCCTGGCAAGATTGGGGCCCGTTGCCTCATCGCATGTCCTGGAACAAAGCATTTGTGTAAACCAGCAGTTTCAGCCTTCAAAAAGGCCCTCCCTGTGCACACACCTATCCTATAGGGTGGACAGATGACAGGGAACACAGAGTTCCTCCTGCTGCACCTTTAATAGATGTGCAGAAGAGGGAAATTTAGCAGGTATGACTTCCATCTTCCATTTTGTATAAAGGTGCAGGATCATTCTTCTCCTCTCTTCCATCTGGCCACCCTAGGTGATGGAGCCCTGAGGTCATGGAGCAGAGCAGGGGTAGCCAACATGGTGCCCTCCAGATACTGTTGGACTGCACCCTCCCACAATCTCTGGCCATGCTGGCGGAGGGGGATGGCAGTTTGGAGCACATCAGCATCTGGAGGGCACCACATTGGCAATCCCTGGTGTAGAGACTGTATCATTTCAAACTGTGTGTGTGTGTGTTGGGGGGGGTCCTTTTTTCCATATTCCCTCCACTGGGGGGTGGAATCCTTCCCACCCTCTCGCTTATCCCCTGCAGCACATCAGGGAGAAGAATTGCGTCCCAGTCTGCTCCTGCCTCGATTAGTTTTCTATTTGTAGGGAATTTCTTAGAGGGGAGTCTTTGAAATTTTGGTGTGCCGCCCCCCGCTGTGCTTGAAATCATTTACATTGGTACAAGTCATTCTCCCACTTCAGGATTTTGCTACCTTATTCTTACTTTGTACAAATTGGCCAGGCCTCAGATGGCTTGAAACAAATTCATGGAGGATAGATTGATTTATCTGCAAAGATTTATAGACCGTCTAATCCTAAAACTCTGTAAATGGTGTACACAAGTGGTGTATCAGTGATTGTCCACTGTGATTGCTAAACAGAAGCTCCATGAAAGAGCCACACCAGTGGTACAAATCTCAGGTTCAGTCCCTGCAAATAGGGCTGGGAATGGCCCTGGAGAGACGCTTCCTGTCAGTGCAGACAATACTGACTGGTCTGACTTGGTATTGGGCAGCTTCCTATGTTTCTGTCCATCTGAATACCAGTTGTTGGTAAACAAAGGAGCAGGTTTCCCCCAAGATGGCCTGCTGTTCGGCTCCAGCTAGGCTTCCAGCCAGATTTTGTGGCAGAATTTCCTTGCCATTTTTTTATCTCAGCACTTGGCTCTTGGTCCTTACTAGATTTTAGGCCTGGTTTGGTACCAGAATAGAAAAACGGGTACCTTTAAATGGCCCAAAGTGTTCAGGGAGGAGGTGTGGCAGGACAAAATATTTAATTCCTTAGGTGGGTAAACTCATACTGAGTAAGCAAGTGTCACTCCTGTTACAACAATCTTGAGGTTGCTTTTGCTGCCACAGACTTACAGGTAGGTAGTGTTAGAAACTCAGATATATGAGCCAACCGCCAAATGGCACGTTAATCAAAGGTTAGGGTTGCCACAATAGAATGTTTAGGCGCCATCTTTTTTTACAATGAAATTTATTATTATTATTACTATTCATTTTGTTTATATACACCTTTATATTTTAAAGAGAAAAATATCAAAGTGCTTTACAACAAATTAAAATATCAAATAAAGCAATCCAGAAGAAAACAAATTTAAGCTTCAAGGAAGATATTTCAGATCCTTCTCTAAGAGACATTTTGCTTTCCCCATATTTATTTACCTACCTAATTTATATAGCTGCCCCATAGCAGAAATACCCTAGGAAGCCAGTTTAGATTAGTGGTTAGAGTGTCAGACCAGGACCTGGGAGATCAGGGTTCAAATCCCCAGTCAGTCATGAAGCTCACTGGGTGACCTTGGGACAAATCACAGCCTCTGAACCTTCCTCACAGGGTCGTTGTAGGGATTAACCAAGGTGGGGGTGAACCATGTACTCCTTGGAGAAAAAAGGTCAGATATAAATGCAATAAATATTCTCTTCCGCTTACCTGCTTAAGAAAGCTGGAGAGGCCAGTCAGGTGGAGATGTCAGATCTCCACATGGTCACAGTTGGACCTCTGCCAGTAGCAAAACACACCTGGTGCCTGGGGGATTTCTGACACCGCTTACAGGGCTATCCCTCTGGAACCCCTGAGGTTAGAGTTGACAGAGGAACTTTACCAGAAGAGAAGTTGGCAGTCCTAGACATGAGTAGTAGGTGTGTCATATTTTCTGGAAGCACCCTGTGCCCTTAACAGCTGCATGGTAGACAACAAGTATTCAAGTTTAAATCTGGCCATTGTCTGGCATGAGAAGAGTGTGGCTTGGATCACTGAATGAGACATTCAGTAGGCAAACAAAATAGTTGTCGTTGTTTTAAGTATAGGATTTGGAGTGTGCAATTTGTATCACAGGGAATAGAGGTACGTTGATGGAGTTCTAATTGAACCCTTTCCCTGCAAGATTTTTATGTGCAAAAAATTGTGTTTATTTATTTTGCCAAAAAAGTATTCACTCAGATGAGTCCCCAGCTGCGGTCGTAAGTGGTTGTGGTATCTCACACAGATTTTCCATTTCAGTGAGAACTAGGCCTACCTCAGAGGGTTGTGGTATCAGGACAAAATGAAATAGCTTTCTATAAGCTGCACTGAGCTTCTCTGTGGAAGAGTTGACAGAGAAATATGTGACTTAAGATCAGTGCACCTGTCAACTAGGATGCCACTGATTCATAATATCCCTGGGGTGCCCTTGTTTTTGTTGGTTCTCTCCAGAATGATTGGAAACTCCCAATAAGGAGTTCATTCATTTCGTGTGTGTCTTTGCTGGTAATCAGTCCTTATGCCAGCAGTCAGCCAGGTTGGCCACTGGCTCTCATCCCTGGTGGCTGTCCACCATTTAAGTACGGTAACCTGAAATGTAATGCCTATAGATCTGTCGTCCAGGTAGGACTATACAGTACCTGCCCTGACTGGTAGTGGACATTCCAGTACTATGCCAAGGGTCCCTCAAAGTCTGGTACTAGCCCTGATAGTAATTATGCATAGGAAACAAAATCCTGATAGACAACCAAAGTATATTTTACGTGAATGAGAGGTCACTGGTCACCAATGGCTTCAAGTTACAAGAAAGGAGATTCCGACTAAACACCAGCAGTTTGGCAGTGAAGCAGACTCCCTCAGGAGGTTGTGGACTCTCCTCCATTGGAGATTTTAAAGCAGAGGTTGGGTGGCCATCTGTCAGGGATGCTTTGGCTGAGATTCCTGCATTGCAGGGGGTTGGACTAGATGACCCTCAGGGTCCCTTCCAGCTCCATGATTCTATGAAATGGGGGTGTGTGTCTCAAACTGCATGATCTCCCTCTCTCTCTGTGTGTGTATGTGTGTGCGTGCGTGTGTGTGTGTGTGAGAGAGAGAGAGAGAGAGAGAGTTTTCAAGCACACCTGGTGCACTGCACTACTTTGTAACGCTCAGTTTGAAAACTGACATTGTATTGTAGAATAATAAGGAGTTATAAAGGCCACAAGGCATTTCTCTTTTATCCTTATATTTAAAATAATTAAAGTACTTGTTGCTAGAATCTCTTTATCACAGCATGTTTGCAGTAAGCCCCTTGACATTCTACTTGTTTTATCCCACTAGCTGAATGGCTGGACCACCAATAATTTGCCATGTTGAAAGGTGGCAACGCTATTGTCAGCTGGGAGAAGGGAACTCATGTTTGTGCCAGTCTTACCATTAGAATGAAGCAGGTGCCCCAGGCAACAGAAGTTTGGGTATATATGCAGGGCAGCAATATCAGGTGGACCTGCCATTCTCTTCTGTCGGAGGATGGAGCTGTGTGTGAGCGCCAGCCACGTAGCCTGTCCTTCACCCCCTCAGTTATATGCAGCAGAGGATGCCCTCCTGTTTCCACTTTTGAAGCAGGTTTCCACTGTTGGCTTCTGTGGATTGAATGGGGATGTGCTCCCTGGTCTTCAAGCAGCAAAATGTCTTGGGCAAACCTGGTCTGCATGGGTGTGTGAAAGATTGAAACTGCGTAGAAGGAGGAGGAGAATCAGCTCTAAGCAAGCATTGCCAGGATGGGATGTGGGGAGATGTGGAGATCTTCCCTGCAGGAGGGATTGTTTGTTACAGTGTGGTCAGCTGTGGAGGAGTGAGCTGCAGGTTACACATGGCAGATAGGATGGTGCAGGTACTTTTTGAATGCTCAGATTTCTTGAAGAAAAGGCAGTCAGTGAGCCAAAACCTTGAGCAGATGCAGAACCCAACATGAGTGCATCTCTTACACGTCCCTCAGGAGGGAAGGGAACCACTCCAGGAGTAATGTTATCTGAGGGGGCGGGTTGGAGTTCTCAGTGGACTGGTGAAAAGAAGCACCAGACTTTGGACCTACAAGGCTCTATTGATTGGTCTGTCTGTCTGTCTGTCTGTCTGTCTGTCTGTTTCCTCCTTTCCTCTATAGGTCAATGGTCGGGAGTTGTCCCGTCTCTCACAGGAGCAAACCCTTGAAGCCCTGCGGTGCTCCAAAGAGCCTCTGGTCATCCAGGTGTTGCGGCGCAGCCCCCGCAGCCGGGGTGGTGCCAGTGAAGGAGCTGTCCCCCAGGGGGACCCCACAACATTGGTGGACAGTGGAACTCAGACAGACATCACCTTTGAACACCTACTGGGGCTAGGCAGGATGCACCCCCCGAGCCCCCCAGCTGTGACTTTGGAACCTTATGGGCTGCCTGATCTGTGAGTGCTCCCCCAAGCAAAACCTTCCCCATTGCATTCGCTCTCCATGCCCTTCAATCAGTTATAGCCCCATGGTCCCTTCCTACTACTCTGTTCTTTTAGAGTTGCCAGTTTTTAAACTAGTCTCTTTAGTTGTGTATTTTTAAGCAGCTCAATATGCAGACCTTAGCAGCACTGAGATAAACTCAGCTCTGTCCTCTCCTCCATGTTTTTCAACATCTATATGAAGCTGCTGGAAGAGATCATCAGGGGGTTTGGGCCAGGTGTTCACCAGTATGTGGATGACACCCAGCTCTACCTAACTTTTAAATTGGAACCAGTGAAAGCAGCGAATGTCCTGTATGAGTGTTTGGAGGCAGTTGAACGATGGATGGCGGCTAACAGATTGAGGTTGAATCCTGACAAACAGAAGTACTGTTTTTGGGGGACTGGGGTGGGCAGGTGTGGAGGACTCCCTGGTCCTGAATGGGGTAACTGTGCCCCTGAAAGACCAGGTGCGCAGCCTGGGAGTCATTTTGGACTCACAGCTGTCCAGGGAGGCGCAGGTTCATTCTGTGTCCAGGGCAGCTACTTACCAGCTCCATCTGGTACACAGGCTGAGACCCTACCTGCCCACAGACCCTCTTGACAGAGTGGTACATGCCCTGGTTCTTCCCCACTTGGACTACAGCAATACGTTCTACATGGGGCTATCTTTCAAGGTGACTCAGAAACTGCAATGCAGAATGCAGCAGCAAGACTGGTGACTGGAAGTGGCCACCGGGACCATATAACACTAGTCCTAAAGGATCTTCACTGGCTCCCAGTACGTTACCGAGCACAATTCAAAGTGTTGGTGCTGACCTTTAAAGCCCTAAATGGCCTTGGCCCTGTATACCTGAAGGAGCATCTCCACCCCCATAGTTCAGCCTGGACACTGAAGTCCTCCTCCGAGGGTCTTCTACTAGTTCCCTCACTGCAAGAAGTGAAGTTACAGCAAACCAGTCATAAGGCCTTCTTAAGAGTGGTGCCCTCCCTGTGGAACGCCCTCCCTTCAGATGTCAAAGAGATACATAACTTTTAGAAGACTTCTGAAGGTAGCCCTGTATTGGGAAGTTTTTAATGTTTGATATTTTACTATGTTTTATATATGCTGTAAGCAGCCTAGAGTGCCTGGGAAAACCCAGCCAGATGGTGGCGTATTAACAACAACAACAACAACACCGGAACGCCTATAAATGTCTTCACAAGAGCAGGCCAGTCCATTTTCCTTATCAGGGGGCAACCCTGTTCACTCTCATATGATGAGCCCATTTTCCCAGCATCTGGGCTGTGGAGCCATCACAGCTGCTCTTGGCTTCTTGAGTTCACTTTTCCTATATTATGCCACCTGGCTAAAAAGCACATGCATGTACAAATGAAATTCCCTCACCCCTGAGTTATCCACGGCCACCAAACCTCATGTTTCAAGGTCCCAGGATCAAGTTTTCACATTAGTTTGCATGTGCTGAATGTTCATGTGCAGACATTGCTCTGGGAGTTTTCTAAGCGTAACGGTGGTCCTGAGTGGCAAATGGATGCTTCACCTAACTGCTTTATGCCTTTCCTTCTTCACAGCCCCTCAATTGGGCATGAATATTATGACCCTGTGGAATTCATGGAAGGAGGTGCCCCAGAGACTGAGCGGGCAGAGGAGCTGGAATATGAGGTGAGAATGTGATGAAGCTGAAAGAGGCAGTCTCTGGGTTTATATCCACAGATCAGGAAGCAGTGCCTGGCCCCCTGCCAGTTAGGCAGAGTGAGGCAAACCATGTCAAGTGGCCCATTCTGGGTACCATTAAATGGCAACACATTGCTCAGTTATTTAATGTGGTGCTGTGTTTATACAAGACATTCAGTCTCAGGCTGGCTGCACAGAGCTGCAAGGTTGGGCATTGGCAAGGATGCCAAAGCTGGCAAAGAGCCTGCCACCCTAGAGACTGCCATTCTCAACTTTGCATAGAACTTTGCATACATAGAAGAAGTTTTAGCTGGCAAATCTCACCCCAAAGTTGCCTTGCGCAAGGGTCCCCCAAATCCCAGAGCAGGTATTTTCCACAACATATAGCCTTCCATTGAGGAGACTGGTAGCACTATGGAAAACACTGGGGTGGCCTGTGCTCTGCTTGTTTGCTTCTCAGTGCTTCATATCTCCAGTGAGCCCTGTTTCACCCCTCTTAGGTCGCTTCCATTTAATAACCGCTTGCTGCGAGTTCAGTCCTATGTTGTCGAGAGGCAGCTTGGAGTGAGGAAAGAACTGAAGTGTGGTCTCCTGAGTGCCACCAGGATTGCAACCAAAAGGGGACCAGTGACAAACAACAGGGCCTTCAGAATCTGAAAATTTGTTAAAAGTACAAAGAAGTTTTAAAAATCAATTCTAAGGGGGCAATTCCACAGCCCAAAGAGGACTGTGCATGCTCAGTAAGCACAATAATAACTGGAAAAGAAAAACAGAATCGGGGAGGAAATGGAATGCCCTGCTTGGGGGAAATGGCTGATTGGAACCCAGAACAGGAGCACTCCTGCTCTGGAGGAAGAAGACACTGCAACAGTTTGTCACCAGCCCCACTTGTTCTCCTTATCCTTAAGGGTTTTGCTCATATAGGGGCTGCACCCGCACTCTTCCTGGAATAAGCTTGATCTATGATGGGCATCATTCACACATTCATTCTTGACATTAATGATGAGCATGCAGGTGTGAACTGATCCTAAGGTGGTTACAGATGGTTCCACTTTGAGCGTCGCTCAACTACCAAGCAGTATATAAATTTAAATAATGGTAACAATGACCCCTGTAGAAGATCTTGGCACTATTTACCTTTGACTACAAACCTAGGAAAGGATGGGAAAGTTAAGTAGGGCCAATTCAGAGAGACTAAAGGGACAGTTTAGCTATGATTTTCTACCGGGGCTGACTGAATGAAGCATTAAAATGTACTTGAGAAGGTCTGTGAAAATGAACCTTCTTCTCCTGCCTTGGCTCAGGGCTTGCAACCGTGTGTGACTTTGCCTGGTGCTTTCTCTATCCCACAGGAGGTGGAGCTGTACAAATCCAGTCACCGGGACAAGCTGGGCCTGATGGTTTGTTACCGAACTGATGATGAGGACGATGTAGGCATCTACGTTGGAGAGGTGGGGGAGGGGGCAACTCTTGGTGGGGTGTGATGTGTGGCCTGGGGAGGCAGAGGCAGGCAAGTGGCGGGAGGAAGCTGCTGTCAAGCTTTATGAAGCCGTGGAGAGTCAGGAGCTCCAGGTTTCATTGCTGCTGCAGCAGCAGGAGCAAAAAATAAGCCTGTATGAGAGAGAGAGAGAGGGAGGGAGGGAGATTTCTTTGGGATTGGGTTAAACCAAGGATGGGGAACCTTGCTCATCTCCTGTCTATTGGCCGTGCTGGCTGGAACTGATGGGAGTTGGAGTCTGGAGGGCCACAGGTTGAACTCTGTCTCTCCACCTGCTGCAGTCTGGGTGCTGCTCAGGGTCCCCGTGCATCAGCTTTACATTTTACCGTATTTTTCGCTCTATAAGACGCACCAGACCATAAGACGCACCTAGTTTTTGGAGGAGGAAAACAAGGGGGAAAAAATTCTGAATCCCAGAAGCCAGAACAGCAAGAGGCATCTGGCTTCTGGGATAGCCTCTTGCTGTTCTGGCTTCTGGGATAGCTGCTCACAGCCTCTCCCGGGCAAAGAGCGTGCGGAGCGTGTGTGTGGCTCTTGCGGCCTTTCCCTGAGGAGGGAAAAGAGCAGCCCTTCTCCCTCCTTGGGGAAAAGCCCCCAAGAGCCGCACTCTTTAAAGGGAGCAGTGAGCAGAGCCTCCCGTCTGCATTCGCTCCATAAGACACACACACATTTCCCCTTACTTTTTAGGAGTGGAAAAGTGCGTTCATACAATTAGCATTGCCTCTACTTTGCCCCCAAAGTCAAGTTTCCAGGAGCATGCTTTTGACTATAACCAGGAGTGCTACCCTGCCACCACATAGTATGATCTTAAATTACTACAAACCACTGGCCCTAGTAAGTGTGGTGTTAGCTGCATATGCCCAAGGAGCATTAGGGGCTACTGTGTGAGGAGTATCCCAGAGGGCATCTTTGGTACTCTGGGCTCAAAGCACAGTTGGATTTATAGCTATTGTGAAAAGAGTTGGAGGCAGGGAGAACAGAATGCACCAAGTTATCACCACAGAAAGCCAGAGGTAGACTGTGCCATCTGGAGAACCCTGCCTAGCTGAAGATGTCAACTTAAGACATTTTCATCATCTGCTCCCTAAAACTATCAGCGCATCCTGGCAAGGAGCTCTTCAGTAATTAATGGAACTGTTTCTCCTGTCTGTTGGCGCAATTGTGAATAATTTTTTTAGGCAGGCATGGAATTTGCAAGACACTTGACTCTAAATCGTTTAGGTATTGCATTTTTATTCTAGCACCCATCCATCCCTCTACCCTCTGTTTACCCTCACAACAACCCTAGCTGATGATTGGGCTGAGAGAGGGTATGACTGGCTCAAGACCACCCAATGAATTTCATGGAACACTGAGGGATTTGAACAAGTGTATCCTTGCTATGCCTTTAGAAAAGAGCAAATTCTGGAGATCAACTAGCATTAGATGGAGAGTTATTTTCCATACTGTTCCAAATCCCATTCTGCATTGCCTAGTGCTGTGGTACACACTCAGGAGAAACAGGCCTTATGCACGTACTTCTTCCAGGTCTTAGGATGTAAGAGAGCAGAGCAGAGTCAGGTTCAAGCTCGTGTCTAAGGGAAGGGATTTTAGGTCTGGTGCGTGCTACAGTTATGAGGTTGGACAGAGGTCCTGGGTTCTCTGTTCAGGATTCAAAGATTAGTAGGTTCTTAGCAGGCTGGAAGAGAAACTAGGAAGTAGCATACTTAAGTTCACCTCCTGATGCTCATTTAATTTTTCTTACGCCAGGTAAATCCTAACAGCATTGCTGCCAAGGATGGGCGAATCCGGGAAGGAGATCGCATAATCCAGGTGAATCCTGTGGGCGACTGTGGTGGGTGTTAAGAGGGATAATTTAATGCACAAATTTAAACTTGCCCTTCTATACATTTCCTCCAATCCTAGATAAATGGCATGGAGGTACAAAACCGGGAGGAGGCTGTAGCAATTCTCACCCAGGAGGAGCGGACAAATATTTCTCTGCTGCTGGCTAGGCCTGAGACTGAGGTGAGAGGTCTTTAGATGCATGACAAAGCAGAAGGTGAATGGAGAAGGGCCAAAGCGAAGTAGCAGAGCACAAGGCTTGCATGCAGAAGGCACCACGTTCAATCTTTGGCATGTTCAGGTAGGGCAAGGAGAGACTGGGGCAAGTTATCTGGGTCTGTGTAAGGCAGCCTCCTCTGGTCCCAGGATCAAACCTCAGCTGTTGAAACCTGTCACGTAAGAAAGAAACTTGCAGCTGTTTAATGTGTTTCAGGGAACAGGTGCATTTGAGTGTCTCTTTGCTTGCTTGTTATGGAGCTGCATGGAAGTAGGCTGTCTCCTGCCAATGTCCCTTGCAGTCCGGGGGGTGGAGAGAAAGGCTCAAAGGGACTGGCGTATTTATTGTTTGCCTTGTCTGATGCTGAGAAGGAGTGTGAGCTGCTGGTGAGCCTTGCCTACTCTTATTTAGGGGTGCTTGTGAAATCCTCCCTATCTGAATTTCTCACTCTTGATTTTAAAATTATGAATAAGCTGCCCTTGTTTCCAGAGCAGCAGTGATGCATTAGCAACCCATTCTTCTTCTTTTGAGAGCCAGTGTGGTGTAGTGGTTAAGAGCGGTAGTCTCGTAATCTGGGGAACCGGGTTCGCGTCTCCGCTCCTCCACATGCAGCTGCTGGGTGACCTTGGGCCAGTCACACTTCTTTGAAGTCTCTCAGCCCCACTCACCTCATGGAGTGTTTGTTGTGGGGGAGGAAGGGAAAGGAGAATGTTAGCCGCTTTGAGACTCCTGAAGGGGAGTGAAAGGCGGGATATCAAATCCAAACTCTTCTTCTTCTTGTTCTTCTTCTAACACACACACGCTATATCTGGACTTGGGTCATATGCCTATATGTCCACAGTTGGCTGCAGTTTTAGTTGCTTTCTCCCTTTTACAACTGCACGTTGGTTTTAAATCACAGCACAAAATTATCCTTGTGCAATCAAATCAGGATTCATTTTTGTACTGATTTATATTAATAGTGTACTTAGGTGCTGGTCCATGTTGGCAGTTCTGTGGAGATATGCATTGAAAACTGTGGCAAACTGATCATGTGCCAATTCCAAACATAATTATCATTTTATAATTTTTTAAAAATTAAAGCAGAAAGCAAGTAGGCAGAGCCAGACTAAGGACAGAGGCAACCCAGGTAATAATATTGGAATATATATATTGGGAGCTGCTGCTCTCCTCTAGCAGGCAAAAGTGGATGCCTACAGAATAATCAAGCCATGTCTGATTTCAAACAGCCAGGTGCTTCGGCTGTCAGCCAGGACAGGGATGGATTGACATTTATGCAGCAGCGGCAGCTCCTCCTCAGCAAGTCAGTTTCCATAAGCCCCCAAGCCCCTGCCCTGGTGAAAGAAGGTGGGCTTTCTTTATATCTCATTTACTTTGTATTACTCAAGCCTATATTTAAAACTTCAACCTGAGGATGGAGCAACATGTTGCAAGGCAAACACGTAGGATCCTGAACCTTGTTCGTTAGCCTTGTGAATTAGTGGGTGAAGGATAGTTTCAGCGGCCACTCTTTCCCCCTGCCCATTCCCCCCCCCCCAGGCATTTTGGGTGGTATCCAACTGCCATGTCCCATCAGGGCAAGGATTTCTGCTTCTACAACCCGCCCAACCCCTGTGCACACCCCTCCCGAAATCTGCTCCAAAGGGTTGGGGGAACTCCTAGAACAGATTTGGGGGGGCTTGAGGGAAGAAGGGGATCATTTCCCACAGTGCAAGCGGAAATCCTTGTGCCGATGAAATGAGGCACTTGCCATTACATTTAATTCCACCCTTCATTTATATTTTTATCCAGGCTTTCCACCAGGGATGGACTTTGGACATTTTTGGTGTTATGGCACCCTGAATTTGGCAGTCCCAGATCACTTTCTCAGTTAGGGAACTTCTCAATTTATACGATCTGAAGAGAAACCAGAGTATATCTTCTCAATTTTGTGTCCCCTTGGTTCAGTGCCCTGTGGGACGGAACCGCCCGCACCGCCCTAAATCTGGTGTTGCTTCCACCAAGGAGCTCAGAGCAAGATATGTACCGTATTTTTCGCCCTATAGGACACACCGGCCCATAGGACGCACCTAGTTTTCAGGGGGGGAAATCAAGGAAAAAAATATGATTTCCCCCCCGCAGCTCTGGGAGCAGTGGACAGGCTTCACGCAGCCTGTGCGCTACTCCAAGACCTTCTCCCTGCTTTGGCGGAAGGTGGTGGAAATCCCCCACCTCCCGCAAAAGCTCACAGGAGCCCCGCGTGACTCCTGCGGGCTTTTCGACCAGGAGGGAGAAGGGACTGAAACGGCCAGTCAGTCCCTCCTCCCTTCTCGGGGGAAAGCCCCCAAGAGCTGTGCGCTCTTTAAAGGGTGTGCGGCTCCTGCGGGCTTTTCTAGGAGGTGGGGGAATTCCCCCCTCCTCGTAGAAAAGCCAGCAGAAGCCGCGGAGCCCCTTTAAAGAGCGTGAGGCTTTTGCGGGAGGTGGGGGAATTCCCCCATCTCCCCCAAAAGCCCGCAGGAGGGAGAAGGGACTGACTCTGCCAGTCAGTCCCTTCTCCCTCCTTGGGCAAAGCCCCCAAGAGCCGCTCGCTCTTTAAAGGGTGTGCGGCTCCTGCGGGCTTTTCGAGGAGGTGGGGGAATTCCCCCACCTCCTAGAAAAGCCCGCAGAAGATGCGGAGCCCCTTTAAAGAGCGCATGGCTTTTGCCTGCTTTTGCGGGAGGTGGGGGAATTCCCCCATCTCCCGCAAAAGCCCGCAAGGAGGGAGAAGGGACTGACTGGCCGAGTCAGTCCCTTCTCCCTCCTTGGGAAAAGCCCCCAAGAGCCGCTCGCTCTTTAGAGGTGCGTGGCTCCTGCGGGCTTTTCTAGGAGGTGGGGAATCCCCCTCGTAGAAAAGCCAGCAGAAGCCGCGGAGCCCTTTAAAGAGCGCGCGGCTTTTGCGGGAGATGGGGGAATTCCCCCATCTCCCGCAAAAGCCCAAAGGAGGGTTGGAGAGTAGCGGGAAGGCGTCGCGCACCTTCCTGCTGCCCCCCATCCTCTGGGGCTGGCAATGGGGGAAGCGCTGCTTTCCCCACTGCCAGCCTCGAAGTCAGGTTGGAGAGTAGCGGCAAGGCATCGCACGCCTTCCCGCTGCCCCCATCCTCTGGGCTGCCGATGGGGAAGCGCTGCTGTCCCCACTGCCAGCCTCGAAGTCAGGTTGGAGAGTAGCGGCAAGGCATCGCATGCCTTCCCGCTGCCCCCCATCCTCTGGGGCTGCCGATGGGGGAAGCGCTGCTTTCCCCACTGCCAGCCTCGAAGTCAGGTTGGAGAGTAGCGGCAAGGCATCGCACGCCTTCCCGCTGCCCCCCATCCTCTGGGGCTGGCGATGGGGGAAGCGCTGCTTTCCCCCACCACCAGCCTCAAAGAGCAGACTCTCCTGGCTTCAGCAGAAGCAACGCGAAGCCTCCGGAGCGCAGGCTTCGGAGGCTTTGCGTTGCTATCGCTGAAGCCAAGGAGTCTGCATTCGCCCCATAAGACGCACACACATTTCCCCTTCATTTTTGGAGGGGAAAAAGTACGTCTTATAGGGCGAAAAATACGGTATATGGCTCTTTCCCCCCACCCGCCTCCATTTTGCAATTGCAACAACTCTGGATGGTAGGTTAGGCTGAGAGCCAGGGGCTGGCCCAGGGATTTGAATGTGGATCTCATTGATTCCAGAGTTACCCAAAAAACGCACGCTTTGTAAAACGCATTTGATTTCATTCCCTTACTGACATATTGCACTTGTTTTGGAAAGAAAAAGTTCATAGTGTGTGAATTTGATGCAAGGACACTTGGTTGGGGCTCATTGAAGCCAGGCTGGGGATAGGGAACCTGGGGCCCTCCATAGGTTGCTGGCCTACATCTCCCATCATCCCTGACCATTGGCCCTGCTGGCTGGGGCTGATGGGTGTTCAACAACATCTGGAGGGCAACCAAGTCTCCAGTCCCGGGCGAGACAGTGGAATTCTGAGCCATGTTCACTGTTATTCTCTTCATCCTTCCAGTTGTCCAAGCGTTGGAAGGACAGTGACCGTGAGGATTTCCTGGATGACTTTGGCTCTGAACACGAAGCCGGAACAAAGCCCCGGCGGCTCCTTTCTCCACCAGACCAGCAGGTGTGTGGTCTAGAACGGGAAGTGGCGGGTAGTCAGCAGTTTGCTCTGAAAAGCAGTCGGGGTGGAGAACCAAGAGTTCTCTCCTGGGAAACTTTCTGGGGACCAGAGGCAAAAGCAGATGGAGCAACGGATGAGACTTTCATCTTTGTAGAGAAGGCTAAACTCCAAACCCATGAAAGCCAGAGGTTTCTATACATCCCCCACAAAACTCCCCAACCTCCATCCAGGCAGGCAAGAGGCATCATCACCCCTCAAAGAGATTTCCCAGCCTGGAAAAGGCACTAAAGGAGGGTTCAGAGCAGGGCCAGGGAGAGGGGTGTGGCCTGAGGAGAGTCCCTAGGGGAGAATAGAGAGGAGGCCTGGGGCACCAGATCTAGCTTCTAGGCATGCAGTTCCCCTCCCCCACACTAGGACATTGTATGTGTTGCAGGATTTTGAGACACAAGAAGCAGCAAAGGGTTAACTCTGGGGTACATTGTATTACTTGATAGGGAGTGACTTGTGGTGGGATCATGTACAGATATAATGTCTAGAAAAGAAATTCATCATGTGCATTAAAGGATAAGCTCACTTTCAACCGATGGGGAAGGTGCTCTAGGCAGAGTCAGACCTTTGGTCCACCTAGTTCACGATTGTGATGGGGAAGCTGCCCGTCAGACGCAAAGCACACCATATCCCGTGGAGCTACAGCCCCGACTGCTGCAAATCCCAGCTGCCTCAACCTGGAATGGTCATGGGGGTGCTTAGCTTGGCCGCCAAACTTTCATTTCAAAGGTTTGCAATATGACGCGACGCCTTTACTTCTTTATTTCTCTATGCCTCAGCTTAAGCATTACTGCATAGGTCAAGATCTACCTTCATGTTGCTGGATGAACTGCAGTAGACGAGCAGCAATTTCTAACTCCAGGTTGTTTAGCAATGACTTCAATGAAAGGCTGCCCTGTCCCTGACTCACAGACACTTGATTAGGTTAGGATCCCTGCTGTGTTACAACTTATACAGTGGCCACCCCAGTGTATAATAGGGTGTATTAGAGTGCAGGAGGGAATGGGCTTCACACACATACCCCTCAGGCAGCATTTTGTCCTTGACTCCATCCCCTGCCATAATTGCACTAGTGGAAAGCAATGCAGATTTTATAAACCCCAAGTCTTCTGATGCCTGCACTCAAGTAAGCCGCTGAAGGGGAGAAATGCTGCTATTATCACCTGGGAAGCAATAGGCTTTGACTGGCACAATAAGAGGATGACTCTCTCCCTACCTTTCTGTAGCCATTTACAGGTTGATAAAGGGAGTTTAGAAGAACCTCTGTGCCTGTCTTTTCAGCTTACATGGGTGTTAGTCTTGAAGTGCAGCTGGGCTCTCAGTTTTCACCCAGTTCAAAACCCTGCGCCTATAGAAGCTTCCTTGCCAATCAGGGGTCTGTCTATGAGTCACACAAAGGTGTCATTTAGGAAATTCTGGGCCAGAAGCCTGGCATAAGGTGGTGTTCATGCTTTTTTCTCTGAATGGTCCCCTCTCCTTCCTTCTCCATAGAACGAACCCTTACAAGAAAAGCCTCCTGGAGACCCGGCCACTCCTCTGACCAACAGCCAGGAGCTGGACAGTGGTGTTGGCCGCACAGATGAAAGCACTCGCAACGAGGAGAGCTCTGAACATGACCTCCTGGGAGACGAAGCACCTAGTGCTGCCAACACCCCGGGAACCCTGCGCAAATTTGGGCCTAGCCTGCAGCCCCGCGACTTCCACTACAGCATGGACTCTCTGCTGGCAGGGGAGCCACCTAGCGCCGTGGGCACCGACATGATGCCGGGGCTTACGGACGAAGAGTACGAGCGCTACCGCGAGCTGCTGGAGCTAAAGTGCCACCTGGAGAACGGCAACGAGCCGGGCCTGGTGAGCGCTGCGCTGGACGTCAACCGCAACGAGGTGGCCCTCCTGGAGGAGGAGCTCCGCCACCTGGAGTTCAAGTGCCGCAACATCCTGCGAGCCCAGAAGATGCAGCAGCTGCGCGAGCGCTGCATGAAGGCCTGGCTGCTGGAGGAGGAAGGGCTCTACACCTTGGAAGGTGAACCGAAGAAACACGAGTTGTCTGACATCACCGAGCTGCCGGAGCGCTCCGATAAGGACAGCACCAGTGCCTACAACACCGGGGAGAGTTGCCGAAGCACCCCCTTGCTGGAGAGCCCCCTGCGCCGCCTGGCAGAGCCCCCCAACCTCAACCGGACTGCCCCACCTTCACCGCCCCAGCCCAAATTCCGGCGTGAAGAGCGGGTGCGGCGCAGCCCCAAGGCAGGTGGGGAAGGCAGCCCGTACTTGGGGCGGCGGCAGCGGGAGGAGCCGCCCGCTCCTATCAGCCCAATGAGCTTAGCCAGCATATGCAAGGACTCTCTAGGGGGCAAAGGAGAGCCCCGCATGGAGTGGAAAGTGAAGGTGCGCAGCGATGGCACGCGCTACGTGGCCAAGAGGCCAGTGAGGGACCGGCTGCTCAAAGCCAGGGCCATGAAGATCCGCGAGGAGCGCAGCGGCATGACGACGGACGACGACGCCGTCAGCGAGATGAAGATGGGGCGGTACTGGAGCAAGGAGGAGCGGAAGCAGCACCTGATCCGCGCCCGGGAGCAGCGGAAGCGCCGCGAGTTCATGATGCAGAGCCGGCTGGACTGCTTGAGGGAGCGCGAAGGCAGCGAAGCCCGGGGAGTGTCTGGCGAGGTCAACATCCTGGCCCTGAGTCACCGCAAAACCATGAAGAAACGGAGCCGGCGCATCCTGGACAACTGGATCACCATCCAGGAGATGCTGGCGCATGGCACTCGCTCAGCAGATGGGCGCAGGGTTTACAACCCACTGCTGTCCGTCACCACGGTTTGAGCGCATTGGAAGGAGCAACAGAAGGAGTTGCGGTGATGTTCTCCTTCCCTCCAGCTTTGCTGGAGAAAGACGACTAGATGGGCCAATCCTTTCCTCTGTTATCAGGAAGCTTGCTCTTTGAACACACCAAGGAATCGCTCGCCGTTTGCTGCCAGAGCTCCATTGGGCTCTTTGAACCAAATTTCATGGGGGACAGGAAGCCCAGAGTCCCTTGCAGCCTTAAGAACCAGAGGGCAAGAGGGGCCACAGCCCCAATCCTGCATCCACCAGGAGCTTGCTGCGGAGAGGTCTGTCCCCATCCCGACGCAGATTACCTGTATGGAAGGTGATTGTGCAGGGAAGCTCACTCACCTGACCCTTACTGAGAGCTTTTGCCAGCTTATCCCCAGCACATCACATTTGGAAGCACAAGGATTCAGCTGTGTTCCTCTCTGTGCAGTATGCGGAGCACAAGGAAAGTGAGGAGGCTCACCCCCTCCGTACTGGCCAAGGCCAATGACGGCACTCCTCATCCCCTCCCCTTGGGATATTGTGACATCTTTCTTTCCTCTTTTTCTTTCTCTCTCTCTCTTTTCTCTTTTGTGGTCGTGGATCTCAATTCCTTTTTCATTTCTCTATTTAAATGGAAGCTTGGGCCCTGGCGGCTCATCCCACAAGCAACTGACAGTCCTCTTCCTGCATTTTCTGTCACCTGCTTACCCCGCCCCACCTGCCCCACGGAGAGGGGCTCTAGCTTAGTGGGGGGAGGGGGGAGAGACTGTGGAGCAGAGAGCTTGTGGTAAAACCCTGTATCCAAGGCTGAACTTGCATTGTTACAATAAAAAGAAAACTTTTTACTCATTGCAAAAAACCGTAAAAAACCGTTTCACGGGGGCTTTATTTTTGAAGCTTAGTGGTATAGGACACCAGAAAACATCAAATCCTTTCGCACCATAACACAATCCTACAAAACATTCCCCCCCCCCCATTTAAGGAGCAATATGCTGGCAGATACTGAAAATGGGGTTGCTTTGGGGAGAGCGCGCTGCAGAGCAGCTGAGCATAAGCAAAACCCCTCTCCGAATCCTGGTGGCACCCCACAACCAAGAGCTTGCAAGTGTCCCTTCCTGCAATCCCTCAGGCTGCAATCCTGTAAGAACTTACCTGGGAACATGTTCCATTGAAGCTAATGGGGCTTCCGAGGAAACATGCAACTTATTTGCACAGTAAATCAATATTTATTATTCTAAACACCTCAGATAAGACTTAACAGAGCAGCCACGTTTTACATGCATGAAGCCCTGGGCTTCATCAAAAGGATCTCAAGCAGCAGAGCTGGGAAAGGCTCTACCCGGAGACCTTGCAGAGCTAGTCAGAGGAGCAGTGAAGAAGCCCACAGGGAGATGGACTACGTAATTACTGCTTAGTGTATAAAGTAGCTTAAACTAACATTTGACTCATTTTTAACACGACAATCCAGTTAGTGCATATCACAGTGAAAAGGCTTGAAGCTGTTTTAGAACATGAACACAATTGTGAGATCAGTTATGGCCTTGTGGCAAGAACCAGACAGAAGGAACACAGTGAACACTCACTCCTAATATAGGTTCTTTCCCATTTTTAAGAAGTGTACTTGAAGGCTGTTTAATGCTCTTCTATGCTATCACTGCATAGTCTTATGGACATTATCTGTATTGAAAAATTGATTTATGGATTTTTACTGTCCTTACGCTTTTGATGAACCCCTGAATATATGTATATTTTTGCATGGGCATAAATCCCTGCATGCACTGCTCTAACAAAACTACAAGCCGCCCCCCCAAGTTCCTTAGGGAAATTCGTTACATTTAGGTTGGTATAGTACATGAAGTTTATATCAAAGAATAATATCCCAGGCAAAGGAAGGGTAGGTAGCATATTGCTGCTGAAAATTGCACACACACACCTCAGTGAAGGGAGTGGCAGCTGCAGCCAGAGGATAAGTTTGTTTTACATTGGGTCCATACTTACTCTTGGTTCAATTAAGCAGCGGATTCTAGATGGAACATTCCCTCCCTACCCTCCCACAAATATTTATTTTCTTTAGCTTTTGAATTTAGCAATCAAATGTTTCGGAAACCTTTAGTTACCTCCACTTCAAACAATATTTAACGTGAACTTGCTTCGCATTGAACTAATTTTACCTTTTGTATCATTGTAGCAGACTTCTACAATGGGCTTAGATTGCCTAGAGAGGACTCAAAAAACCCTCCTGAATTCTAACAAAGGCAGGACTCCCTTTTTCTAACAAATTCTGAATTCTAACAAAGGCAGGACTTCTTTTACCCTAGCTACGTCAAGACAAAGCAGCACTCAAAGTCAGTCCCCAAGTGCCTGGGAAGGGGCCAAGACATCGGATGGTTAACAGAGCAATGTTAACTCATCGTGTCAAGCAGGTCACAGAGATGCGGGCAGCCACCTGGAAAAAAACTCAGGAAGGCAGGGAAGGCCAAGCTAGTCTCAAGCAGAGATGATATAGCACAAGCCAGATAGCTTTGCTTGCTCAAGGAAATGGCAAATGGGGACCTCTCCATAACCAGCAAGATTCACTGCCTTTCTAGGATCACAGTAGGATATTCAAGAGAGATACTCCCTGCAGCCCCTTTGTGGCAAGCTTTCCCTTACTAATCCGGCATTAGCACAACTTTAGAGCAATGGTGTAATCCCAGCCGCACTGCACTGGCTCACACCAGGAGCCGCTGTCATTAGGCGGATAAGGAGCTGTGGTGCGAATATTGCTGCTTAACAGGATTAAGGCAAAGAAAAGGAGACCAAACCTCAGGGGTGGGGTGGCAGCTGCCATTACAGCACATCCACACCACAGAGCCAGCCACTGCTTAAAAGACTGCTGCACAAATGGGTTCAGGTTCAGTCTAGGAGGTGGATTCATGAGAGGTGCTTGTTCCTTTAAGTATCCTGGCATCCTCAAAAGGCTACTTTTAGGAACAAGAAAAGGAGGGAAGAAGTCCAGTAGAAGCAAACATTTCCTGCCTGAATCCCACCTGGTTATCCTGAGCTGCACTACTGGTCCTTGCATTCTTCTCTCATCCCCTAGTCCCTGCAAGAGCCCCAACAGCTGATTATTGGCAGGCCAGAGGGGGAGCTGCACTGTGTGATGCGGCTCTTGGTGGAGCCCAGTGTAAAGAAATCCTCACCCATCCCTGGAAAGGACAAGGGCAAACACACACACAGCAAGTTTGGCATGAAAGTTTTATTGAAACAGATTACGCTTGGATGTTGCTCTTGGCACTGAAAGCCATGTAATACACAAGGAGACCAATGAATGCTGCCAGTACCTCAGTGGAGACCCACGGTCCGCTCCAGGCACCCTTATTAGTTGGGGCGAGGGAGAGGAGGAGAAAAGAGAACAGAAAACATGTAAGTCACAGAGCTAGGCATACAGAGAGGCATCAGGAGCGTTGTAGCTGAATCTTTTCTGTATCCCCGCTTTTGGCCTGCTGTGCACTTCCATGGAAGATCACAGAACAGCAGCGCCAAGGATAAGGAGCCTTGAGGGACTTAAGAGATTATTGGCCATGAAGGCAGATGGCTTCTACAGAGGGGAGGGATTTGCATTCAAGGTTTAACCCTGGCTCAGGTGTAGAAATAATCTCAACAGTCAAGCAACAAATGGGGGATCAGGCCTCAAACTGAGGAGACATTTTCAGCCAGTGCCCTAAGTGCAAATCACAGCCACCCCAACCAAATTAAAAGGGACATAAAAAGCTTCATTCTGGACCATCCCTTTATGCCCAATATCTTGTTGCAGGTTGTTGTCCTCCTCCACCACTTGCTGACCTCTCCATCCAACCCAAAAATCAAAGTACAGAGAATATCCTCTGCCTTGTGGGCAGATGACCCATGCTCAACAGTCCCATTTTGGTGGGGCCAAGGTATCTGCTTCTGCCTTGCAGCAAGGGGCCCAAATTTGGACTCCTGGGTAATGTTCCATGGTGCCCATCACAGAATAGACCCACAAACTACCAGTCCTCATTACAGCACTGAAAGATCTAGCATGGCTGTAAAAGATGTTCCACCTTGTCTTGGGCACTGGCCACCCTTGGAAGCAACCCCTTTCCCCAGAGAGGAGCAGGCTGCCCAACTCCTCCTCCTTTACTCACTCGATGATCCACATTGACCGAAAAGAGGGGTTTGATCTCAGAGACATCCTCGTTGTTGCGCTGAGCCTGGGGGGGGGGGGGGGAGATAGAATTGGGATATCTGAGTTTACATACAGTTAAACAGGGCTCCTTGTGGGATAAATGTTCTCTCCACAGATCTGGTATCACTGCCACTCTCCTAGAAGGAGTAGCTCTACAGGGAAATGTCCAGTGGAGACCATAAAGAGCAACCAGGATGACGAATATGTTAAGATCTGAAATATTTTCTTTTCTTTTTTAAGTACTGGGGCTCAGGTTGCCATGGGATCCTTGCCATCCACCATTAAAGGAAGGCTCACTCTTTCGAGTTTCAAGTGTGCGCAGACAGGCTTCAGTTGCTCAGTGGTAAGTGAGACACTGTGTGCTTCTCAAAATGGGTATAAATGGGAGGTAGAGTGAGGACAACAAATGTTAGAAGACATAGAGTAAGAGCTGTGAGACTAAGGCCAAGAGTACCAGCAAGAGCTTTCTTTCCTTATGCTACTAGTGAGGTCATGTCACCTACAGCCCATGTAATTAGCTAAGCCACCCCCTTCCCCCACCAGGGGGCAACCTCACCTTGCGCAAGATGCTATAGGACTCCTCATCAAAGAACTTCACCTCGTAGGTGCCAGAGCGAGCCAGCTTATGCTCCATGCTCCAAGAGACCTGCCAAAGAAAGGGATGGGCAATCAGTGCTGAGCGAGATGGACTCCCCCCCCCCCGACCAGAGGGGAACATAGATGGGCATGCACACAAAAGATGCTTGCACACATGTGCCACTCACTTCAGTAGCCAGGGCTACTACAAGCCAGACTGGCCAATGGTTCGGACTAGCAGCTTGCTTTAGCATGGAGTACACTATGGAGGGATCTATGGAACCAGACCCGCCATAAATCCAGAGCCATGCGTTTGTGCAGGAGGACTGCAATTTCCTAACTTGAATTTATACAGCATAAAGACTGCCAACTTGTTCAGCAATGCCAACGTCAAACATGAAGCCCAAAAACCATAAGGCAGTTATAGCCTACTTTCTTTAGTTGTTGGCAAACTGCACAACTTTCTCATCACCATCACGGACAAACTATATTGAGTAGAAAAGGGTGTATTCTACAATATTCTTGCTCTGGTTACCATTATTCTCATGTGTTGAACATGCCCTGAATGTTATACAAGTCTGATGAATCTGGTTTATTTTTACTTGATTCACTGTTTTTGTCTACGTTTTCAAGTAACGAAAATGAACATTAAAAAGTGCTTAAACAAGCTGGGAGAAAAATCCAGGATTCTGGATTTTAACAAAGCATCACACGTTGCAGAGAAGCCTGAAGGGAGCACATTCTCTACACGCGATGTATTAAAAATGCCCATTCTCAAAATATTCCCAGGAGTTAATGTCAATTAAGCTGGCCCCACCCAGAAGATATGTGACTGAGCTAGAATTTAAACTCAAATCTGACACTGTTCTGCCCAGAGTGTTACTAGCATTTTGCTGTCTCTACCAGAAATCACTGCTTGTTCTTACCTGATAGCGGCCAACATCCTGACCCCGAGTAACAGGAAACTGCTTGCCATTGACATCTGCATAGAGAGCAACATTCTACAGAAAGAGAGTAGGATGAATATCAAATCAAAGGGAATCACAGCACGCCCTATTGAAAGCTCAGGGACAATGGGAAAGGCAAATCTTTCTAGGTCAAATGCCAACATCCCCTCCAAGTTATAGGGATTGTAGAGTCTTTGGTGAAGATAACAGAGAGCCCCTGGATGCACCCCTTTTGTCCCTTTCCCAAAATGTACATGTGCCCCCCACATCAGTGGCTGGCACTACAGCAAGCCAGGCCAGCCAATGGTTCGGGGAGGCAAGTTAATGTAGCATGGGGTACACTATGGAAAGCCCATGGATTGGGACCCACCATAAATCCAAATCCATGCACGTACTTGGATGCAACTGTTGCAAAACGGGAAACCCTAGCCCCTAGATTTAAGGCCCATTATCAAATCTACAAGGTGGCACTTTATTTTTAGCAATGAAATAAGCCACGTATTCCAGCACTCACTTGTGCTCCATTCTTACAGGTGAGGGAGATCTCAACAACAAAGACAGTCTCTGAAGAGATTACAGCATCTGAGGTAGTGTAGTAGGATGGAGAGATGACTGGGTCTGTACAGGTTTCAGCTGACAGGAAAGAAAAAATGGCTTATGAATCAACACATTATGAACCTGAAAAGGGATAAGCGAGCATCTGAGGCCATTCATAGAGGGTGGTCTACATGCAATGTTCCTACGGAGCTCAAGATGTCAGAATGCACCTTAAGGAATTGCTGAAACCACCTACTGCTACCAACTGATTAATGAAAGGATCCTGTTGAGAGAACTGGATCTAAGGCTCAAGTAGTAAAGAAAACACACATCCTACTAGTTAAAAAAACAACAGCATCCAGAAGTTAGTAATAATCACAAGCTACTCACATTTGTGACAAGATAGGCACGTGTGTGCATGCACATACACATAAATCTATTAAATATTTATAAAACTATGCCCTTTGTGAATTGCTACATCTCAATGTGGTGGCACCCCAACTGTGGAACTCCCATCTTAGGGAGACTCAACTTATCAGCTTCCTCAGAATTGCTAGACAGCTGGTCTTTTCAGAGGGTGTTTGTAATGTTGGCTCACAATCTGAGCTAGATTTAACTACAGAACACTGATCTTATTATGCGTTGGTTGATTATGATTCATATTTTTGTTTTATCATTTTCTACAAATTGCATTGCCAACTGCTTCAACAGCATTGGCTAGAAATTGGTCAAAACATTAAGAAAGGTCAGATAAAATAAAGTTTCTAGATGTGTCAAATATTAATCCAAACCCCATCAATAAAAGCTAGTAAGTTTTAACTCGGCTGTTACCAGTTTATGTACAGTTTATATACTTGGCCTTTACCAGTTCATGTACTGCCTCATTATACACATGCACAATGTGTATAAACTGCACATTATAAAGGTACAAGTAGGAGCTGAAATGAAGTGAAGTGTTCCAAGATGCATACATTATGTTCCCCTGAAGCACCATTTTAAGAAAGTCATTAAGTATCCCTATATATTTTCTCTTCTCCTTTATGTTCTGTGCAAGATCTAGCCCCAAGAAAGAGCTCTGTGAAAACACAAATGGTTGCTTGCTGCTTTCTAACCTGACATTAAGCTCCTGCTGTTGTTTGGATGAACTGCTCCAGGAATACTTCATTAACATCTTCCAGGATGACGGAAAAATCCAAAGTTAACACAATATATTTTACTGAAACAAATGGGGAAGGCTGTAAAGAAGTGTGCAAGCTTTAGTGTTTGTCAACACTTTTCATCAGGCCAGAGCTTAAGCAGTGAGAACAAAGGAGGGGAGCGGATGGGAAATGTCATACGGGCATATGGTAAAAAAGCCACTATTAAACAGGCACTACAGGCAGAGTTTGGCCCAATTGCATGATTCCAAAGAAGACCCACTGAATTAGACTTAACTTCCAGATAAGACCAATAGCGATTCAGCTACACTTTGTGAAAAAACGACAACCCCCAACCCTATCAGGCTGAGCCTTGGCATGTGGCTGCGAGGTGTTTCTACTCATAGAATCCTAGAAATGTAGAGTTGGAAGGGGGACCCCAGGGTCATCTAGTCCAACCCTCTGCAATGCAGCAATCTCCACTAAATGACCATCCAATCTCTGCTTGACAACTTCCAAGGAAGGAGAGTCCACCACCTGCAGAAGCTTCTCTTCTTGAGACCCTGGTGTGCAGCTGCCAGTCAACACGGGGCTAGGTGGGAAAATCCTTTGACTACCTTCCTATGTTCCTAAGGAAACCCCTGGAATGGGTCAGCTCACAAAGTCTGTCCAGGGCGGCCATGCCTGGCGCGCAGGTGGTGCCACGTGGGGAGCCTTGAGACCGAGGGAGAAGCGTTCGGCCCTCCAGATGTTTCTGGCCTACAACTCCCACGACCCCTAGCTAGCAGGCCCAGTGGTCAGGGATGATGGGAACTGTAGTCTCAAAGCATCTGGAGGCCCGAGGTTGAGGAAGCCTGGTTTACACGGTGCGCTGGACAAGTCAAACCGAGCTGTAAGGAAAGGCTTAAGGGCAGCACGAACGGCTCGGCCCCCCGCCCCTTGGGCCCCCACAGCAACCCCGCGAGGTGGGCGAGCTTCCCGGGGCCAAGACACGTGTCCCCAACATTTCGCACACGCGTTTCTTCCCCCTACCCGACGACGCCCACAGAACCCTAGAAGTGCAGAGCTGGAAGGGACCCGAGGGTCATCTAGCCCACCCCCTGCGAGGCAGGAACCTCTTTATCCCGGGCGGGGGGGGACCTCGAACCCACAGCCCTTAGGGCGGGAGTCTCGGGGCCCCGGGAAGCCGGAGGAAGGGCCGGCCCGCCCTCGCAGCCGCGGCAGGTGACCGTACCTCGCGCCCCGCTCAGCACCAGCAGCGCCGCCGCCGCAGCCAGACGAAGCAGCCTCAGCCCGGCGCCCGCCATCGCCACCAGCGAGACGCGACGAGAAAAGGAGCGGCCCGCCTCCCGCGCGGGGGATGCTGGGGCCGAGGGCCCCCACAGCCAATCCGCTGCTCCGTCGCCGCGTGACGCGAGGCGGCCGAAGGGAAAGAGACGTGGCCTTTCCAAGGAAGGTTCCTTAAAATGGCCGCTCGCGACTTTTGTCGCGCCGGAAACCGAGTGGCGGCCTCCAACTGCGCATGCGTGGGTGATAACACATCTCTCCTACAGCCTCTCTTGTCCTGGATATTCCCGCCTTCGCGCCGAACTTCCTTCGGCCAATAACTCAGGCGGAAGCATCTGATTGGACGTCGCTTCTGCGGTCAGACGTTTTCTGTCATTGGTCATCCTTGGCTGCCTGGCCCTGCCCATTGGACAAAGGAGACGAATGGGCGGGATGTATATGTATGAGGGTAAGCCAATGAGATCTACTTTATGAGAAGCAGTGGGATGAAAGTTGTGTAACTGTGCCTAATTGGTCAAGGTGGGCGGTCACAGTTTTATAGGCCGGCTGCTGCAGCCTCTCTCTCGCTCCGCTCTCTCATTGGTGCAGCACAGGGGGCGGATTTGGCCCCGTGGTTCCCAGTTGCTGATCCCAAGGTTCTTGGGTTCAGACTTCCATTGGCCCCAACAGTTTGGCCGGTAGTCAGGAGCAATGGGTGTTCTATTCCAACAGCATCTGTGCCCAAGGCCTGATTCTCACTGGAGTGGCAAACCTGTGCCAGAGCTGAAATGCTCTCCTCGCTCCTGGCCATTGCCCGTTTTTGTCGGGGCTGATGGGAGTTGGAGTTGTTTTCTGCAAAGAGATACACTCCTAAGTTAAAAGTGTGTGTTTCTACAGGAGTATTTGCACTTCCTATACACAGTTTCTCTTTTTTAAAAAAATAATATTTATTAAAGTTTCAAAAGAAGAAAAATCACATTAATAAGAAAATTAACAATAAAAAGGAAAAATACAAAGTACAAAAAAGAAAAAACAGTTAAAAACAATTCCATCTTTTCATCACTTCTTTTACGTTTACTTGTTTACCGGACCTCCTCATACCTCCCTCTTTTGTATTCCAGTTCAATTTGTTAATCCAACAATTCCTTTCCCTCCTTTTTAATCCTAATCTTTAATCTTGATATATTATAACATTAAATTTTTACATATTAAAAACCAATTTTTCCATATTCTTTTATACCAGTACAGCTAGAAACCACTTAACTTCAATCCAACATCATTCTAACATTCATTAATTTTGCAATATTTCTGTAAATAGTCTTTAAATTTCTTCCAATCTTCTTCCACCGACTCTTCTCCCTGGTCTCGGATTCTGCCAGTCATTTCCGCCAATTCCATGTAGTCCATCAATTTCATCTGCCATTCCTCCAGTGTGGGTAAGTCTTGTGTCTTCCAATGCTTTGCAATAAGTATTCTTGCTGCTGTTGTAGCATACATAAAGAAAGTTCTGTCCTTTTTCACCGATTGGCCGACTACGCCCAGGAGGAAGGCCTCTGGTTTCTTCAAGAAGGTATATTTAAATACCTTTTTTAGTTCATTATAAATCATCTCCCAGAAAGCCTTAATCCTTGGGCACGTCCACCAAAGGTGAAAAAATGTACCTTCAGTTTCTTTACATTTCCAACATTTATTATCAGGCACATGGTAGATTTTTGCAAGCTTGACTGGGGTTATGTACCACCTGTATATCATTTTCATAATATTTTCTCTTAAGGCATTACATGCCGTAAATTTCATACCTGTGGTCCACAACTGTTCCCAGTCAGCAAACATAATATTATGTCCAACGTCTTGTGCCCATTTAATCATAGCAGATTTCACCGTTTCATCCTGAGTATTCCATTTCAGCAGCAAGTTATACATCTTTGACAAAATCTTAGTTTTGGGTTCTAACAATTCTGTTTCTAATTTTGATTTTTCCACCTGGAAGCCAATTTTCTTGTCCAAATTGTATGCCTCCATTATCTGATAATAATGAAGCCAGTCTCACACTTTATTTTTTAATTTTTCAAAACTCTGCAGTTTCAATCTATCTCCATCTTGTTCCAAAATTTCCCAATATTTCGGCCAATTGACCTCCATATTAAGCTTTTTCAGAGCTTTCACTTCCATCGGTGACAGCCACCTTGGGGTTTCATTTTCCAATAAATCCTTATATTTTATCCAAACATTAAACAATGCTTTCCTAACAATATGGTTTTTAAATGCTTTATGTGCTTTGACCTTATCATACCACAAATATGCATGCCATCCAAATACATTGTTAAAACCTTCTAAATCCAAAATGTCAGTGTTTTCAAGGAGCAGCCATTCTTTCAACCAGCAAAAAGCTGTGGATTCATAATAAAGTTTGAGGTCTGGCAGGGCAAATCCACCTCTTTCCTTTGCATCTGTTAATATTTTGAATTTTATTCTGGGCTTCTTGCCCTGCCAGACAAATCTAGAAATATCTCTCTGCCACCTCTTGAAACAGTCCATTTTGTCCACAATTTGCAATGTTTGAAACAAAAACAACATTCTAGGCAATACATTCATTTTAACTGCAGCAATACGGCCCAACAGTGAAAGCTTCAAATTTGACCAAATTTCTAAATCTTTTTTCACTTCAGCCCAACATTTTTCATAGTTATCTTTAAATAAATTCCCATTTTTTGCTGTCATGATAATCCCCAGGTATTTAACTTTCTTAACCACTGTTAAACCTGTCTCATTCTGAAACCTCTCTCTCTCTATTGGTGTTAAATTTTTCCCTATACACAGTTTCTCATGCAGGAAGTGTGTGGTGTATGAAGTGAAAGATGGAGCCTAATCTTAACAGTAAAGCGCCTAAAAGAGACACATTGAAACTGCAGACGGGGTTCTGATTGAGTCAGTGACCACAAATCACATGTGGAAATCAGGAGGCACATACATATTATGCCTGGTGGAGAGAAATAATTTGTAACCAGCTTAAAGGAGGTAAGTCTGAAACAAAAACCATATTTTCTCCATCTCCCCAATTTGTTGAGAGGCCTCCAGCAGTTTGAGAAGCATAAGTGCCACAGGAGTTTAAATTTCCATTCTCCCAGGAGCAAAGGCAGTAGCAGGGAAGATACAGCAGGGCACTGAACTAAATGCTATTTAGCATACCCTCCAATATTTATCCAATAAAAATAGGGACATCCCACTCCGTAATGATAATTTCACTATTTATACCCCACACATCTGATTGGGTTGCCCCAGCACTCTTGGGCAGCTTCCAACATATATAAAAAACATAATAAAACATTAAACATTTAAAGCACTTCCTTATACAGGATTGCCTTCAGACGGCTCGGGGATAGCTCCATACTCTCCAACGAAAATAGGGACATCCTAAGCAAAAGTGGGACATTCTGGGATCAAATCATAAACCGGGACAGCTTCTCTAAATCAGGGACATCCCTGGAAAATAGAGATACTTGGAGCATCTGAATTAGTGAATGCTATCATAGAAACATCATCCAGTTATTTAGGAGTGAACTTCTTAATGCTGAGGTACATACCAACCAACAAAAGATGTATCCACAATCCATTTCTGGCTTTGCTTTATGAAGCCATCTAATTTTACCCACAAAGAGTGTTGCAGGGCAGGTGCCAGTAATGGAAGCCCTGGCATCTTTTTTTTCTGGTGGAGTTTCTCTCTCTCAACAGCTGCCAGAAAAACAGAAGTTCCACAGGTGGAGCTTTCAGCAGCGTTGAGAGGCAATGAGGAGAAAATATTGTGGTGTGACCACAAGTGCCCCAAGTCTCCCAAGTTCTTGTTTCGTGTTAAGAAGGAACCTGGATCTAGAAGAATGGGATATGTACCTACTTGCATTGGAGAGAATAGGGCTATCATCCCCGCCTCACCTGTTCTGCCTTTATTCCTGAAATAAGAATATTGAGGGGTCCCTTCAAAGGGTTCAGTTTCTAAAGGAAGACCCGAGCTTCGGAGAGAGCGTACCTTTTAAGGCTCAAACCGGTCAGGAAATGAACAGCGACCAGACCAGGATACTCCTGTAATCTGATCCACTCCATCTCCTGCCCTACGGAGGGTTACGGAGTCAATTGCCCTTCCACCCCAGAATGGGATCTGACTTTGAGGGTTCCAACCAGGGTGTCTGGTGCTCTACCATCACCAGCGCCTAAGGATAAAGTTCCTTCAGCCCTCCAACCCAATGTTCTGTGCACGCCTACATGCAGACTTTCCGGATCATTGCTTCTTCTCGTAACCACAATCCAAAGATCCCCCGATCAGGGATAGCCAATGTGGTGCCCTACAAGTGTTGCTTCCACCATCCTTAGACAGCATGGCTTGTGGTCAGGGATGATGGGAGTTGTAGTCCTGCAACATCCAGTGGGGATCACTTTGGCTACTCCTGATGCAGATGCAAACACTTCAACTTGAAGTGATATATGCAGTTCCTCGCTATTGCCACCAGGTGTCTCTCTGAAACTGAATAAAGTGGATAGGATGGGTCTGGAAATGGGCTGGTCCAGATGTATTGGGACCCAAGATAAAACATCCACTACAATGAAGGAGTGGGCATTGTTCTTGCACAACTCCTGTTCATCTCTGTGGGGATTCAGCTATGGATTTGTGCTCCGTGGGTCAGATGGGGCTGTCCATCGCGTTAGTGGCACCCAAACTCTAATGCCCCAGCTGACCCCTTAGTCAGGTTGCTAAAATAGTGAGGAATCATAGAATCATAGAGTTGGAAGAGACCACAAGGGCCATCGAGTCCAACCCCCTGCCAAGCAGGAAACACCATCAGAGCACTCCTGACATATGGTTGTCAAGCCTCTGCTTAAAGACCTCCAAAGAAGGAGACTCCACCACACTCCTTGGCAGCAAATTCCACTGTCGAACAGCTCTTACTGTCAGGAAGTTCTTCCTAATGTTTAGGTGGAATCTTCTTTCTTGTAGTTTGGATCCATTGCTCCGTGTCCGCTTCTCTGGAGCAGCAGAAAACAACCTTTCTCCCTCCTCTATGTGACATCCTTTTATATATTTGAACATGGCTATCATATCACCCCTGAACCTCCTCTTCTCCAGGCTAAACATGCCCAGCTCCCTTAGCCGTTCCTCATAAGGCATCGTTTCCAGGCCTTTGACCATTTTGGTTGCCCTCCTCTGGACACGTTCCAGTTTGTCAGTGTCCTTCTTGAACTGTGGTGCCCAGAACTGGACACAGTACTCCAGGTGAGGTCTGACCAGAGCTGAATACAGTGGCACTATTACTTCCCTTGATCTAGATGCTATACTCCTATTGATGCAGCCCAGAATTGCATTGGCTTTTTTAGCTGCCGCATCACACTGTTGGCTCATGTCAAGTTTGTGGTCAACCAAGACTCCTAGATCCTTTACACATGTACTGCTCTCAAGTCAGGTGTCACCCAAAACTAGGCTGCTAGTTAGAACTGAGGACCTGCTATGGCTGACTGGTGTCCATTGGGACTGGTAGGGTGGGAGCCCAACAGTAGGTGGTGCCAGAGAACCCACAACTGGCAGAGACAACTCCTAGTCCCCCCCCCCATCCTTCTCCCTGTGGAGTGTGCAAGGAGCAATGCTGGGACTAAGGAGGGGAAACCTGGCAGGCAGTCCCGCCCCCTGGAGAGGCTGGGAGTGGGAAGGGAGGGCAGGTGGGTGTTGATGAAGGTTGTTGGGGCAGTGCCCCATTCCCCTAACAGATCAGCCTCTGCTAGGGCCTGTGTTTGCAGAATTACTGGGAGTGGGAATTAATGGTGGGGGCAGGGCAGGCAAGCCAGTTGCTGGGTCTCAGGCTGCATAAGCACCAAACATTTAAAGCACAAAAAAGAATCCCAGGACTCGGTCCAGGACTCTGTGAAGGATGCATAATGGTGGCCTGGCAGCTAGTAAAAGTGCTGTTATTGTCACCAGAGCCACGGAGGGGAGAACCAAGTTAGTTGCTCCGGGTGAAGCCTCCAGAGGGTGTCACTGAGGCTCTCAGCTTGCGTGTGACCGCAAATGCACATGGGAGGGTGCCACAACAGCAACACCCCTTAAGAAAAAAAGAGAAAGGAACTGTGTGAAAAAAGTAAAGGAACAGTTCCACGGCCACTGCTAATGACAAGTCCTACACCTGAGAAAATGTGGGAGGATTTCTCTGTCTCCTGGAGAATTAAGTAAAATCTACCCCACCCCCAAAAAAGTTCTCTGCCCACAACTGGGATTGAGAAATTTGAGAGACCCTTGGCCACAGCTCCATTTTTCTGTCTTCCCAACCATACAATCAAAAACCAGAAGATGCAAGGAAAATTACCCTTTTATTACTTAAAAAGAAAAAACCCCATACAGCAGAGTGGCACAGGACATGTTGTTAGGTGCCAACTAATGTGTTAATTATTCTTGACTAGGCGTCCTGAATCCTGTTTTGGCGCCCAGTTCTTTGTTCAGAGTCCCATCTTCCCAGAATAGGTCTCCTTTTCCTTAATCCTTTAATTCAACACTGTTATTTATGAGAAGGGGAATAAATCACAGCCTTCTTTTCGCTCCTGAAAATGGACTTTTATGGCTTTTGACGGGGTTGGGTTTCTGCTGCCCTTAGATGGCGAGGAGCGATTGCCATTAACCCTTGCCTTGCAGGGGTGAGAGAGGTTGTAGCGGGTGGGGAGGGTCCTTTGTGGCTGGGCGGAAACTCCCCAAAGCCCAGCAGCTCCAGCTAAGGGCATCTGAAGGAATGTGGCTTCTCAGGGTTTGTCAGGAGGAGACTGAAGGATGTTTTCTTTTCTGCACATTTCGAAGCACAAACTGGTTGTGGTTTGCTTTGCTTTCTCTATATATATTTAAATGCTTTTAGAACCCCATCTGCATTTCTGTTTTATCTTAAAAGTCTTCTGGTGTGGTGGTGGAGAATGGATACGACGAGTCAGGGTTTTAGGAATTTTTGAAAACCAAGAGCTTTGTAACTTGCATTCAAGTTTTGCATTTCCTTGTTCAGATCCTTTTTAAGAAAAAAATATTTTGTAGGCTTTTGAAGCTTAGACACCAGAGTTTTGGTTTTAGGAATTAAACAACAATAACTACGTAACTTTCATGCAGTTTTGTCTTTCCTTCCTCAGATTCTTTAAGAAAAATGCCCTTTCGCCTATGATGGTTTACAGCCCACTGATAATGTCTTGCAGCACAAACCCAACTGTGTCTACTGAGAAGTAAGTCCTATTGAATTCAGTGGGCTTACTCCCAGGCAAGTAGGGTTATGATTGCCATTGTCCCTTGGCTCTTTGTAACTTGTGGTACAACAGTCTACATGTCTGTCAGTCTGGAGAAGGAAGAATGTGGCTCTGACCTGCTTTCCAAGGAATTGGCTTCTTTAAATAGAGCACTGTTCTTCTGCAGGGGACGTTGCCTCTTTTGCTGGGAATGAACTGCAACCATTTCATCATGACATCATAGGGGAAGAGGAGCAGAGTGTTGCTTGATCCAGAGCCAGGAGATCATGCTTTTGACTCAGATCTCTCAGGTCCGAGCTCAGCTTCTAGTTTAGCCATGGACTCACCGGGTGTGCTCAAGTATTTAAGTCTCTGTTATCCATCTGTAAAATGGGCATTGCCTGCAGATGTTGGGCACAATGAGATCACCTACATAAATGTGCTCGATCCTCTATCAGCATGCGCAGACCATCTTTTGAACCTAACCTTTAACCTTTTGCTCTCCGCTAAACCTGGAGAGCTTATATACCAACACTGAACGCTGAACCAACCCTGAATTTGCTGGCTGTAGATCCTAACGTAACCAGAACAGCACCTTCTGCACAGAGGGAGGTGTCAGTGGGTTTGGGGGAACCCCAAAGGTTTGTGGAAGTGCAAACAATTATTTTGTTAGAAATCTCTAAGGGGTGGTGAAGCCAATCCAGTGCTCGTGCTACGGCACCTCTCCTGCGCTGCCCTCCCTGCGGCCTTACCCTTCTCCCTCCAGTAAGCTCAGGGAGGTGGCTGATGAGAGACCAGGGGCCACTGTACCCCTTTCTGCCAGCCACCCTTGCCCCCAAACAGCCCAAGCTCCACTGAGCATGCTCAGTGACTGCAGAATGCCATCAGACTGCTGGCAAAAATGGAAAGCTCAGGAGGGGAGAAACTCTGAATAGCAGTATTCCATGCTGCAAAACTTTGTTGCAGGTTCCACTTTTTTAAAACTAATGTTGGCCCACCATTTTGGCATGCATGCCTCAGAGAAGGTCTGAAGTGGGGACAGGGCTATGGCTCAGAGACCGAGAACATGTGTTGCATGCGGAAGGCTCTAGATGCAGACAACCAAGTAGCTGGTCGTAGAGAATCAGGCCCTTCGCTGCCAAAGTACTGGATAGCTGCTGGTGCCAGTCAGAGTAGGTAATACTGGGCTCAATGGACTATGGTTGCTTCTACACTGTACCTTTAGAGCACATTATTTACCTCAAAGAATTTTGGGCGCTGTAGTTTGTTAAGGGTTTCTTGGAACTGTAACTCTGACGGATAAACCACAGCGGCCAAATCCCTTCTGAGGAACAGAGTGGGTTTTAAAGGTCAGTGTGCACACAGCCAAATGGCCTGGTATCTAAGGAGGATATAAAGCACAAACCAAGTCCTGTGAGGAACCTGGCCCCTGTTCCTTGGGGTGCTTTGCCTCTCTAGTCATGGCCGGCCCACCCATGAGGCCGACTGAAGAGGTTGCCTCGGGAGGCAGAATCCCAGTGGGGTGGGGCCCCACTGGAGAAGCGGGGAGAAATGGCTGCAGCGTTGGCTTCTGGTGAGATTTGGGCAGAACCCGCAAGCTGCTGTCACACCACCTCAGTAAGCGAGGCTTTGGCGGTGGAGGCTGGCCCCTTCTGCTTCGCCTCAGGCAGCGAAATGGGACAGGTCAGTCTGGCCTCCCGTGCACTGAGCCGAGTCAAGAGGGCCAGGCCACAGTGCAAGCCTGGCCTCATGCTGGAACCAGGCCTACACCTCCACCGTCTCCCATGTGGGCACGGCGCATGTCCCAGGGTGCCACACTGCATATGAAATGGCACCCTCAACTGTCCCCTTGGAGGGCGAACTTCAGCAGTTGCCACTTGTCCCCCAGTGCGGAGAGCCAGGTGGCCGTGCATGCTGCTCTTAAAGGCCAAAGCGAAAGCCCATCTGGGATCTCTGGGGCAGCAGTGGCAAGAGATTGGTTTGTGAAGGGGGTGTGGGTGCTGCGGTTTGCTTACAGCTGTCCAGAGGAAGTATCTTGTTCCTCCATTTCCACAAGACTGGCTGAAATTGTCCAGCTGTTTGAAAAAATCTAGGCAGCAGGTCCGGGGAAGGCCAGGGGTTGTGGTTGTGTGTCTGCATATGTGTGAGAGAGAACAAGGACACTAACGAGAGAAATCCTGCCCAGCTGGTGGCATCAGGGTCCAAGAACAAGGGCTTAATGCAGTGGAACGCCCCTCCTCCTGGCGTGAACTGCAGGCGGAAAGGCAGGCGAGAGGTGCTGCCTTCCAAGCCAAGTGCTCCGCTTGCCAGAGGGAGCGATGCCCAAAGAAGGGAATATCTGAGCTGTGGAGCATCGCTCTCCAGGACGCTCCTGAGCCGCTGCCCTGGGTGCCAGCATCGCTTCTGTGCCAAGCCAGCCAAGACGTCCCAGGAGAGCTAAACCCTAAGCTCACCTTGGCCTCTCTTAAGCTCTGACAGCCATTATTAGCAGGCTGCACAAATCCATGCCGCGAGGGGTCTGGGACTGGCGCCATCAGAGCTCGAGTCAGGCCTGCCACGGAAGCAAGCGAGGGGGCACCCAAGGAAAGGGTCCGTCTGCAGGAGGCATCAGCGGAGCAGAGACTAGGGCTGTGCACATTTAAAGCACATGCCTTCCCCTCCAAAGAATTCTGGGAACTGTAGTGTACCCTTCACGGAGCTACGAATCCCAGCAACCCTGAACAAACTGTCTCTCGGGATGCTTTGGGGGTCACGTTTTTTAAAGTTGCTTTAAATGCAGGATGTATGCAGCATAGCATTCCGATGCACAAACAATACCTCTAAATTAAGGTTACCAGATTTTTTTCAAAGAATCTAGGGACAGTTTTTTTAAAAAAAAGAGAAAAAATTATTTAAAAAATATTTTTTAAAAAAGAGAAGTAGTATGCCATGGAGAAGGCTCGGGTCAGGCCTGGGCTCGGCCATGTGCCCTTGCCCTCCCGGTGCTCTCCTGCCTCTCCTCCTCATGGCAGCGGCACAGCAAGGTCAGGGCTCTCCTCTATTTTCTCCTTCCTCTTCCTTCTCCTCTCCTCCTTCTCCCTGCGTCGGCTCTGCGTTTTTACTGGCCCCGGAGCGCCGCTGGGCAGCCAGCCGGTTGGCTGGGCGCTCTGGCTCTCGGCTTGATTTGGGTCGCGGGGTGTGTGTGTCAGCAGTTCCCTCAGTTGACGCGCTGGGTGTCCCCAGTTCCCCCTCGGTGGTGGCAGTGCTTCTCAGCAGCCTGGAGCCAGCCTGGTAACGCAGTTGGCTCTGGCTGGCTTCAGGAGCTGTTCACTGCCATGGTGCCCGCCATTTTGCCTTGTCGGAAATCCCCATATGATGTGTCTTATGCCATAGAACCAATCACACAACATTCATTGCCTACTAATAAATCTACAACATTTAAAATATAAATCCGGGGACATTAGATGAAATCCGGGGACATTCTGGGGATGGATTTTGTCCAGGGACAGATTTGTAAATCCGGAGACTTCCCGGGAAAATGGGGACGTCTGGTAACCATACTCTAAATTAACCTCCAGTACAGCTTGTAAACAAAGTGTCAAAGTATAATTAAAACGGGATTTCTTTTTAGCGCTCAAATATCTTCATGGGTAGAATTTTGGTCATTCGTAGCACAGCCCTGTGAGGCTGGTCAGTTTTATCATTCCCCTTTGGGCAGATGAAGGAGTGAGAAATCAGGTTAGGCCTAAGGTGGAGCTGGGGATACTTGCGCTATACTACAGTTGCAGAGTATAGCAGGGGGTTTGTAAGCAGCTGTTGGAAAGTCTGCCCTGGAAGGCACAGAAAGTTGTTGGGGTGGTGTGAGAGAGGAGGACATAAAAGAGATCTTACAGTGGCTCCTTCAGCCTTGGAGTGAACCTGGTTTTGCAACTGAAGTGACAAATGTGCATCTTGGAGCACTGAACGCTGACTCGTCCATCAGTCATGCTCCCTTTGTCAATCCTTCAAGCAGATTGCCCCTTCTATTTTATTTCAACATCAAAAGCAACAAGAGGAGGAATGTAGCAACAACGAAAGCCAAAAGCAGTTCTTCTGGGAACTGGGGGCTTGAGGGTGGGAGAGGGGTTTTGTGATGATTGGTATTAGCCAATTGGGAGGCTGCCGAGCTGGCTTTTGCTGTAATAATGTCGTTCAGAGCTCAACCTCCGGGAAGGGAATTACACTTGGACCGAACAAAATCCAGGAGCTTCTAAGTTTGCTCTTGCAAAAATGTCATGTCTGCCTTTGATCTTCTTTCCTGACTCCTTTCCAGAACACGTTTTGACAAGGCCAAGAATTGGAATCCAAACTTTTTCCCTTATGTTTATATTTCTCTCTCTTTCCCCACAAAGACTTGTTGCCTTGCTGCCTCCCTGGTAGTTTACTCACATTGCAGACCCCAATACAGGACCAGCCCAGCTCCAACTCCCATCAGCCCCAACCAGAATGGGCAATGGCCAGGGACGGTGAGAGCTGCACACATCACCTGGAGAACGCCAGGCTGGCTCAGGCTGATCTAAATGAAGGGGGCACCACTGTTCCAGAGATCACAAGGCAAGCCCAGGCAACCTTTGGCTCCCCAGACCAGACTAAACTACAATTCCCATCATCCCTGGCCATTGGCTATGCTTGCTGCTGCCGATAGGAATTGTAGTTCCGCAACATCTGGAGGGCCACAGCTTCCCCACACCTGGCATAAAGGATGGATGCTCTTTTTGTCAGATGCAGCCCTGGTCTTCCTGGATCTGGGTGTGGGAAGTGGATGTCTCATTACAGGCTGTTTTAACACACGGCTGTGTTCTTGGAATACAGTGGAGTCTGTGTTTAATTTTTATAGGTGCCTAGACAAAGGACTGCATGTCACCCCTGCCATTCCCAGCCCCCGTTCCTCCTAAGTGAGTCAGGCCAATTTTAATTTGCTTACTGGGTTTATTTCATGACATTAATCCATGTTGCCTTTTAAAACAAAAAGAAGGCAGTAGTCAACTACCAGAGGAAATTCATGCTAAGTATATCTGGTTAAACGAAGAGGAGTGCTGCCACACAGCCAAGCTGGACCAGAACCTTCTTATTTCTGCCACGGCAAATGTCCCTGGTGTTTTGATCTGCCTGCCCAAGGAATCAGGACTCCTGGGCTCCCGCCCTGCACTGTGATTATGCATTGAGCAGGTGGGGCAGGCAGCTGCGTTTGGGAAATGTTGCCTCTGACCAATTTCCTCCCTCCCTCCCTCTCTCTGTACTGTCAGAGACCCCTCCCAGCATCTGCCCTGCTGTGGCTTTTTTGACTTCCTCTGTGCCAGAGAGCTGAGGAAGCTTTGCTGCTTGTTGTCTGCCAGCTAGGTGGAACCAGCTTGTAGCAAGTTGAATGCAGCAGGAGGTTTTTTTGGAGGGGGCGGTGGAAGCTGCTTGCTTGCTCAGTCCATGAGCAGCAGCTCTGCCCCCAATGCTCGCAGTTGCCAATAATATTCACACATGAGAGGGGTTCACAGCTCGCTGAAAGCCACTCTGCAACCTGTTTCTGTACATTCCCACAGTTCACAAAAGGATGGGGAATCTACACCTTCCAGGTGCTGAGTCAAATCCTCATCAGAACCAGCAAACATGACTGATGGTCATGGATGATAGGAAGTGTAGTCCAACAACCTGCAGCCTTTCTCAACCTGTGGGTCCCTAGATGTTGTTGAACTACAACTCCCATGATCCCAAGCTCACAGGACCAGTGGTCAGGGGTGATGGGAACTGTAGGCGAAAAACATCTGGGGACCCAGGGTTGAGAAAGGCTGGGAGGATCACAACCTCCTCATCTCTTTATTTGGTAGGAGGATAATTAATTTTTCTGAGTGTAGCAGCACCTGATCATTCTCCCCATGCAATAAAAAATACTTCTCCTGCTGACTGACTGCTGTTAAGGACACGGGAGCATGCCAGACTGATATTTTTAAAAAAGAAAATTTATGGTCAGTTGACAATCCTACTCAGTGGTAGAAAATGCACCCTGTAGGCGCTTGCTTCTTTCAAGAGAGCCTTGGCGTTTCATGAGCAAAGGCCTGCTGGAGGGGAGAACCTTCCTCACTCTCCTGCAAAGCGCTGCCTCACTTTGCATTGTAGGCAGAGGAAGGTTCTTTCCCCCCTTGCCTTAGGCTAAGGGTTTTCCAGGAAGGGTGTGAGCTTAACAGCAGCCATGCAGATTGCTCAACGGGTTATTGTGGCAGCTCTGCAGTGATTCAGACGCCTATCTTGCAGAGTTCAGCAACAGCTGCCAAAGTTGTCCTTCAAGTCAGCCCAAGCCCCGCTGGCGCCTGCAGATTGCGAGTGTGTTTAAGGCAAACAGTGTTTCAGCCCTAGACACCAACAGGGACATCAGGGATTTCTCCTATGCAAGTCAGTTAATTGACCATACATTGAGTGTGCACAAGAGAATTTCCAAGGGGTTGTCTCCCAAACTAGGTGTCCTAAATCAGCAGTAGCCCTCCAAATGCTGCTGGACTCCCAACTCCCATCATCCCTGACCTTTGGGCCAAGGCTGGCTGGGGCTGATAGGAGTTGTAGTCTAACAACATGCAGAGGGCCAGAGATTCCTTACCACTGCCAATCCAGAGTTAGAGTAATCTATATGCTGACTCTAAGAGACATAAGGCAGCTTCACAGTATTTTACAAGCTTCCATAAGATACACATTCAGGACCCACATAGGAATTCCTCTCTCCCACCCACTTCAGTCCCATTCTAATTCAAAATGTATGAAAATATGAAACTCCCACAACCCTGACTTTCTGTCCAGTATGTGTTGCTTTGCAAGTTCTGTGATGGACAAAGGACCTTCGTTGGGAAGGAAACAGCATTTTCCACTTTTAAAAAAATGTTTCCATATGAAGATCCTTTTAGGATTGTGTGTGTTGTATTTGGTAACTAGGGTGTCCTGGGCAAGATGGGCATGGGACATTTCAGGCTTCTAGATGGGGAAGCACTCGAACAGGCTTTTGGTAGACCCTGTGCATGTTCCAGTTCCAGACATCTTTCTGCATGATAATAGAGAAAGCATTGATCAAAAATTCTATAAAATCAAAGAGAAAGAGCGCCTCATCTTCCATCAAGAGTGCTGTAACAAGCCATTCTAGAACAGTGTTTGAAGTTGTGAATCATCATCATCTGACTTAATACAGGGGGGAAAGTAATTTCTATACCTTAAAAAAGAGAGTGCTGTAACAATGGGTAGATTTAGCAAGAAGCTCAGAAACAGAGCCACAAACCATAAACTCCACTGCAGAATGCTTGGTTGTTTTATCAGGGTATCTGAGGTCAAGATGAATGGGCTCTGCTCTGCTCCCTGGAAAAAATATTCCACAACCCTTCTATTAAAATCATATTTGAAATGAAAGTTCAGGTGCCAATTTAGCCTGGTTTAGTGGTGCCAGGACTTACTTTGATTTGGACACCACTTTGCCATTGTGGGGACCATTTACTAAAGATCAGAAATATGGTGAGCGAGCAGCAAAGTGGATTTGTTGGCGTTTTCTCTTTCCCAAGCTTCCCAAAAATAGCAGTAAAGCATAATACACTGAAAAGCAGGTCACAGAGCAGGAGCCAAAGCCAGTGCCCATTCGGTACCAGCCTGAGCATACTTCCAGACAACTTTTTCACTGAGCATTCACCCCGATTTGTTTGCAGGGAAATTAAAGGGTCAAAGCAAGTGTTTTCCCTCACTCTCCAGCACTTTCCTTATCATGAAAAGTGAAGTCTTTGGGAGAAGCAGGTTTGTTGCACAAGACCTTGAAAACAACTTTAATTGTGCAGCCTGAAATTTGCCAGGATGCAGATGCACCCCAGGACTCTTACCAGAACAGAAACCTTGGGGCCTTAGGAACCTAGGAAGTTGCCTTGTACTGCGTCAGATCACTAGGTCCATCTAGCTGACACTGAATCAGCCACCTAGCATGAGTTCCCGGTGCCAGGGGAGCATGCACTGGAGGGGCATGCATGTGCCAGGGGGCGGGGCGCAGAGGGTGAAGGATCCCACTGTGGCACACCAGCCGACACTGCCAGAGCGGCCCTGCCCTGCCCCAGAGTTCAGCAGGGCTGCGCTGTACCACCTACCCATCCATGCAAGGGGGAGCCAGCCAACGCGGCACTTGGTGGGGGCAAAGTAAGTGCCCCCACGCTGGCACCCCCAGCGTGGCCTGGCCTGCTGCTCCTCTCTGCATGTGTTGCTAGGGTTGCCATACATCCAGAATTTCCCAGACATACCTGAAATACTGCGGTCGGAAGCAGTGTCCAGGCAGAAATCATCAAAATGGGAAAATCCAGACGTACGGCAATCCATGTCAGCAGTGTCATTTTTGCCAGCTTTCCTTTAAAACAGCTCCACAACTAAGAAAGCTCAACAACTTTGGCCCAAAAGGGTGGGGGGAGCTCAACACTTTTATGGCCACCCTAAGCGTTGCTTCCTCTGATGCCAGGAGAAGGGCCCTGGAGGCACCTGTTTCATACCCAGTCAAAAATCTGCTCTGGGCCACCGCCCTGCTGGCACACACCCACCCCGCTCCGCCCCTGCACTGACTGGTAGCAGCTTGGCAGGGTGCACTCCCTGTCCTACTTGGAGGTGCCACTGGGGTTTGAACCTGGGACCTTCTCCATGCAAGGCAGCCGCTCTACCCCTGAGCTGTGGCCCTTCCCCGGGAACTTGCTGCTGAGCTCTTTGCTGCATGCTTGGTGGCAAGCCAGGAAACAGCAGGGTGCAAAGACGTGAAACCTGCCAGCTCATGGCTAGGCACACTGAAGTTTCCCCTGCACGGTAGAGGCCTCCGTGCTGTGCGCAGGTAGAGACGCTGGCCATAATGAACCACAGGCAGCTGCAGCCTCAGCACCTCCACCACCAGCCTGAGTTCCCACAGTGGTGTCAGCTCAGATCACAGCCGTACTGTGCCTCTTTCCGCTGTAGCAGAATGAGATTGTTTAAAAATAGGTTTAGTGAGTACATCAAACCATATATTCACACATGAAACCAGAATAGACAGAGCTTAACTCCCAGGGCTTTGGCAAAGTGCTTGAGATTGGCTAACCTGCAAATGCATGGCCAGGAGCTTTAGCGTTCATGTTCTCGGTAGCTGGGCAATCCTCCGCAGCCACCAGTGTTTTGAGAAGGTGAAGCCACGTGGAGGGAGACAGTTTGCTCTGGAGGGAGCACATGCAAGGCGAGGATGAACTAAGTGCTACATCCCAAGGGGTAGAAAACTGGGAGCAGAGTTTGAGGAATTGGACATCTTCTGCAGAAGCATCTCCTGCTTATGTCCTTGCATGCATATGTAAAAAGAAAGCAGATACTGCAAATACATTCCAGCAGTTCACTAAGTCCTGCACTGTTGTGTGTGTGTGGGGAGGGTTTACTTCTCATCATATAGGGGTTGCCTCCCAGATGTTAGGACTCCCAATTGTCTCTGACTACTGGCTCTACTGTCAGGGGCTGATGGGACTCCAACAACATCTGGAGGGGGCCCCTGACTTGGAGGGAATGTAATTGGGGTTGCAAACTAGCAGCGCTGAACTCTGTGCCAAGATAATCAAGTTATAGACCCCCTCCCCATCTCAATTATACAAATATGCAAGTTTTCTTACCTTGCATAATTTTCATTTTGCAACTCAGGGGAAAGTAATGACATAATAAGCAGTGAAGCCCCCACCCACTCAATTCAATTATGCGAAGGCTTCTGAGATTTCAGTACCTTTGCCCACATATTATTAAGCGTTATCTTTGCAATCAAAGAAGACAGAAAGTTGCTTCCCCTCTCCTCAAAATGGAAAACCACCAAACTCTCTGCCAAACGCTACATTCCACATTATTTCGCCCACTTCCACAGAATTGCAGCATATACACAACCCTGCTATTAGGGGGACGCATATATGGTGGATGAGCACCGCTCCACCCTAGAGAGCCAGCATGGAATGTTGGTTGGTTGTAGGCCTCGCTTACAATTACAGCTGAGCAAGGGCACTTCTGGACTGAATCCCACCCCAAAATAGAGACAACCACACGCCAGTAAATTCTTATTGGGCAATCACAGTGGACTGGGAAGTTTTGCACAACAACCCCACTTCCTCAAACGACTGGCCTTTTTGCATTAAGGGAGGTAATGGGAAAGTGCACTGGAAAGTGTGGGGCAGCACTTGCTTTGATGCAACACTATTTAACTTCCCCAGAAACCAATTAGGACAAATGCTTAAAAATAAAAAATCAGGCCACCTGGAAGCACCCTAAGAGTAGAGAGACGAGCTTATTGTCAGGAAGACAAAATGCACTGGCTTTTAAACAAAAATGACCAATTGTTATTTTCCCCCCTGTAGTCCTTTTCACTAGCAGGCACAGGTTTCTCTATACCAAATATGACTCTTCTCCCTCCCTACCCCCCTCCGAAATTCCACACTCATTTCCATTCTACTTCATACCCTCAGCCTCCCTGAGTGTTTCTGCCAAGCTGGCCTGCATCCTTGAACTCTGCCTCTTGGATGCCTAGATGAAGAAGAGTGTTGGTAGAAAGCAGCCTCCCATACAAAGGTTAAAAATGTGTTTATTTCTCCACCCACCTTTGCCTGTTGTCCCACCCACCACTTACAGGTAGCCCCTGGATAGTTGCACAGCCGGGATTGTGGCCCTCAGTCTGATTTCCCCCTCCCACCTGCCATGCAAGCTCAGTTAAGCAGAAACAACACTGCTGAACCCTGTCCTTGGAGTGTCCTCGCATCAAGGGAACAGCCCTACAGGCTGCCCATATCTGTCAACTTTCAGATTTGAAAATAAGGGATCAGCAGCCTCACCTGTCTCGGGGACAGTTAGGGGATATCTAACAATCTGGGATAGCAGTGGGAAGTGGCGCTGGAATAAGGGAATTTCCCGCAAAAAAAGGGAAGCTATGAGGCTGCCATAATGCTCAAACTAAACATGGGAGACCCATGCTTCTCTCTTTGATGCTTAAATGTGTTTCAATGCTATTCCATTTCCCTCCATGGAGCTCAAGGAGAGGCATACGTTATTTCTTGTACCCTCTTCAGTTTCCACCTAGCTGTTTATTTTGCTCAATAAGTACTGAATTTTGATCAGTTGGCCTGGAGAAGCAGGGTGGGGAACAAAAAGCAAGAATGAAAAGGGCAAAAAAGGACGTTTACTGAAGAAATCATGGAGTAGGAAATGCACTAAGGCCCATTTTGATTGTGGCGAATACTGATCACAATCTGAAAATGTTAACCAAGTTAAACTTTGAACACAAAACTTTAGCCGAGCGCTATTGCTCAGTTCTAGAGAAACGCAAGGCAGATTTTGAACCACAACTACCTTCTGGTCTAGGTGGGATAGGTTTGAGAAATACTTGCTGCATTCTAAGCTAATGATTTTCAAAGTGTTCCTAGTAACCCAGGAGTTTCATCCTAAGAGTAGCAAGGGACTCTCCTAGGGGGAGGTTGCCCACCAGACCTCTGGGGCTGTGCAGCCATTAAGCACCTTAGAGCAGCCTTGCTGGCTCCGCTCCAAGGCCCATCTAGTCTAGCATCTTGTTTGCACAGCAGCTAAGCAGATGCCCAAAAGAAGCCTGTGAACAGGACCTGAGTATTCTCCCTCTCCAGAGTTTCTAGCAACCAGTGTGCAAAAGCATCTTGCCTCCAACCGTTGAGCCGCTGTGGCCAGCAGCCATTGAGAGGATTCCACAAACTCATTGGGGAGAAGATTCCATAGTTTAACTGTGTGCTGTGAGAAGGACTTCAGCTTCACTGGATGCTCAGGAGTCCTAGTGTTCTGAGGGGGTGGGGGCCACCCTTATGCACTAAGTTCAGAATCCTTTGCTAGATAAAGCCATGGGCAGCTATTAGGGAGAGAGATACAGATGTTCCCCCTGAATTAACCATTAATTCAGATTCCCAGCTTTAGGTTTAGAAAAGTTTCCAGCCTTTGTAGAACTGTACAAACAAGGTCTCGCTTGTTCTGTGAGAAACTAGCCAGGGACCACCGCCTTTCTGTTATGTAGGTTTGTTTATTTGACCAGAGGACAGAGGCCCAGGTGTGCAGGAGTCCATTATCAGGACAGCATGGAAAGGATCTCCATGTGTCTTCTACTTCCGAACACACTGGCTCCAAGTGGAAATCAACACAGCCCAACAAACGAACAGCTGAGTCCGCCTTTGCAAAGGGACCAAGTTAACAGAATTGACCAGGACAACCAAAAGCCATTTGAAGCAGAACTTTTATTCCCTTCCCTCCTCAAAAGAAAGGAGACCGGCAGTTGTGCACAACAACAATAACAACAACAAACAACAACTTAAGACTTGGAAGGATTAAAACAAGATTTTTGGTTATAAACTGGCAAAGCAAGGAGAGGCACAACAGCAGCTCCCGCCACTTATCTGTGTATCAATGGAGCTTCCATCTCAAGCCGAAGAAGGGAAAGTGAAAATCTAGAGAGAAAAGGGACCGGCCGCCTGCAGTTCCATCGGGTGCAGTGGTTTTTGCTTTGTTTTGTTCTCTCAAGCAGTGGATGGCACCGATACAGGTATGTGGTACCAGGTGCCTGTTTTTGAGGCAGGAAGGACGCCTTCCTGGCAAACTCAGGGAGGGAGGCACAAAATTCAGTCCATGGGCACGAAGCCAGTGCTTTGGCAAGAAAAGCAAAATCAAACCTGCCCCTCAACACTCCTCCCCTCCAAAAAAGGGTGGGGAAGGGGGGAAATCACTGACAAAACTGGTTGAAAAGAGTTAGTGCTGCATGTAAACAGATCCACAGGAATCCGCCCCCCCCATCCCAAGGGCGACTTGCTCCCTTTCCCCACCCACACTGGCACAAAGCCTGCCAAGGAAGTTTAAGAGGCAGCGTCTCAGGTGGGCGGGTTGGGGTAGTGGCATTACAAAGAGGGCTCAAGAGGGGCAGTGTTATAATCGGGGGTGGGGTGGGGGGAGGATTAAGGCACGGAGACATGGAAGGGGCTGCCAGGGATGTGCTCCTCTCCCCACTTCACCACCAGCACATAATCCCCTCTGTCCTTGAGCAGGTAGGTGACGTTGTAGAGCCGGTTGCCCAGGTGCTTCACCACAATCTCCTCGCAGGGGGTCTTGGGGCCATGCACCCCCACCAGCAGCATGTTGTTCCCTGCGGAAAGAGCAAGGGGCGGGAGGGGGGGTCCAGTCAAAAGTGATGCATGCTGTAATATTTAGGTCGGGAAGAGCTAATCCGTTGAAAGACCTAATATTTAAGTATACAAGAGAGGCAAAAAGGTGTTTCGCTCCAAATGTCTCACTAACTCAATTATCCCTCCCCACTCTTCTCTCCTTCCATTTCTAGACCAGCCTCCCCCAATCTTGAGCCCTGCAGGTGATTTACTGCTGACTGGGGCTGATGAGATTGTTGTTGAAAGCAGCTGGAGGGCACCAGTATTGGGGGAAACTGGTCCAAACATGCAAGTAAGCAAACAGCTTACTTTTTTTTGTCCCTTTGTTCTCCTTCAGACCCTCTCCAGTCCCCATCCTTCCCCCCACCCCCTGCACAGGTTGCCAATTAATGGCCTCACTAGAGTTGCCAACTTTGGGCCTCAAGTTCTGGCACCTCAGGCTTTGCCTCTGAGCACCCTGTTGTGTCTCTGGGAGGCCACCCTTGAAGAAGATCCTGAATCCCAATTTATTTTAGGAGCTACTGTGCAACCTTATTTGGTCTAGGCTAGGTAGCTTATCCTTGCTATTTGTGGTGGTGTTTTGTTTTAAAATACACTTCCAAGTTATATGACTTGTCCATCCATCATTTCCCACATCAAGCTCCTCAGCTAGGATGGGGCCAACCATACATTTCAATTCGAAACACTCATCTGACCCCATAAGCAAACCCACCCAGACCATCACCTGGTCAGTGTCCAAATTAGCTTTCCAAAGCTTCTAACCGCAGTGACCAAAACCTTGCAGTTGTGTGCCTTTCTTCCCGTCCCCACCTGCCAACAAATCTACACCCACCTGCTTTGCTGCAATCGACAGTGAAAGAGTTCTTCTGCCCCACAAAGCCCTTGTTGAGGCCCAGGCCCTTGGCAACCACCTTGCTGGCATCAGAGGCAAACTTGGGGGCTGCTCCATCATGTTTGGCCACTCCATCCATGAAGACCGAGGAAGTCTCGTGGAGGCTGTGGCTGGGGACGAGACGGGCCCCTGTCAAGGAAAAGGAAGGACGATTACACAGGTGCGAGGAGCGTAAGGCTGTATCTGGGAACACCCTCTTTGCCTCCCCTTCCCGAAATTACCATCAAAATTGGCCTTCATCATCCTGGTGCCCTCCAGATGCCGTTGCACTCCAACTCCCATCAGCCTCTGCCAACATGGCCAGTTGGCAGGGTTGGTGGGAGTTGTCACCCAGCTTCTGGAGGGCAATTGGGGTAGGCCGATCTATGTTAAGGTTGCAGTCTCTGCTACAACATGAAGGTTACAATGCTACTCGTGTGTCCTCAGATATGGTCCATAGTCTGGAGTGATGGCAAAGCCCTTAAAAAGTTGGACACCTTCTTGCCTAAGCCAGGCTTCTCTCTGCCTCCCAGCCCAGGCTCTTACCTGTGATTTTGGCCTTGAAGGGGCTGCCAGCAATGTGGTACGGGCCACCATATTTAATGGAGATGAGGTAGCTGCCAGGTGCCATGGGTGTGTAGATGACCTTGTAGCCCTCTGGGCACTCTTGGCAGTCCATCTTCACCTTAGAGGGACCATCAATGGTGACGGCCAGTGCCCCAGGCCCAGCATTTGTGGTGTTGACTATGAACTCAGCAGGGCTTCCTGCAGGGGAGAAGAGCAAGAGGCGGCAGCTTCTCTTCAAGGCTCTGGGCAGCCTCTCATCCCTCCCCCCTCCCTTCCTCTAGGCTCTCTTATTACCTGTCATGCCACCTTCTAAGCCAGGACCGTAGGCAGACACCATCCCTGGGTCCCCAGCTTGGCCCAGCTCCCCAACACGGATCTTGAAGGGACTGCCGGGAATGTGGCTGCCATTGAACTTGACGTCAACAGAGTAGATACCATTCTCACGGGGGATGAAACGCACAGCGTATTTGTCTGTGGGAAAGGTGAGAGGAGGAAGAACAGGCAGGTGTAAGCAGCCTTCCAGCAGTTGTCATTGGCTCTGAGAAGTCGTGTGTGTGTGTGTGTGTGTGCGCGCGCACACACACACACACGTACCACAGAATAGATCCCAGAAGAGAAGCACAAGGAAGTAGACAATTTAGTGGAGATGACCCCTATATACTAAAATATATCCAGCAAATTCAGCCAGCATGAATGACACAGGCTAATGGTAGCTCAGTAAACCTGGGGCCCTCCAGATGTTGTTGGACTACCTCTCCCATCATCCCTCATCATCGGCCTGCTAGCTGGGGCTGACTTAACTGCTTAAGATCAAGAGCTAAAAGCCAGATAGAGACCTGTTGGGGTAAGCTCTGGTTTTAAAAAAGCACACTTGAAGTGGAACTTGGTTTAGAGCAAAAGGCATTTGCCAGTGGGCACGCCAAAACCAAAATGCGCTTGGCTGGGAGAAGCAAAGGGGAAGTGGCTATGGGGAGCATTTCCACTCCCCTCACCTGCCCTTTTCTCTAGAAGAGAATATTCCCAAGGCCAAGCTCCTCACATGTAGCCTGTAGTTCTGTGTCTGCTTCCTTCTCTAGTAAAAATAAGCACATGGGTCCTGATCCAGATAGGGGTACAATACACACGAGTGTGACGGTTACTAATAGTTTTTAAAGCTCCCAAAGGTACCCTGTTTCTTACTCTAAACACACATCTGCAGCTACAGGTTACATAACAAAGCACAATTTTGCAGTTTAGACCGCCTTGCTTTTATTTGCAAATGAAACACCTTGGCTATTTCAGCCCTTGCCAGTCTTACTTTGTATGCTGTTACAGCAGAGCTTTCCAAACATTTCATGTTGGTACACACTTTTTAGACATGCATCATTTCACGACACAGGAATTCAGTTTTACTAGCAAACCAGAGATTAAACTAACCCCTTTCCACCCTGGAAGGAGTGCAGGGAGAGTTCATGCAACACACAGCTTGGAAAGCTCTGCTCTACAGAAACAGCCCTAATCTGCCCCTGAATCTTACTGAGCACCCTAAATAGGTCCAGATTTGGGGAACTGAATATTATGGACCCACCTTCACAATTTCATAGATGAGCTGCACATCTATTTATCTTGAACCACAATAGAGCTTGGCCTAATTTTTGCAACTTATTCAAAAGTCTGCAGCCTTGCCTCAAAGTGTGGAGTCACACCAGGCAGGAGATTGTGGGCTGGCATGATGGCTCACAAGCCAGGTGGCAGGAAGCTGCCCATGGGGACTCGCATGCCATCATCGCCACCACCAACACAGCAGATGCCAATACAGGAAACCAGCAGTGCAGACACAGCAGCATTTTGACACAGCAGCCTGCACAGAGAACTGCACGAGCTCTGGCCTTTGCAGCAACAGGGCTGTGACCTCCTAAGTAAAGTAACTTGGCAAAATGGGCACTCTAGGGGGGTGGCTCGTGAGCAGCAATTGCTAACCCACAACCTGAGTCGAGACAGCAGCAGGAGAGAAGGGGTGTTGCTTTTTTCTGTCCTGCACAGCTTAAGACACACCCTGCCCACTTCCACTCACAATTCCATGAAGAGAACCGTGCTGGGAGAGTCCTCAAGCCAGCAGGAAGCGACTGGGCGCTTAAAATTTGTCTTTTTGTTGGCCTTGGGCATGTTTCTGCCCCTCCCATTTCCTCTTCTGCATTGCCAACTGAATCGGCAACTGGGAACTGGGATCAACCCCCACCTCCAGACAGCCTTTTTTTTTGTTACCACACCTATTCTTAGTTGTACGGCGTAGTAGTCAAATAAGCTGTACTCAGAGTATGCCTACTGAAATCAAGGAACCTAATGGAGTGATAAGTCACTTTGAATCACCAATTATTAGTTACTGTTTTTACAAAAGCAACTCAAAGTGGCTTATCACATCAATCACATAACATTCACACAAAAATCAGCATAAAACAAAACAGAAAAATCTAAAACACATCCATGTTTTTAAAAGGCAGGGTCAAAACAATTTCAATGGGTCTACGCTGAGAAAAATTTAGCTGAGAACCTGAGAAAAGCAGTTTGAAGTTGGGAGGGGGCAGAGTAAGGAGGATGCCAACACCTCCCAGCTCAACATCACTCAGTCCCAGAAACAACCGCTGAGATTTTTACGCAATGCATGGGTTGCTGTTACAGAAATGGAAGCTGAATACTTGGGTGTGTGGGTGTGGGTGTCCTGGATGTGAATGACCCATCTTCCAACATAATTAAATAATGACTCTGCCTCCAACTGCAAAGCATCTATTTTATTTATATATTAGACTTATATACCACCACCACCCCCGTTATCAAAAGATCCCAGGGAGGTTCACAACGTCTAAGCAGATCATTCTTTAATAAACCCATTGGATCTGCTTGGACCTTATATCACCTCAACGGGAAAGAGGCCAACCACACACAGAAAAATCTCAAGCCCAAGGAACCTGTTGTGGGCCTCAATTATTTTGGAATTACAATCCAAACTTGCTGGAGCTGATGGGAAATGTCAGTCCAACACCACTTGGAGGGGCCACAAGTTTCCCACACCTGCTCTACACCATCAGATGCCTGCCCTCCCCTGTTACAGTTGCTAGGAGTTCATTTTAGAAAGGAATAATAGAACTGTAGATTTGGAAGGGATCCCAAGGGTGATCTAGTCTCGTCCAACCCCCTGCAATGCAGGAATCTCGACCAAAGCATCCAAGGCAGGCGGCTACCCAACCTCTGCTTAAAATTCTCCAAGGAAGGAGAATCCACCACTTCCCGAGGGAGTCCATTCCACTGTCAAAAGAGAAAAGGACCCAACAGCTCTACCTTTGGGAGGGAAGGGGGTGGGTCATCCACTGTACAGCAAGCCTGACCCTGCTCTGCCAGGCCCTCCTTACCTTCGTCAATTTCTGTGACATGGCACTCTTCTAGGGCCCCCGAGGGGCTGTGCACCTTGGCATCAATCACACCTTTGGCCCCGTTCAAGCTGATGGCAAACGAGGCTGGCTGGTTCACCTTTAACCCTGACTCCTGGAAGCACACAGCACGTTAGGCAGCAGAAAGGACAGAGCGGGCAATGGCATCAAGCTTCGGCTACCACAACCCCCCCCTCCTCACCCCCTTGAGGACAAGGCAGAAGATCACTTACCTGAGAGCCAGGTGGCTTAGAGAGGGAGAGCTGCCCCAGGAAACTGGGCCGCAGTGCAAGAGGCAGGCAGGCAAGCAGCAACAGGGGAGGATTTGTTAGGCTAGTACCCTGAAAGAGGGAGGCTGGCAGTTTTCAAAAGGATGGCAGCAAGATTGGCAGAGGCATGGGCCAGGGAAGCTCTCCATCTTTAAGCCCCAGCAGCCAAAAGGAGCCGGGGACTGTTAGCAGCCTTTAAACGAGACACGAGAAAAACCCCAGAGCAGATCCCTAGATGGCCAGCAGGGCTGACACAGTGGCTGTCCCAAGGCTGGCACAAGGCACCCACAGAATCATAAAATTGTGGGGTTGGAAGGGACCACAAGAGTCCAACCCCTGCACCCATCTTGTCCTAAGTTGTTTAATCACCTTATCTTGGCAAAAACCTCAGCCACACCACACCCCCAGATCAGTACAGATTGGGAGCACACCCTCGCCCCAATCTGCGTCTCCTCCCGCCCCACTTTCAGGATCCAAGTCTCTTGGATCAAGGAACAGCCAGCCCAGGAGAGCAACAGTGCCAACTCAATCCAGCCAGCAGGGGGAGCAAATGGGCGGTTTCTCCCAGTGCCTCACCTGAAGACTAGAAACAGTGAGTCGACGGGCATCATCTGAGGTGGAGGTGGCAGGTACCACAAAGGGACTGTCTGGGATGTGCTCATCATTGAACTTCACAGAAACCTCGTAGTCTCCTGCAAGCAAAGAGGAAGGAAGAGGAATTAAGGATGCTTATCCAAAAGGCTCAGTCAATGGGTGACTGGAAATCCAGGCATGGGGAGTTTTTTCTTGTTTGAGCATGAGATCAGCACCTGAAGCCTTGCTCTGCATCAGGCTGGCAGGTATTGGGGGCTTTTCAGCAGTGGCCATGCACATCTTTGCAAATACATACGGCTACATCACCGATTATTTTTAAGGAAACACTCTGAAGATTTCTTTATTATTATTATTCAGTCTGCATTTAGTTAATAGAATGTAAAAAGAAATATTAGATGTTGCCACTGCCAATTTTAATTGAATGATTTTTTAATTTAATGATGTTTGTAATTATTGTATTTTCTATCAAATTATCAGTTTGACGTGCAGATGGGTCCCCATATGGAACAATTACCACATATTTACTATTTGGGTAATGTCAGCATGAAGTTGCATTTCATATTTAACAGTTTTCGTGAAATTACATATTTCAACAACTGAACTGCCAAAAATGGGAGTGAGAGATGCTCCAAAAACATTTTGAGTGATGCTTTCTGTATCTTAAAAGTTTTTAGTAGACTTCAAAATTCACACCTCTAGCATGTAGAAGTTCTTCTAAAACACCATACTACCTCAAGCCCCAATCCTTAATTAATACATTCTGTTTGATAAGGATGGAGGTTATAATAATGCATCTCCCAAATACAATCTGTTGAAAGCAGCCCTCCCCTCCCCACCTTCAATAAAAAGCATTTGAGATCTAGCTGAGATTCCCTCCCCTACTTGCAAACTGTGGGGCAGCCAATTACCCAGCTTGCGTTCCAGATGGCCGCTTCCAAAGATCTGCCAGCCTCATTAGCAAACAGAAAGCTCTTTAGAGCACTGGATCCATTCCAGGTAGTTGGCAACACGATGCCTCTTGGATTCCAGAAGTTGGCTGCCTGCAGATTCCCTGAGTGGCTTATGGGAGCCGTTCCCAAGAGAAGGAGCTAGAACAAGCTCTGCAGAGAGGGAGGGAGGCCTGCCTCTGGAGCTTCTCCAGCCGCCACCCGTTGGACCAGACCTCGGCTTCCGAGTTGCAACATACAACTTCCATCTGCCTTGTGCTCAACATATGATTCTTTGAATCGGATGTTGGAACAAGATCCTTACTTTATTATTGCTTAAGGCAGATCTACAACCTGTGGAGCAAAGAGCAGCAGGGATCTCCCTCCACTGAGCCTTACACCAGCCATATTCTCTTTCTCTCTAATACCTGTGTCTTCTGGCTCCTATCCCTCTGCCTAGAAACAGCCGGAAGCCTTGCAATCTCCAGGCCTTTGACCTGGCCATTGAAAACCTAGATGGATTGTTTTTAGATCACCTCTCCACAGTGATGTGTAAGGCTGCCCTTCTTGGCTCTTGCGTTCTCTACTACCTTCACACACCCCTCCCCTCAGATTCAGTTAAATTGGGAGCTATCTACATCCGTTTAACACCACATTTGTATACCACCTCTCAACTGAAACAAGGGCCATTCCACAAGCTTGGTTTACAAGGGGGAAAAGTATGAAAGCCAGTGCAAATGCCAAGAGTGAGGGTAGCCATGATGGCAGCGGCGGGGGTTCTCCAGAAGCTGCCGGACTACAACTCCCATCAGCCCTAGGGAGCATAGCCAAAGGTCAGGGATGATGGGAGCTGTGGTCCAGCAACATCTGGAGAGCACCATGTTGGCTACCCCACTCAGTAATGGAATTGGAACACAATATTGAAAACCAAGAAGAAAAGAGTTAAACCCTTCAACATCGAATTAAATGTCGGATGTAATAAAAACGGTGGCCACTTCCCCCTGGAAACCATCAAGGACAGGGCCAGTCTAGCCTCCCTAGGGAGGGGATTCCAGAACCAGGGACCTGCCCCAGAAAAGGCCGTTTTGCCCTGACACCAAACATCCCCTCTTTTGGTGGAGAGAACCTAGTCCTTCACCCTGTAGTGCTGATAAAGCCTGTTTTCAGTCCACACACCCCTCATCTTGGCGGCCTCTTCTCCTAAAGCTGAAGGCCAACACTGAAAGCTGGAGATGGCAGAGCCCAACATTTTGATCTCTCACTAAGTATTCCCTAATCCTCATGCATCTGCTGCAGCTGGCAAAATTGCCCCACCTCACCCTCTCAGGCACACAGAACACCCCCCTTCCCTCCTGCATCCATGCCTTCCCTTCTTTAAATCTCCTGTTAAAAACCCTCAGCCCATGCAGCCATCTTCTCCATGCAGCACCCATGACCACTTACCAGGTTCTTGCACAATGTAGGAAACACCACATGAACCATCTTTCCGGTCTTCAAAAGCAATCTCTGCCTTACTGGGGCCCTCCACAGCAATGGAGAGGCCACCAGCCCCAGCCTCCCGCGTCCAGATGCTAAACTCAGCTGGGGAAGAAGGCAAACAAGTCTTATTAGGAGGTGCTCCATCATTCTCTTTTGTTAATGCAAATCCCACCTTAGCACTAAGCTTGGGACAAAAAGCCTTTCTCTTACTAATATCCGAAACATCCTTTGCAGAGTTTGTTCCAGTAACCACTGCATAGCCTTCCCCAACCTGGTGTCCTCCAGAGATTTCAGATCCATCAACCCCAACCATTGGCCAAACTGGCAGGGAGCTTTAGTCCAAAATGTCTGGAGGGCACCCCATGCTCTAGTGGGACACCTTCGCAGGTGGTGTGGATCCTGACCCTTGTGTTTGGGGATGCTTCTTCTGATATAACACTTAAACCAAAAACAGCCAACATGGCGCTCTGCAGGTGTTGCTGGACTACAACTCCCATCAGCCCTAGACAGCATAGCCTTGTCAATGGTGATGGGACCTGTAGTCCAACAGCATCTTTGAGGGCATCATGTTGGCTACTCCCAACTTAGGGCAGAACTGCACCATACATCTAAAGCACCTTCCCAAAGAAGCCTGGGAACCACAGTTTCCCACTCACAGGACTACAAGTCACAGTACCCATAACAAACGACAGGGCTCAAGATTCTTTGGGGAAGTGATGTGCTTTAAGTGTATGCTGTGGATTTGCCCTTAGCCACAAGGCCCAGGGGGATTCTGATAGCAAGACTGGTGGTGCTATATAATCATCATCCAAGAACACTTGAGTTTTACAGAACACGCCCAGGGGACAGGCCCCTCTTCTCGGGATATGGGAGCTGAAAACTGAAGGGAGATGAAAGGACAATGTGGCCTGGTGGGCGGAAGATGACATTGGGAACATTTCCCCATCATTTCTTTATCATTAAATGGTGCCTAACCTATGGTTCTATGGACTACAGCTCCGATCATCCCTGACTACCATTTTTTTGCTGTCTCGGGCTGATAAGAGTTGTGGGTCCCAACAACTTCTGAAGGATGATCAAGGGTCTGGAAACTAGGACTTATGAGCAACAGTTGAGGGAGTTGGGTGTGTTTAGCCTGGATAAGAGGAGAGGAGATAGGAAAGCCCTCTACCAGTATCTAGAGGGCTGTTACATGGAAGAGGGAGCAAACTTGTTTTCAGTGGCTTCAAGTTACAAGAAAGGAGATTCTAACCAAACATTAAGAAGAAGCTTCTGACAGAGCCATTGGACAGTTGAATGGGCTCCCTTGGGAGGTGGCGGACTCTCCTTCACTGGAAGTGTTTAAGCAGAGGTTGGATGACCATCTGCCATGGTTGCTTTAGCTGAGATTCCTGCATTGCAGGGGGTTGGACTAAATGACCCTCGGAGTCCCTTCCAGCTCTACCATTCTGAGATTCCAGGGTTCCAAGGCACCCCTGCAGTCATGTCAGACAATGCAGGCTGACCTGCCTCAGTCCCCATCACTGCCTCAAAAGACTTTTTCAGGCACAGGTTGTACCAGCTTAAGTGCTAGCATCTCACACCCCTCCCTCCCACAACTCCCAAGTTACACCCTTTTGCCTATCCTGTCCCCTCCCCACCTCCATCCAAGGCCACAGTCCTACCTGGCACGCCAGCTTCAGCTCTCTCCAGTCCAGGGCCACCTGCCCGGACCTTGTGTGCGCCACCCTCGCCAAGAGGGCCCACGGTGAACTGGAAGGGGCTTCCGGGCACATGCTGCCCTTTGTACTTGACGCTGACGGAGTGGATGCCCGTCTCAGTGGGCACAAAGCGGATGCAGTAAGTGTTGTTTTCTGCCTCCAAGATCTCTGCATCGTGGGACTTGCCTGAAGGGCTGGTGACCTGAGCCGTCATGTCCCTGATGTTGATTTCTGCGGGAGAAGGGGCAGCAAATAAAACAGCTGTAGAAACATGGGACCGCAGCTTCACTCCTTCCCTACCATCAGCCAACAGCACTGTGCTAAGACCATCAAGATCCACATGCATTCTATGGCAGGGGTGGCCCACAGGGCATTCAGAGCAGCTGGATCTTAGTCCAGTTCACCACTTAATGCCTTGTTTCCCTACCCCATTCTCAAGGTAACTTAATGCTGCTCCTTGTCTGAATAGTCAGATCTTAATAATTTTCTCCAGATCCAATATTTCTTTTAAAAACAAAACAAAACAACCCTTGTAAATACAAGGCAAGTGATACTGCACCCCTATTGTTCTAGATCAGTCACCCCCAACCTTTGGCCCTCCAGATGTTTTGGACTACAATTCCCATCATCCTTGACCACTGGTCCTGTTAGGTAGGTATCATGGGAGTTGTAGGCCAAAACATCTGGAGGATGTTGGGGATGCCTATTCTAGATGAAGGCCAGGACAGGATCCCTTCCACAATAGCCTTGGCAGGAGCAGACACCACTGGCAAGCAGAGGTATTTCACTGTACAAATGTCACACTTCTTCCAGAGGCGATCTGAATTCTAACACAGTGTGAGGCCTGTACTGGTAGCCAGCACCAGTTACAGAACATGCACATGGTGGTGGTGCATTGAGGAATGCGGCCTTCCCAAAGAGATCCCCCCTCAAGGAGGTAGATTTGCAGTGGTCCTTTCCCCCTTTTCAAAACATGCATAAAATTACCCTCATTGTTTCCAGGTAGTTCTGCTGACATTAGGGGTTTGGACACAATGCCCTAAACTGCTGATTTATATTCAAATAGAAGCAGTGTTCACTCCACTTGCAAACACAACAGTCTAGCCACAGTTTTACTTCTGAGCCTTACAACCAGGAAAAAAGCAAGCACATATGCACGAAAAAACTCGAATAAAATTCTGAAACTCTACATATTAAAGGGAAACAACAACAGGAGAAATGAAAAGAAAGCAATTGTGCTGGGATGAGAGAATGGGAAAACTTTAGGAGGCATTGAGGGCTACATAACATGAGGTCAAGGGCTGTATGTGGCTCCCAGTTACCAACCTGTGTCTTAAACCAAAGTGTTCCACCAACTTGGCTATGATTTGGAAGGACTCCCAGATGGCCATGCCTGTCCTACACTTCAGCACTTTTCCCATTCTAACAGCCTCTGTGCCAACTGGGGCAACTACAAGTCAACTGGGCTGAATATGCTTTGGTTTTGCACTGTATCATTCTGAGCTGGAAAACAAGGCTTATGGAGATTTGAACACATACTCCGGGTTCCAAAATTTCGCTGGGCACTGTCCATGGGCCTTCCAAACTTCTCTGTGCCAAGTTCAAGGGTGGGATTGGAATAATCCTGACCTTTAACCATGTGGGAGGGGTACTTAATAGCTCGTTTTGGGCAATAGCTCTCCACTGCTGGGCTTGTTTCAGGCAGCACCCCAAACCACAAAGCCTATCCTTAAGCCACTCACCTGGGATTTTCAAACTGAGGTCGCACTGGCTGCCAATGTTGGCAACCGAGGGGGCTTTGCGGCGGCGTGTGATCATCTGCTTCATTCGTCCTTCTCCTGTCACCTTCACAGAAAATGGACTCCCTGCACCAGAGACATGGAGGGGGAGAGAAAGTAAGCCAGAGGGAGAGGGACTTGCTGGCTCAGCCACATGATCCAATTGGCCCTTTCAGGGAGAGGAGATCATGGATTTGGGTGGGGGTAGGTTTCGGTGCAGGAGCCCAAGAAAGCATCAATTTCCCTGTGTAAGCTTTTGAATGTCACCACACACACACACACCCCACCCTCAACATCCTCCAGTGTAGCCAACGCCTCTCATCTGGCATTAAATCTCATTAAGAAAACTATGCAATCATTTTGTCACACGTTTTAGACTTATCACTAACTGGAAAGCTAAGGACTGAATATTCTCCATACAAGGCCTAAATAAAAAAATAAAAAAGCCACACCAAGTTAGGAAGTAAGCTAGGCAGGCCTCTTTGCCTTGGTCTGCTGCTGGGGAGGATCCAGAGGAGCATTGGACTGCCCTTTATCTGCAACCCTGAACAGCAAAAAGCTGCAACAAGCAATGCTGCTGATCTTGCAGTGTGTAGGCTGCATATACATTGGAGCAGATATTTGTTTTACAAGTGGCGAACCCCCTGCTTTCAACTCCTGCAATGCTTTGTATCCATAGTTCAACCAGAAGCAAGCACTGGAGGGTAATTTGCAATCTGTTCCAGCAACCCAAGTATTACGGACACCTTTGTCTTATCTTCAATTGGAGACATGTTCTAGGATCCCACCAGCACTTCCTGAACGCACCTTTGCTCCCCTCGGCCCATGCAACAACCCACCAAAGAGGAGACTACCCGCACCTGGAACATGCTGGTCTGCAAACTTGATGTTGATGATGTAGTTGCCAGGCTCTGTTGGACAATACGTGACTTTGCAAGTACCATCCTCTAGGTCCTCAGTATTGATGTCGACCTTACTGGGGCCTTCAATGGACAAGCTCAGCCCACCATAACCTAAGAGAGAGGCAGTTTGTAGTAACATGGCTTTGTTATATGTTTGGACATCACCACCATGAGCTATAGGGGACGCGGGTGGCGCTGTGGGTTAAACCACAGAGCCTAGGACTTGCCGATCAGAAGGTTGGCGGTTGGAATCCCCATGATGGGGTGAGCTCCCGTTGCTCGGTCCCTCCTCCTGCCAACCTAGCAGTTCGAAAGCACGAAGTGCAAGTAGATAAATAGGTACCGCTCCGGCGGGAAGGTAAACGGCGTTTCCGTGTGCTGCTCTGGTTCGCCAGAAGCGGCTTAGTCATGCTGGCCACATGACCCGGAAGCTGCACGCCGGCTCCCTCAGCCAATAAAGCGAGATGAGCGCCGCAATCCCAGAGTCGGCCACGACTGGACCTAATGGTCAGGGGTCCCTTTACCTTTACCATGAGCTATACATGTGCATACAGGCACGTACATATGAACACACACTGTGCTTTGGAAACAGTTGCAAGAGTGAAAAGCATAGGCAATTTGGTCTGCTTTTACTGCTTGTGTTACTCCACTGCAGTTACCCATGAGGAGATGTCAAAGTATTAAAAGTCCAGATGGGGGGGGCCTTGATGACCTCCAGATACTGTTAACTACTACATGGATCAGTTCTCCTCTCCACCCCACGGCCAAGGAGGACAGGAGCTGGTCCAGCAAGAACATCTGGGGGACCACAGATTCCTACCACTGTTTTAGATACTTTGAGGACCTTCCCCCTCAGTTTCTAGTTTGCAGTCATGGGAGTCTTTCCCTGATCTTTCTGACAACCACTAGACACAGAATACTGGAATATATGGTCTGATCCAGAAGGGTCATAGAGCTTTCTGTCTAAGCCAGCTTCTCAAAATGCAGACTTTTGCACATCCTTGTTTCTTTCAAACCTTGAACGGTAGATGATCGTACAGTGTTTGGAGAAACAAAGGAATTGACTTATCACTTCAAGCACTTGAGAGCTCCGTCACTGAGATGCACTTCAGGGATCCCACTTCCTCCAGGGATTCCAAATTCTTTTTGCAATCTCCTCTTTTTGCACCCTGCTTCTTACTCTTTAGTCTACCTTGATCACATAACAGTACATCCTGCAAAAGTCACATGGTCCACTTTTCAAGAAGGGCTTCTCTAAACACCTATGCACATAGGGTTGTAACTAGTATGCATGGAGCAGCAGAACACCAGTATGCTACCTTTCCTATGTCTATTCCTGAACATCAGGCTAGCCAAAGATGGGGCTTGTCAGCTAGAGGACAAATAGCCAGCATCACCATGGTGAAACAGACTGGATCAGTGGGGTGGAAGAGATGAAAACAAACCAAGGATCTTATTGACTTAGTGATTTGTGTTTCTGGTGTACTGCTCCCCAAGAGCAATAAGAACTAAAGAGCCTTGATGGATCAGGCCAGAGGGCCCACCTTAGTCCAACACTTTGTTCCAACAGTGGTCAGCCAGATGCCCAAAGGAAGCTTGCAAGCACTCGCCCCACCTGCCACTCCCAGCAGCTGGTCCTCACTCAAGGCAAACTCCCTCCAACAGCACAGCCACCATGGCGAGTAGCCCTTGTCTTTGAACCAAAGGATTATAAACCTGCATACCAGCATCTCTTGTGTCAATAATGAACTCTGAAGGTTCAAATGTCCGTCCCTCGCTGAGCCCTGGGCCAGAGACCCTGACGCGGCTGGCATCACCAATTTCAGACTGGCTGATCATCACCGTGATGGGGCTGTTGGGGATGTGCAGCCCATTCTTCTTGATGTTCACAATGTGCTCTCCAATCTCTTTGGGGACAAAAGAAATTCCTACAGAAAGATGGGGTGGAAAGGAAGAAGCAAAAGAGAATCATTATGCCTATATAATCTTTTCTTCTACCCATAAGCTCTGCCAATCGGCTTGGGACATAACCAGAACAGCGGAGGTCTTCTCGGTCACTCACCAACATGCCCATTGCGTAGGTGTTTGAGCAGACAAGGCTCCTCACGACCAGAAGGTGGGATCACGGTGGCTGTCAGCTGGCTCAGGTCCGTCTCAGTGATGTTCAAGGGGATGTCGGCAGAGGAGCCCACTTTGAGATGGGACATGCGCATCGTGTCATCTCCTGCAGAAGCAGAGAAAGGCAGGCATTGTGCCGTCAAGGTGGGCCTGCAGCCTACCTTCTCCTTCCCCTTCAGTGTGAGCTTACCACCCGCCCCCTTCTTTCCTTAATTAGCCCAGGTGGGCCAGCCCCAGATCTCACCAGTAATCTTGGCAGTGAATGGACTTCCTGGGATGTGTTTGTCATTGTATTTCACCAATATGTTGTAGTCGCCAGGCAGAACAGGAAGATACGACACCGTGCAAGTGCCATCCTGGTTATCAGTGCAGCCAATCTCAGCCTTGGAGGGGCCTTCGATGGCCAGAGAGAGGCCGCCTGGAAACAAGCAGAACATCAGACGTCAAGCACGGGGAGATCCATTAGCCCTAGTGCCCCAGTAACTGAGCCAGCCCCAAAATAGGGCAGTGTGCTCCTGTGCTGAAAATCAAGGCAGACCCCCCAAAAAATGTCTGTATGTGTGTGACTATACAAGTTTGCATATTTGGTTTTGCTAGGCATCTCAATAACAGATTTGTTAAGAAGAGCACACAATCCTAAACCTATTTTCACTGCTGCTTCCCTGCAGCAAGGAATGGAGGGATCAGGCAGCAACTGTGTGCATTTACACAGAACAGAAGCATCAACAGCCTTGCCCAAATGGCCAGAAAACCAGAGGGCAGGAGCAGTTCCAAGCACCAAGTGGGCCTTGCGGACTCACCTTCTCCTGCATCTTTTGTGTTGACGGTGAAGACTGCTGGCTTGTTGACTACCCCATGGATGAGTCCCGGTCCATAAGCAGTCACGTGGCCACTGTTGACGTAGTCCACATAGAACTGCAGTGGGCTACCTATGGAGGTGGGAGGAGGGTATCGCGTCAACATCTTTTAGATACCTACTAGCACACATTTAGTTGCTCCAACCAACGTGAGCTTGGTAATTTCAGAGCCAAACACCTTTTTGTGTGTGTTACCTGGGATGTGCATGTTGTCGTAACGGATGTCCATCTCATGCAAGCCAGCCTCTGTGGGGGCGTAGCGCACTGTCACTGTGCCATCCTTGTTGTCTGTGATGTCTGGCTTTGCCACCTTGCCAGAGGGCATGCGCACCTCACCTGTGGGGAGGGAGGAAACCACAGAAAGCACTTTTAAGCTGGTGGGTTCTGTTCACCAGCGTAGAAATGCAAGGACCCAGGTATCTGTTTTTTGCAAGGACCCCAGAGAGGACATTTTAAGGGGACCTGGATTAAAATCACTGGTCCACAGTTCACTGGGCTTAGCTAGGCCACTGGATTCATGTAAAGCTGTAATTCCATCTACCTTTCATAGAGCTGTTGAAAGGAGAGACATTTAATATGCTGCAATCCTAGGAGTTTGAAAAACTGAACTGGTTTGGCAAAGCTCTATTTGCTACACCACCAACAGATTAATTTGAGGTGAGGAAGTAGATAAGCTTTCTAGATGGTTAGACCTGGATAGGTTGGACTAAGAGGTTAGACTTTGGGTCCCTCCCAGCTCCGTGACTCTTAGAGATAAAAATATGCTACCAAGGATGGAGACATGATTAAGATCTATATCCAGATCCTTATATACAGTAGGCCAGGGCATGTAACAGCACGTGCTACAGCTATATTTTCAGACTGTGCTGAAGCAAACTAGGAAAGTTTGGTGTTCTGCATCAAACGTTCTGCACCCAGGTAACCCATATCCTTTATCAAGAGAACCAGAATCTGCATAAAACCTTCTAGAGCTTATTCTACTTATGCTAGTTATGGAGAGGGCAAAACAAAAAACAGAAACAGAAAGGGCACCAAAGCCCCCACCCCAGGCACTATAAACCGTTATTCAGGCAGCCCTCTGATCTTGCCAGACACTGCTATATGCTTCACAATCTACCTTAAGAGGCACAAGGACTAGGAACTTAACAGAGATCAGGAAGCTGAGTTTTGCCTCCATTTACATTCTGTGCTCCAAGCATACTGCTCAAAACACAGCCTGGCTATCAACTATTGCCCTGACCTCTGTAAAAGGCAGAGTCCTAAACCACTTTGGTCACGTCCCCCTCCCATCCCATTACCTGTGATCTCTCCTTTCTTGATGGTAAAAGGAATGACCAAGTCGAAAGGCCGCAGTCCGGCATCCAGTCCATTGACAGGACGGTCTGTTGCCTGGAAAAGACAGAGGCACCCCCAAACCCAACACAGCAGTGAGAATCGTTTTTGCTTTTTCGAGAGCCAGACAAGACAAGGAGGGATGGGAAGAAATGGCAGGAGTTCATAAACAGCGATGGAACATGGAGCAGACAAAGACAGACTTTGAAAAGCCACCAGGTACCAGACAGTCGGGGGAGAGAAAGAGCGTGTGGACAGGCAAGCTGGCCAGGAAGCCACCTGAGCTGTTGCATAAAAATGGATTTGGTGGACCTTCTTCCCTTTAAATGCTTTTAAATTTCAGGTTTGCTTTGGTAAGTTTGTATTGCAAACATTGGCTTGGGAGAGTTTTGGAGTCAGATTCTTGAACTAAGCACAATGCTGGGTTCTGAAGTGGAGCTCAGCAGTCATTTTACACATACCGAGAGCGCCATTCCAACAGCTGCTCAGTGCAGAAAGAGGTCCTGGGACTCAACACACTCAAGCTGGCAAGAGCCAGAACTCGATTTTGGTTTTGTTCCTAGTTCCAGAACACATTTCTGGAGAGAACACTTATTCCCCCTGCCCCCTTTCTATTTCATGGTGGGTTTAAACAGAAGCTGAGGGAGTTTGGTTTGGTTTTAGAGCTGTTTCAGGAAGCATTCCCAATGGGGTGGCATTCACTGTAGTATCTGGGAGTTGCACAAGTGGAAAGTAGGGCAGTTGCTTCTGTGCAGCACATTCTGTCATGGCCCTGTCATTTGGTAGCTGAATATTTCATCCACAGGAGAAAAACTGAATGCCAGTTTTATGATCATCAGCTGAAAAGGTCAGCACTGCAAGGCACTAATGCAGAAAGGAGTTACCACTCTACAACACTGCACTGCCCCCATTTGTTTGGCAGTGATTGTCCCAAATGTGGCTGTGTCTCACTGGAGTAGAATCCCACTGATGTGCAGCCAGCTGTTGCAGCACAGTTGGGGAACCTGTGTGACCCTCCAGATATTGCTGGACTACAACTCCCATCATCCCCAAGCACTGACTGTCCCAAAGAAGCATCCTTCTTTGCATCCTGGAAAGGTGAACATCACACAACCTGCCTGAGATATGACTTGGCAGACCCGCCCCCCCAAAAAAAGAATGGAGGTATTGACAAGGACGACATACAAAGCACAGATGGCCCCCCTCCCCAGCATCAAGAGAGAAAGGGATGTGACCTCAAAGACAAAGACACCCTGGGAAAAGCCCCGATCCGGTCACATTCTGGGGGGTCTCTTCCCCCCTTGGAATTCAGGTGTGGGAGAGGCCAAGCAAGGGTGGGGGAGAAGAGGTGCCCATAAAGTTGCTTCTGAAAGCAGCCCACCTGCGTTAGCATCAAAGCAAAGTTGGGGGTAAGAGAGAGAAGTGATGAAGAGTCTGCACAGGGCATCAGACAGACCACCCAAAAGAGCCACAAAGCCCACTGCTTGGATTATTGTGGGGCACTTGCAGGAGCAGAGCCACTGCCCCACCCCACAAAAGCTTTCTGCACAAGCAAAGGAAGCAGAGTTTCAAACTGCGTTGATTCTGCTCTGATTCTCTTCCTAGTTGACACGACGACTTCTAGCATTGGACACCGCGTGTGTGTGTGTGTGTGTGTGTGTGAGAGACTCACAGCTGCTCAATAAAAGGCAGCTATTTCCAAGGATTGTAAGCCCAAGATCACAAAGTTTGTGGAAATGGTGAATTGTCTCCTGGCTCAGTTCTTTTTTTCTTTTCTTTTTTAAAGTTGCTGCCTCAGAAAAGGTGGTCTTGAAACTTAGTGACTTTCCCACTCAATGAAGGAATGTCCTCTAGGCCATCTCTCCTGATGAGGCTTCCTCCAGATCCTAGACCCAGGGGACATGGGACCATTAGCCCTTTGCCCCCACCGTAGTTTTGGTCTGGGTTGGTGGCCCCCCTTGCTTACTCTTCACTTTGGAAACAAACAAACAACTGCGAGTTTTGTGAATGGCACTGTGTCTAGTTCGGCTGCAAGCACAAACAGATTCACAGCTTGCCTGTAATGCCAAGGAGAGAGACCTGTAGCTCAGTGACAGGCAACCTGCTTTGTGTGCAGAGGGCCTCAGAAATTCCAGAGAAAAGGAGGAGGTTGCTGCTGCTGCTGCTGCTCCTGGGAAGGAAACCCAACTAGCAGATGCTCCTCAGGAGCTCTGGCAGAAGAGATCATTGGGGTTAGATCCGGGTTTCCCAAACTTGGGTCTCCAGCTGTTGCTGGACTACAACTTCCATCACCCTTAGCTAGCAGGACCAGTGCTCAGGGATCATGGGAATTGTAATCCAAAAACAGCTGAAGATCCAAGTTTGGGAAACCCTGGGTTAGATTATTCTGTTTCCACCAAGAATCACCAAAAATGGGGGGAAAAAACCAATAATTTGAACATCAGTTTCAACAACTCTCAGGGCAAAGGCAAGTGCTGGAGCCTTTCCTGGGAGTGGGTTTCCATTTCTTGGTGCACGTTCTAACCCATCTGCAGTTTCCAGATGTGGGTTCATAATCTAACCCTGCCACCAGATGTTTTTGTTTAAAGGAGCAGGGAACCTTTGATCTTGCGACCTCAAGCAGAAAACCAGCTCCCCCCTCCCAAGCAGTGGCAAACAGCGCAAAGCAGAGGCGGCCGAATTCCATGGGGTTCTCCCCCCACCCAGAATGCCCTGGGCTAGCTTTTCCTCCAAGAAACTGAACTGTTACTGCCGGTCCCCAGGGCTGCTGTGCACCAGGTGGATATGCGTAGGGTGGGGCCCGCATCGGCTGGGCCATCTGCTGGGGGGTCGTGCGCTCGCCATCCAGGGCCTGTGGCGGGAATGGGGCAAGAGCGTTAGAACGGACCAGTGGAGAGGCCGGCTCAGGGCCAGGACAACCCTGCCATGCTTCCATTTCAGAACTTAAAACCACAGGAACAGGGGAAACAGCCCAGTGGCCCTTTCTGGGAAGCCTGCTGCCATCATGTCATCCCATAACCATCATCTCCCCGGGACAAGTCCAGCCCCTTTGCAAAAACAGTAAAAAAATTTTTTTAAGAAAAAACCTTCAGTGCTCGGTCATTATTGCACAAAACAACCCAATCTTCTCTCAGATACTAGCTCTTTGCCAGAGGATAGTATCCCACACATATCTCCCACAGCAATATGGCAACACAGGGCACCTATGGTTGTTTTGAGAATTATTTGCTTCAGAAAGGGCTTGAATCTGGCATCCACACCCCCGCCTCACCCAAAGTAGTAATCAATGGAGCTAGGAACTTGCTTTTCAAAGGAAACCTAAGTTTAGACATTCAGAAAACCAAGCTTGGTATGTCTAACTGTGCTATAACACGGGTACACCAGGAAAAAGGTGATGGGGAGTGACAGCGCCCCTGTGAGCCCCCACCCAAAAATAATGTCTGCAATCATAGAAGCCACACACTCTGGTGCAAAGTATTTCAAGTTTGCATGTAGCTGAAGTATTGTATGACCAGGCCTGCACAAGGAAACCAATTCTGTTTGCCAACGCAAAATAATGATCTCATTGCCTGAAATGCACATGTTGCAACGTGGTGCCAATTTATGTCTAGAGCAGAGAGACAGCCCAAAAATGTGGCCTGTGGGTTGAGAATGGGGTTTCTCCTTTTGCACACAAAAAGCACAGGAAACTGCAATGCTAAAAAGTATTCTGGCTATTTTAAGGGATGGTCACACACACTTTATAACTCTCAGGGATAGAGCTGGAGGTGTGGGGGGGGGGAAGAATATGATCTGGATTTTCTATCATAGCCATTCTATTCCCTAGGGAGGGATTGTGCCATTTTAAGAAGCCTGCATGAAGTGGATGCAAATAAATGACTAGAAGAGTTAAGATAGGCAGGACTTATTTTATTCTGCAGAGACACTTTGTAGGGGGCGGGGCGGGGCAAGAGAACTCCAGAAAATAAGGTAGGTGCTAGCATATTTGCAAATCTAAGCAGGGTCCGGTATGGTTTCCAATTGGATGGGGAACCTTGATCCTGCATTGCAGGGGGTTGGACTAGATAACCCTTCGGGTCCCTTCCAACTCTGAAATTCTATAATTCATGGGTATGAGCTACTACTGTGATGTAGTACTGAATTAACAGCAGAACTAGGGGAAAAGAACACACAACACACAGAGCCTCAGGGAGAAAAATGTTCTGGGCCAGTCCTGGTTGCGATCCTAGGCAATTTTTTTCTGGGACTCAGCTAGGTCTATTGAACTCAGTAAATTTCCAAGATGCCCAGCGCTGACTGCAAGTGCTATAAAAATGTTAAGGATGAAAAGGAGGTGGGGAAGAAGAATATTAAGGGTTTTTGTTGCTGGTGATGCTTTTAACAGAGTTAAAGCAGAAGTTCAGTTGTGCAAGAAATCTGTGCTCAAGTGGAGAGACTCCAGTTTCTTGGCTATGAGGTGGGGTAAGAGAGGAAGAGGAAGAAATCAGGTTCAAAAATGCTTTCCACTGAGTCAAAACTTCCCTGGCGGAGGGACATTCGCTTGCTTGTTTCTAACACACACAAGACAATGCCCATAAAGAAAAAAGGGACACTGTCCCTTCCCAACCGCTTCCTCCCTTCCTCCGCTTTCTGTGACTGAGCCAGAGGGTTCCTTTTGCATTGGAACCTGGAAAGAGTGAGTAATGCATTAAACAGGAAGACTGGGTCTACAAAAGCCAACCAATGAGTCACATGTTACAGCAGGACAAGTTTTGTGTGTGCGTGCATGTAACATTTGTGTGCAAGTTCCTAGCTCACATTTTTTTTAAAAAACACAAAACACATTTTTTGGATCTTTCACATCGATGCAATTTGAATGTAACAGATTTGATGCTGGGCTCCAGATAAACACATTGTGCAGAATACGGGCTTATCCACACTCACTTTCCCTCCACTTTTTCTAGGCATGGTGTCGTCCAAGCACCTTCTTTTTGCTCACGACTTTTCCCCACGGAAACCCACTCTTTAAACAGAGGCAGGTTTAGGGGAGCGCGGCTGATTTGGCTGCCCTGGGCATGGAGCCTTGGGAGCACAACTATTACACAGAATGAAAGAGGCAAGAGGTGGGGAGTGCGCCAAATTTTGGTGTTGCACAGGTTGACGCTGAAATTGGGGGCCCCAAGGTCTGCCACTGCTTTAAAGCTCAATTGGAGCAAACGGCAATCCGCAGGAAACCCAAATCAACCTTTGCTCCGATTGAGCACTAAAGAGCGGGTTTTTGTGGAGAAAGCTCCAGGCAAAGAGAGAGAAAAATACTCTGACATACGAATTTTTAAGCACGCTTATGCCTGGAGGAAAAAGTAAGTGTGGATAAGCCCTCAGTCAGTAGAATTTGCACCATTTCAAGGAACCCTATTTTTTCAAAACAGAAAAAGATCATTAGACAGAGGGGTACACTAAAATCACATGCTGCTGTACACTTACACTGGGTTCCACCCCACATTGTGGGTGCCCAGCGCGTTACACGCATGTCATCACACGGCCTGAGGGGGGCTGATGGGGCCCAACGGGCCCTCCTGTGGCTGCAACGAGCCCCATTGTGCCTCAGTGCACCATGAAATGTCACGCGTGCGCTGCGTTGGGGTGCCCCCCCAGCCACCCATTGAAAATTTTGTGGGTGCCTTGGCACCCAGGTCCCCCCAGAAATGGCCCCTATGCTGCAATACTACACCACAGGCAGGGAGTGTACATGGAGAAGCCTTCAAAAATGCAATTTCCCACCTGCAGATGAGAATTCTGCTACTTCTGAGTAATGATCCCTTTTACTTGATCTCCTCACCACACAAATAAGAGCAGAGGGAGCAAATATAGATTGTTTTTACCATTAAGGGGTGTATAAATTTTATGAAATAACAAGATAAACAATCTATACATCAGAGCAGCACAGCTTTTTCTGCCACCCAGTGCACATGTATCCTCCACAGGAGTGAGCAGGGGGCTGCCCACTCGATTATTCCGAAGCAAACTGAGGTGTCTGCTCCTGCAAAGAGTGCCTAAAGGCAAGAAACAGAGCAAGTCCTACCCGGAAGTTACCATACCCCCACCCCTCAAAAAGCAGCAGGTTATAAAACTGGACATACCAATGATCTGTTTAAAATAATATGTGTCTAGCCCCCAAGACTGCAATGTGGCAAAATCTGAGGCTGAGGTGGAGTTTTCAGCAGCTTTTGTGTAAGGCAGCTGGGAGCATTCTGTATGCTCTGCTGCACTGCACAGAACTTCTCCCTCTGCCTGTGCTCTTATGACCCCCCTCTATTTTGGGGGAACAGGGGGAACAACCACTATATTTCTAATCTGATCATGGATGCAATTTCTTCTAAAAAAAACCCAACAACCCCAATTAGTCTGACCACAGCCTCCTTTCTGCAGGATTTTTTATTTTTGCCATTCAGAACATGCAACCCTAGAGCAAACAAGCAGAGCCCAGAACGTATAATTCTCAGATCTAGAATGCACATGACCTTTTTTTAAAGAAGGGGACTCACCTCCCACTTCCCATGTATGTATGTATGTATGTATGTATGTATGTTAATTTGTGTTAACCAGCTCAGATGTAGCCCAGGGCTTAGATCTGAACTCAGCGCCAGGAGGACTGTTCCATCTAACATGTCACAAGTTTTGGGACAGACACACAAGAAGTATCCGAAACAAAGACCGAGCTCCTTTGCTAATACTGCCCCCGCTCTTTCAGGTAAAATCATCTCACCACCACAGTTCTGGGCTTCTAAGTCAGTATGGCAGGAAGTTCCATTATCACTCATTTAAAGGAGGCAGAACTACCGCAGGACAAGACTTGACCTTGCACACATGTATGAGCCTTCCAACATCAGCACCGTGCTAGCCACAATTGCATTAGGCATTAAACCCTTTGCTGAACCAGACACCTCTGGCCACATACTGCTCCCTGGTCACCCCAAGACTCACCGTAACCTGGAAAGGACTGTTGGGAATGTGCTCTCCTCCGAAGCGCACACAGATGACATATTTGCCTGGTTGGGGCGCCGTGTAGAAGATGTCAAAGGTGCCGTCCTCATTTTCCACCACATCCACGTCCACCTCTGTGCCATCAGGAGTGCATACTGTGCAAGTCACCTTGCCCTTCCCAGCAGCCTTGGCATCCACCGTGATCACCGTCTCCTCACCAATTTGGATGGTGGGCCCAATGCCGGCTCCTGGCAGAAGGGAAAGCCAATGAGGAATGGAGAACTTGAGTCCAATTCCCAACTCCTTCCCATCATGCACCATGGGTCTCCCTAAGCTCCCAGCCTCTTATACCAGCTGACATGGCCTCATGGGGACTTTGAGACAGAGGACAGGTTGACCAAATTGTGGGGGGACCAATATTGCACAGATGAATTAAGCCACTGTAGGTCAAAACAGAGCACCTTACCAATGGGCTATATTCACCCATTCAGTTGCAGGTACAAGTGGTCAGTTTGATTGTATAAACCCAAAGGCCTTCACAATGGACGACAGAATAAAAGGAAACTTTGCAAGTAAGAAAACACAGGCTGGAACACTAGGGCCAGTTCACACTTGCTGGTGGACCCCACGCAAGCTCTTTCCAGGAATCCTTGCATTCACATGAGAGGCCTGCATTTGCAGACACCACAATTTGCTCAAAATGATGGCTGTTCCAGCCAATACCAAAGCCTGGTCAGAAGTTTTCGGCAGGACAATGTTTATAACTCAGCCAAGATATGTTACCCATCCACCACTATCTACTAGAGACTCTTCCCCTGATGCACCTCAGTGGCTCACTCCCATTTTCACATGTGCTTATGCAAGGGAGAAGGTGATTGAGGTGCAGAGGAGAGGCTGTCAGAGCCCCCACACCAATTGTGTTGAGGTGGGGGTTAAAAAACCCTTCCAGCTTGCACAGGAGGCTGGGAGCTGGATCAGACCCAACTCTTGCCATCTGACACCAAGCCCCCAAGGAAACAGTCAGATAACATTACATTTTTTAAAAAGGACTAAAGCAAGATGGAGTTAGGGCAACTAAAGCCATGATTGGACCCCAGCAGCAGCAGCATTGGTTGTTCATAAAGCAAGGGATGTTACAGCTTTGGGTGACTAGGGGTCGGCCAATGCCAAGGAAGTGCTTGTTTTCACTGAAGAACGAACCCTATGCAATCAAAGCACAAGAGGAGATTTTGAGCCACAGACTTTCAAACTAGCTTAAAGGCAGCCAACATGAGGCAGCCAACATGGTGCCCTCGAGCTCCCATCCTACCTGACCAATGGCCACAGAAACTGGAGCCAATGGGAGTTTGCCCAACAAGATCTGGAAGGCACCACAGTGGGTTAATCCTTCTTACAGAGAGGGCTCTGGCTTAAAGAGATTTCCAAAAGCAACAACACTGTTAACAAACAGAGAAGCTGCTGTAAATATGTTTGGGTTCTCCCCTCATCACATCAACATCAAGTTCAAGCTGAATCGAGATTTCTATTGTTGGCTTAGGTTCCTATTGTAAAATGGCAAATCATGATCAGAGCTACACACACAATAATAAAAACTGGGCCCCTAGTGCTGGCTATGAGAGTGTGTTTTTGGGAATGAGTGCTGGGAAGGGGAAATGTTTAGATTTATGTCCAGCCAAATTTGACTCCTAAGCCCTCTGGATAGCAAAGACAAGCCGTGGGCTACCAGTTTGCCTGTCAAGCTGCTTGGAGGATGCAAGTGGGGGGGGAGAGAGATGAGATAGTGCATGTTTAGGCACCAGGCAAAAACATTCCTCTTTACCCAGGCCTATGGCTATGGCCCACAGCCTGGAAAAATGCGGGGGGGGGGGGGGGGAGGACTGTTATTATGATGACTATTTTATTATTAGGCTGTCTGCCAGTATGCTTTTTATTATGTTTTTATCACTGATGTTCTGTAATGTGTCATTAATAAAGGACAGTATATAAATTGAATAATGATGTTTCTTCACTGTGGTCTCGGGCTCTATCTGCAGCTTATGACTCCTCTAATCTACTTAGGAAGACCATGAGGTGTTATTTTCCCCTTACACTTGGGGTGGGGAACCTAGCTTCCCTGAAGATGGCAACCACTTATCAGTTTCCCTGGTCTGAAGCTGCTGCCAGGAATTCACCCCGATGACCTTTCCAGTGGGGGCACCTAGGCTGCGGAATGACCTCTCCAAAAAGACTCACCTGGCACCTGCACTGATCTTTTGGATGATAGGAAAAGACATTTCAATGCTCCCAGGGCCTTTGCATTTAAAAGAAGTGTTGCTGCTCTGTTGCTTTTGCTTTGGTTTGATGACATTTTCATCCCCCAAAAAGTTTTTGATTTGAGTTTCTACTGAAATGAGGCTGCATTTTAATGTTGTATTTTAATCTTGTTTCAAGTTGTATTTTAATCAATTGCTTTATACTTGGTATTAGCCACCCTGAGCCCAATCTTGGCTGGGGAGGGCAGGGTATTAATAATAATAAATAATAATAATAATAATAATAATAATAATAATAATAATAATAATTTATTCTGTAGTTGTTTTAGATTTTTATGTGTTACAGTTTTAGCCTCTTAGTCTTGTGAACTGCTCAGAGTTTTCAAGCTATTTGACAGTATAGAAATGTGGCAAACAAAATCTGTTCACATGCCTGATACAGACCTCTGAAGCACACTTCTTGTGGAAAGCCAAGACAACGTCAACAAGGACTCCCACAAACCTAAGTGGTCACCTGAGCCACCACAATGCTTGCAACATGCCTGCCTGTAGACAGAAGCCTTCCCCAGAGTTAAGAAACATGCATGTACCTGATCCATTTCCTGATTCACAAGCTCACGCCCCTCATTAGGCAAGCACAGCAGGAGATGGAAGATGGAGAGGGAGGCAACGGGTAGGAGAGGACTATTTGGGGAGGCAGGGAGGGTGGAGAGAAGGGGGTGGAAGGGGGAAATGTACCATGACAGCCATAATCCAACCCACCACTAACATTCAGATCCACCTCCTTGCTTCCTATCAATGGCTAGGGCTGCAGAAAATGCAGGCTTCCAGCTCTCCCTCCCCCTCCCCAATAGTTGCCTCTCTTCTGCCTCTGAAGCAGAGGCTTAGTTCACAGCAATCCTATCCTGCTGTAAGAAGCAAAAAGTGAATATGTTTCAGCAGGGGCAAACTAGTGGCTCATCTCTGCAAGTAAAAAACTGAAAAATGAAAAAGGAAGGAAGGACCCTGTTTTGACCCCTAGCATCTTTGCTTCAAGGAACACCTTCTCTAGCAGGTCTGCAAAAGGCCTCTGCCTGGGACCCTGAAGAGCCACTACTGATTTCAATAGTCCATAATGGGTTAAGACAAAGTACGGGCCCCAACTGCCTTCATGTGCGCTACTCGTAAAGCTGGCATTCCCTTATGCTGGCACAAGTCCTATCATTCAAACTCATCATATGTTTGCTGAAAGTGGAACAGGTATCAAAGGGAGCTACTGAAAACAGTTCTTGTTTGGCAGCAAGCGCAGGGGAGATCATTTTTTTAAAAGCCCAAAACAAACAACTAAAGCAGGGCTGTGTCCCTTCAGATATAGGGACTACAGTTCTCATCATCCCTGGCCACTGGGCCATGCTGGCTATGTCTGGGAGGAGGTGCACCACTGCAAGTGCCACAGCCTCCCCCCCCCCCCCAATCCCTGAACCAGAAGCTTTAATCAGTGGCACTGCACTTTAAGCGCCCGCCTGATCATTTTGGTCCTGGCAAGGTTTTAACAGACCAAGGAATACATATGCTTCTTTTATAGCCTAACCAGGGAAATGGCAGCTTTTATCCAGGTTCTGTGAAGTTCTATATTAGCAACTGACCCAGTTTTCAGCAGGCACCTGCTTTGAGAACAAGAGGTCCCTTCCAGATGGAGCAGTCCAACCAGCCCTTTGGGCAGGGAAGCCTGGCTGCCCTCTCCTCTCTGACCTGGGGCAGAGGTGGAGCCCAATGCCAGTGTGAGACCATGCAGCAGAAAAGGAAGCAGCGAGAGCAGGCAGGCAGGCAGGCATACTTGGGGTGGGGGAAGGAAGCCATTAGCAAGCTGCTTACCTAGCCCATGACCTCCAATCGACACTGAGGTGAAAGGGCAAAGAGCAAGGGTAATCAGAGTGAGACAAGAATCACACGGAACAGTGCACAATTAAAATAAAACACAGGAGAACGTAGGCAATGTGGCATTTCCCTCCCCACGGTGGGTGAGCGGTGTGGCCGGATGTGCCCGGCAAAAAGCAATCAATGTGGTGGGAGGGCGTGGCAATATTTTAGCGTGGCTCGCCCCACCCTCCAGCAGCCCTCACCCCCCCCAAGACCCTCACCTGGGAGGAGCGCTCACCTGTGACGGTGCACTTGCTGGCGTCGCCAGTGGGCAGGGCCCGGATGCGGTACGGCGAGTAGGGGATCTCATCCCCACCGTACTTGATGAGGATAGTATACCGGCCGGTCATGTCTGGGACATACGACACAGTGTAGGTGCCATCTTGGTTGTCACGGATGGTGGCTTTTTTGGGCTTGCCCTCAGGATCCTGGCCACGGCACAGCCCAGGAAGGGGGGTTTAGAAGGAAGGCAAGCATTTCAAGTTAAGAGGCGGCAACTGCAGCAGCCATTCAAAACCTAGGTCCCTGCCCCAAGTTGTTAAGGTCACGAGAATCTGACAGGAATTTGTATGAGTGAAAACCCACTTGAACCCAGTATGGCACAAGAAGGGCAGCCGCCGCCATGAGCATTTCTTGCTGTTACATAGGAAAGCACTGAAAGGACATTTTATGTTTAAAAGGGGGGGGGCTGAGCAAGGCATGAATAAACTGGGATTACCAAGGAGGAGTTGTGAAATTGGTCAGTGACCTACACAAAACCCTTGTTGTGCTTTAGATGCAAGCTCAGCTTAAGGCTTGCCACCACTATAGACCTCTGGTTCAAAATGAGTACTGAAATCTACTGTCTTGCTGCAGTGGGATACTCAGGAGTCAAGAGACTCTCACCAAGTGCAGAGTTGGTGGCCCTTCTAAGTATAGGATGAGAAGGGTAGCCTGAGTCAAGGGCAGAAAGCTCTGGAAAATGAACAAGGCAGCGTTTTCTGCCATTTGGAAATGTTATCAAAGCTCCCACTCCTGTACAAGACAAAAAGTATGGCTATGTGACCATAGGGCTTATAGAAATCAGTGAGGATGTTGCCACAAGGCAGTGCCACCACGTGACTGAATGAAGGAGCTCACAGTCCACCTGACTGCAGCTTATGTGTACCTTCAGACTTGTCCCATATTTTCCACATCATCTCCCATTGATTTCTCCCCCAAGTATCTACTGTGGAACCGACCCCTCTGCCCTGAAGGCCTTCTCACAACAACCCCCAACCTGCATTCATCTCCCCTTTGGACATTGTTCCACTTACGGTGATCTGGACGGCCAGCAAGCCCTCTCCAGCATCCTTGGCATCAATTGTGAACTCCACAGGCAGGCTGGCTGGCACACCTGTTGTGTTCAGTCCTGGGCCACTAGCCTTTACCTTGCTGGCATCATGTGTGGGAAGAACCTTAACCTTGAATGGACTGTGAGCATATAAAAGAGGGAGGGAGAGAAGTGCCTCTGTTAATGTTAGGCAACTGACAGAAATGGCCACACCCCCATCCCTCAATTCCAGGGTGCACAGGTGTTCCTCCACAGGATCATTCATCTTTCTCATCTTTCTCTTACACAAAATAAAGGCATTATATACCAATCTGAGGCCACTGCAGCCTGAGGGAATCCTCTACCCGTGAGAAGTTCCCATTGACAGGACAGCACATTCAGCAGAAACAGCTGGTAAGTGTAAGACATTGTACCCTGGGCTCAGTGTTTCAGGAAAAGCTTTTAAGTCTTGTGCCAGTTTTTGCTCTAACACAATTTGCCAGTCAACAGCAAGAGACAAAAAGATCTGTGGCATAAGGTTTTGCTTCCAACATTGATTACATTGATTACATGGGAGTCTTTAATAGATTTGCAGAGGCCCTCTCTCAAACAACTTGCCCAACATGTTCAATGAAACTTTAAAAACATTATCCTGCGAGGTAAGTCCCCAAGCCTCAGATTCTCAAGTGCTGGGTTTACAAACACTCTGGATTTCTAGTAAATGGTGAAATCATCTGAAGCTTTGGAAACATCAAAAAGCAGCCATCACTGTTAGAGTCTCTGCCTTGGCTCAGAGGGGCTAGAAGCTGCGGCCAATCGACAACCCGTACCTGCGGGGCACCTCCTCATCTCCATAGTGCACAGCAATGCTGTATGGGCCTTCTCGGCTTGGCACGTAGCTCGCGGTCTGAGTCCCGTCAGCATTGTCCACCACATCTACAGGCTCCACCACTCCTGCAGGAAGAGTTCAACAGGTGAGAGAAGGGCCAAGCCCCAGGAAGGCACTACTGGTCTAGTCAAGCCGAGATTTGCTTACCTTTAGGGCCCTGAACTTTGACCTGGAGGGGTGCCACACCTGCCTTGCTGGTGTCAACTGTGAAGGACTGGGGGACATTGGCTCTGACAACACCTGGAGTCAGGCCAGGGCCTGAACATTTAACTTTAGATGAATCTATCACATCATGCACAGGCACTTTGAAGGGGCTCCCTATGAAGAGAGAGAGAAGGGGATGAAAAAAGTTGGATTTGAGCCCAGAAACCACTCCAGGGTTTCAGGTAAAGCACACACTCCTTACATCAAATGCAGTTTTAAAAGAAGTCTCTTGCTTTTGAGTCCCACCCACGCTTGTGTTTCAGGAGGCCAACTTTCCTAACCAGCAAGTCCTATTTGCAATCCAATTGCCTGTCTCTTTGATCTTCCAGGGGACTCAAGCGAAGCATACAATCATAAAACCATAGAACTGTAGAGCTGGAAGGGCCACAGGCGGCATGACCAATGCTCAGCAATGATGGGAGCTGGGGAGTCACAGGTCCCCCACCCCTATGCCCTACGGTCCACAGCCTTTGATCCCACACTAAGCATTACACCATCCTGCAGGCCCAGCGCACTCCTGCTTTGCTGGAGATTGCTCAGAGGAGAGCTGACAAAGTGCAGCAAGAACGCAAAACAGAGATGGATATAAACTTGTTTTGCGGAATATTTAGGCCAAGGAACCTGGGGCAGTTTGAAATCTTGCTTTCATTGTTTAGGTACCAGGAGAGCCTAATGGGACTATATGCCTCTCTTTTGGCTAGAAAGGCAGCCTAAATTTCCACCAGTGCCCTGCCCACAAAAAAGAAAACACCAAAGTGGTGAAAAATCAAGAGCAACAATTGAATTGTGGAGCCAAGGGAAGAGCAATCTTTTCCGGTCAGTGGACCAGATCCCTAGGTCACCCAGACCTTGTCAGCCATTTTGGCAGATGTGCAGGGCCACCCAGGTGTCAATCACCTGATGTTACCATGGCAGCTGGCAATGTGTTTCCTTTGCCCAGGCAGTGCAAAATCAAAGCACTTGGCCAAAGGCACAAAACATTGCAATCCCCAACAGCAATTCAGTCAAATCCCACTTTAGGCAGGATCTTTACCTGCCTCACACCAAATGCTATATGATGGCAGGTGGGCAGGACTCAGGGAAAACTATTGTGGGCCAAATTACGACTCCTGCCAGGCCTCATTAGGACCATGGGCCAGAGGCTCCCTCTCCCTCTCTAGGGCCATGTATGCCAAGAGCGACAGAAGATACCACCATCACCAACCTATAAATCAGTTGCCCATGCCACTTCCTGCCTACCACTGCCACACACACAACGCAGCCCCAATCGGTACCTGGCACTTGGTGGCCACCATAAGTGACGTTGAGGTTGTAGGTGCCAGGTTCATAGGGAATGTATTCCACTGAACAGCTGCCATCTTTGTTGTCAGTGCATGACATCTTTGCTTCAGAGGGACCTTCAACAGCTAGGCCCAGTCCACCAGAACCAGCACCCCTGTAGAAGAAGAAACCAGTTTTGACTCTAAAAGGCCCCAATTGATCAACAAATCAAAGCCTGTGATAGTTGGGAGTCGCCACAGACTCATTGCCTCAGGCAAAGAAGATTGAGGAAGTGAACTAGGAAGCTCCTGTTCAAGCAACTTAGAAGCGCAGTGGAAGTGGAAGTGCTTCCATTAAGAACAGTTCTGGGGTGGGCCAATGAATCTTGTGTGAACTCTTAAAAAGCTAAAATCCCCACAGGCCAATGCATTTTAAAATTTAAAATTCACAGAGCAAGAAACCATTTTGGTTGCCTTAAGGATTAGTTGTAGCTTAAGTATGCTATCTTGTTTTGCCTGGGTGGCTGGATCAGACCACAGCCTGCCTAGTCTTATCTGTCCTTCCAACCATGTTTTCCTGCTTATACTTTTAACACACTTTCTCGCCAATCTTTCAGGACCATGAAGGAAGCAGATTCGATGCAAAGCAAAGGAATCCCAATGGAGAGAGCATTTTTTCTTATGTTCTCCCCACCTTTACAAGTGCTACTTGCTAGGAGCCGACTTCATTTTCCAGGCTGCTTCTCTAACTAGCTCAGTGCTGCATTACTGTGGCCGCAAAAAGCTGGCCAGGATCTCATCTCATTAAAGAGATGCCTTTCACATTTATTACATTTGTCACTTACCACATAAAAGCAACCAAGATTCAAAACACTAAAAGAATGAAACCTTTACTAAAGGTGCTTCGCCTGCAATATTATAAAACGCACAAAACTTTTAATTTACTTCATGCTATTGCATATTAAAGCCCAGCATTCCTGCAAGATTCCTAGCAGTCACCAAGGTGATCCATTAGAGGATAGCAGATGACCTCCTTCCTGCCCATTCCAGATTAGCACAGCTTCTTTTGAGGGCTGGGCTGCACCTCCCAAGGGAGCAGGCAAGGTCGGCTGCCCAAACCAGGAGGCGATGCCTTTCTCAGGCCGCTTTGCACAGCAATCCTCCTTGGTCTCTCTCCAGTTTTACCTGGTCTCCACTGTGAATTTGTTGGGCTTGTTGGTGGTCCCACTTTGGATGCCAGGACCATGCACTCGAACCCTTGTGGGGTCACATCCTTCTGTTACTGGCACCCGGAAGGGGCTGCTCGGCACAGGGCTGCCGTTGTAAGTCACATCAATAGAGTGGACACCTGAAGAAGAAGAAGGGGGAAAGCTGGAGCTCTTGGGTGCTATGCTTCAAACTTCAAAGTCTATGCATCGCGGAAGCCCTCCTGTGACCTCAGGTGTGCGCAGACTGGTGGCAGCCAAGCTCACTCCTCTGGCACTATTCCCTTAATGCCCAGACTCAAGCAGCCCAAGACATTTTGATATATGAGGCAAAAAGGTTTGATGGAGCACATGCTTAACAGTCATGATTAAAGAGCATGTGTGCATGCTACACACACATTTTCACTCTCCACAGTTTCCAAAAAGGAGGTCACCTCATCTTGCCCAATAGTAGGGCCAGAGGTCTCAGGTGACCAACACTGAAGACTGAACAACAGCTTTAACTGGCCATGAAACTGGGCACATTTTCAAAGCAAAAAGGGCAGTCTGTGAGGCAAGCGTTGAAGAGGATCTTGGAAATCCACAGCCCTCCATTAGGGTCTGCACCATCAGTACCAAGGGGGCTCCCCACATCATGAACACCCCTCCCTGCCGCTACACAGCTCTCTCACCATCTTCATATGGAGTGTACTCCACATTGTAGGTCCCATCCCCATTATCACGCACATAGCTCTCGGTCAGGTTTCCTGAGGGATTGGACACTCTCGTCTTGACATGAGGGCCTCCAGCCTTAGTCAGGGCTCGTGCATCTACGCTGAACTCTGTGGTGGCTTCACGGAACACACCTGGTGAGCACAAGCAGGGTCAGAAGTCACGGAATACGGAAGGAGGCTGCACAACAGGACTCTCCCAACCCAGTCTCATTTTGCATCCTGTTTCATGAATGACCCGAGGCCCTACACTGTATCCAGCATCACCTGGGAAAGTAATTTGGAATGTGGGTCTGAGCCAAAGCCCCAAGGTGTTTGCACCCATCGCCTGAAGTATCCCCAGGCCAAATAAGACATGCTCAGGGCAAGATGGAGGCCATCTATCACAGCCAAGCTTGAGCTGAAGGGTCTTCACCCCCCATTACTCTCCTCCCTAGCCTACACCTCCAAGCCCCTTATTATGAAGCCCCAGGCTCAGGACAAAATGGTTTACCAGCATACTGTGCCCAATTGTCACCAGTATATAACAGGTTTGACTTTCTACCCCTTTTGTCTCTTCCGAGGAGAGGGCCCAGCCAGCCTCACCTTTGCCTTCCACTCCGGGCCCGTAGACTTTAACTCCAGACGTGTCCACAGCTGGTTCCACGTTGAGCTTGCTGGGGAAGTTTGGCACAGGCTGCCCACCGTATTTGATTGTGATGGTGTAGACACCCGGGCAGAGAGGGATGTAAGTGATGGTGTAGGTGCCATCGCCGTTATCCCGCACGTGGACCTCAGCCTGTGTGCCGCTTTCCGAAATGATCTCAATGGTAAGCTCTGCGCTGCCGGCGCTGGAGCAGTCCACGCTGAACTCTCCCGCCTGCCCCACTGTGGCGTGCTCCAGCCCTGGCCCAGAACACTTCACTTTGGACGGATCAAAGCCAGGCAACACCTGGGCTTTGAAGGGAGAGCCCGGCACATGGGTGTCAGCAAAGAGGATGTTGATGTTGTATTCGCCAGGCTCCGTGGGCAGGTAAGAGACGGAGCAGGTGCCATCTCCATTGTCCAGGCACTCGATCTTGGCCTCACAAGGGCCCTCCACAGTCAGGCCAAGGCCTCCGTTGCCAGCCCCTTTGGTATCTATGGTAAAGGGGGCAGGAGCGCCAGCCAAGCCACCCTTCAGGCCTGGTCCATAGGCCTTCACCTGGGACAGGCCAAGGGCAGGGGGAACAAGGAAAGAGAAGACAGAAGAAGAATGCTTCATGGTCACTTTGTCCCATCAAACAAGACCTTTAAATAAAAAGGATTTATCAAGGCAAACCCTCCCACCTTCAAAAGGTGACTTTTTGCTGCACCCAGATGAAGATAAATGCTTTATAAATGGTCAACTTGCCCCTTCAGATCTATGCAGGGCTCTGAGTGACTGAGTTCATGGAGATGTGTGCAGATCTCCATCTACAGCGGCAACCATCCAGAGACAAATTAACACAGCGATGAGAAGGTTCTAGTCCAGGGAGGACCGGGGCCCCTCTTCCAGGTGCCATTTCAGTCCCAGCAGCCAGCATGGCCAATGGTCAGGGATGATAGGACTTGGAGTCTTACAACATATGGAGGAGAACAGCATGCTCCCCCACCCAGAAATTTGTCATTACAGCCCCCACCTCGACTCAAGTCTGCACTACTAGACAAGCCCTCCTTTTCAGGAAAGAAGAATTAAGGGCATTCAGGTTTTGGGGGGGTTTTTTTGGAAACTCAAGCACTAATTTGCCCAGGGAGAGGATGCGTCTCTCCTACTATGGTCACACATACTCTTTATTAGGCACGTGCACACACAAAAATATTTAAGCCCCCCACCCACTGGAAGAACCAACATCCACACTGTCAGATTAATCTAGACTTTTAAGGACTTGCTGTCTGCATAATAGTGGTTTCCTGCCCACAGGGCCTCCGTATGCCCCCTAACCAGGCCCACTTGGCTTGGTTTAAGTACATGAAATGGCTAGAGCTCACTAGCTAGGTCAGAATGTTATTGTACTGTGAAGTTACAAGAATGGAAGGTTTGAGACAGGAAGAAAGAAAAGTCAAGATTTAGGACAAAACAAATTCGGTGAGGAAAGGCACTTCAAAAACAGGGCACTCTGTGCATGCCCCATGAGACCACCACCACATACATGCTGCAAGAAACCGCCCAGAGTTCTAGAACACAGGAGGTGGTGAGCAGACAGCTGTTCTGCACCTCCACACAGAGACTATGAATCAGCCAACAAGGCCCAATCCCTCTGCCACGTTAATGGGGTGCCTGTGTGTGTGTGTGTGTGTGTGTGTGTGTGTGTGTGGAGCTCCTACCTTGGATGGGTTGGTGGGGGGTACAGCCTCCACAGGGAAGGGGCTGCCTGGGACTGGCACACCATCATAGGTCACGTCTACTTCATAAGGCCCCTCTTCCCGGGGGATGAACTTCACCACGCTGTTGTCGGAGCTGAGGCCTGGCTCCACCTTGCAGGGCACAGGCTTGCTGGAGGGGCCTGTGATCTTGGCAGCCACCTTGCCTTGGCCACCAGCACCCTTGGACTTGACGGTGAACTCCTGGTCCTTGCCCACTTCCACTTCTGCAAAAAACAATGTGCGGGGGGTAGAGTCGGGGTATACATACATGTGCATGTCTGTGTCAGATCTTAAGTGTATTTGGCCCTTTGAATTAAAAAAGGAGGGGAGAGATCCTCCTCTTCCGGGCCAAGTATTCCTACCCCCAAATCCACTGCTTTGTCTGCCCTATAGAGAGCGGCTTAAGAATTGCAAAGACAGAACCATCCACTGGATTCCTAGACAGCGGTTTCTCAGATTTATGGCACCACTTCCTAAGGCCTAGAGAAGGTGACAATACTTTGTGGCTGGGGTTAAGTTGCGGGGAGGGAGAAATACTGGCATGACTAATGTTTCCTGAAAAAACAAAGACCTTGGAGTGCTTCCAATCATTTGGCCCTGGCAGGTCTCCAGGAAGCAAAGATTTTTAATCCAGCTGCCACTTGGGAGGCATCTAAAAATGGGGAATTTTCCCATCATGGTTTGACCTCCATGGAACCCCAAAACCCTTCCTGGGGGGGTTGTAGTAGATGATTGCCTGTGTGACAAAATGCCCCCAATCTTGTCAGGGCAAGACTCCACAAGACCAGTTTAAAGCTTGCTGATGTTGGGAGCACAGATGGGTTGACAGGGATTTTTATTGTGTGGAGGCTCTGCCACATGGTATGGGGAGGAATGTACACACATGCATAGCGCAGAAACTGCAATGTGTCAAGGGGGAGGGTGGAGATGGGCAGGAGGAGAATGCTGCTGCAATAGCTTAGAATCATTCTGCAGACTCGCACAGCTGCCAAAAGGCCATTGCATTGAGCTTCACCCTTAACATGCAGCAGGCTTGCTAGTCCTGCCACAATAGGCAACACCACGGGAGGTGCATTTGCTAGAACCAAGGGGAAACCGCCCAGCTCCCCTTGTTATTTCTGCTATTGCCAGGAGGTGTGGTGTTAATGTAATCTTGTTATATTTATAGCACTGCAATTATGGGTTTTGTACGTTATTATATTTGCCATTGTGATTTTCTTTTGCCGTGAAATTGTTATTGTGACAACCGATTGAGATGCATTCCCGTTTCCTAGGCTGCAAAAGCTGCTTTGATTTTTTTGTAGGAGGGAAGCATACAAATAAAATGATGATGTCGCTGCTTCACATCACAGGCTGGTGAAGAGGATGACGGGAGCTGGGTTGGCAAAAATGCAGCTGACTGAAACCCCAGGGCAAGTTCTAATGGGTGGGTTGCTGCTGGGGGAGAGGATGCGGATGGGAACCAGGAGTCCTAGATGTGCTGCTGCCGCCATTTTGGGCAGAACTCTGTGTTTTAAGTGCAATGTGATTTGGCCCCAGGACTCAGGAAAGGTCCTACTCTAGTTTTTATGGCTGTAAAAGTACATTTGCAAAAGTGAGTCTGCTTGAAGGACAATGCCTCCTGGAACTCATAAACCCAAGACAGCAAACAACAGAGCAAAACTATTCTACATTTGCTCTGCAAAATTGCAGGCCTGCAAAACCCTATTAATGCAAGACTTCTCAATGTGGACATTTCTTCTGAGCTGCCTGAATCTGCTTTGCAGGGGCCAAAACCTCCCAAGGGATGCAGGAACAGATGGGCTCTTGGTCTGACCCCAGAAGGCTTTACCAGCCAGCTGCAAACACTGGCTGTATTGTAATCCTCAGGGATTAACTTGACATGGCCAACCTACTTCAGACAAGCCAATGACTGCAGAGAAGCAAAGTAGACCTTTAAGTGTGTGATAGATCATTTTTTTTATTAGGTGGTTACCTTTTAAGAATTTTTTTTTTAAAAAAGAAACCCAACAAGGGTTGTGTAAACAGCAGCTGTACAGTTCAGGCATCACCCTCCTCCACATCTGGTATCCTCCAGATGTTTTAGACTACAACATGGTTCGCCCCAAGCACATTGTAGTTGAAAACATCTAGAAAACACCAAGTTGGGGGAAGACTGAACTAGTTCAACTCAATCTTCATTTGAAAGGAGGGGGGCAGAGACAAGCTAACTAATGTAAGGGTGGGTTTAGATCAAATTATAACTTGTAGGAACACAATACTTTTACTGGAGCTATCTTACCTTATTCCCAAATTTGACTCTTGTCCTGCTTTTATAAAATTAGGCTTACTCTAATGAGCAAAGACTTTTACATTTTAAAGACATTTTCTTTGGGTATACCAGCCAAGAAAGACCGCAGCTTGAAATTTTGAACAGATGAAATAATAGAGGCATGCAGTGATGCAACCAGAGCCAGGATGACTTCACAAAGAGCCTGTCCTGTTACTGCTGCAAAAATCTGGAGATCCATATGCCTGTTTTAGAAGCAGGTTTCTAGCCCTCATGCTGGCCAAAAGTATGCCTTAATGATGTCATAAATGCTAGATGCAGAGTGGTTAGAGGTCAACACGGTATGTAGCTCATCACCCTTTCCCAGGATTAGCAAAAAGCAGATACAGGCACTGCTGTGTCCAGCATTTAAGTCACTGGGATACATACTGTCGCCAAGTCCAGAGATCTTGATCTTGCCGAGGTCCAGGGTGGGTGCAACTCCCACACTGAAAGGGCTTTTGGGGATGTGGTCTCCTCCATATGTAACATTCACTCCAATGTTACCCTGAAAGTCAAGAACCATGACTGTCATCACTTAAAGACACCATTTTTGAGTGATAAAGAGACAGCCTTCTCCCGCCCTCATCCTGCCAGCTCCAAGCCACAGCCAAATCTAGTTTGTAACCTGAGTAGATTCTAAAGCCTACTTTAATTGAGACTGTAAGCCTGTATCTGGACAGCAACACCTCCCGACACTTAGCAAGGGCTCCTCCGTGGGGCGGGGGGGAAGACCTTGCATACAGCACATCCAGGACAAGGCTAGGCTAGAACACCAACCCTACATGCAAGCCACAAACCATCCTATTTGCCTAAAGCTGCCACTCCAGGTTCCTCTTTCCTTGCTCTTATTAGAGTTTGAAGACGCCAGATCCTAGCCGGCTTTGCGTTTTCTGGGATGAAGTCTGCTACTGACCAAGAAATCTTGCCTCAGGGATAAGAGAGCCCTTAAGATCCCATGTCTCCTCCCCATCACTCACCTGCTGCACAGGGGTGTATTTGACAGTATAAGTGTTGTCATGGTGGTCAATTATTTCAGAGTCTCTAACAGCCTCTCCTTTGGCTGGGCCAGTGAACTGGACATCCAGCTTAGCCTTGCCAGCTGCCTTTGTGTTGACTGTGAAGTAGGTTGGTTTGCCTATCTCCACACCTGTAGTGAAGGGAGGTGAAAGTTAAACAACTTTTCTAACAAGCTCCTTAGTACAAAGCTTACTGGAATCCCCCCACCCCAATCATCCAGTTTAGGACACAAACCATTCGCCCAAAACCACCTCTTGCCTAGGTTTGAGTTCTACCCATTTTGCAAATTGGGACACTCAATAAAATGCTTTTGTCAGCTGCCTTCAGCTGTCCATACTAGAGGCTCAGTATTCCCATTTCCTTCCTCACACCATCCACTCTTGACTTCCAAAGGGGTGGTTGAGGATTTCTGCCTAAGAGATGGGAGAGAGAATGCCCTTAGATGCCCTCTCCTCATAAACTTGGGAGAAACTTTGGACAGCAGAGGAAGGAAGGCCTGTAACCCAACCACAGCCCCTTCCTCACCATGTGACCTCCTGGGAGTATTCCCAATAATCCCTGGTTACTCGCAGGATCCTATCAGTGTGGGAGGGAGGGGTAGAAATGCTCCTCAAGGAGTACTGAGGACTAACAAAGCCCTATCCCACCAAGGATTGATAAATCATGCCCCCACTATTTGGCAGTCCATAACACAAGCACGGTCCTGGATCCAGAGTCATGCATACGTCTAAGTATGGGAATCAGTGGGTCTAAAGAGTTGGAGCTTCAAAGCTCCTGCACAAATTTTAAGAGAAACAGGTACCTTTGGGGGGAATTTTAGTCATCGTTGCTCTAAGCTTAGGCTCCAAGGATCCTGATACCCAGCCATACAGTTCAGCCCCAATTCACCCCCATTTACAGAGTGTCCCCCAGCTCACCACTCCTGTTGAGTCCAGGTCCCTCGGCCTTGACTTTGCTGGCATCATGTGAGGGATCCACTTTGATTCTGATGGGGCTGGTGGGGGTGGCCTGCAGATGAACATGAAGCAAGTGAAAACACTGCTTTCTACACCCGTGTTGCCTCCTCCCCACCCCCACCCTTCTGCAGTAAGAGGAGCTCTTACCTGGTCAGCAAAAAGCACCATAATGGTGTAGCTGCCAGCACCGCGGGGGGTGTACTTGACTGTGAAGGTGTCATTGTCATTCCGAATGATGTCAAAGTCTATATCTGCCTCTGCTGGGCCCACAACGCCTGGTGCACACTTGATGCCGATGCTCACGTCACCTTTTAAGAAGCAAGAAGTGGGAGTGAGACAGCAGCTTTAACTGGAACCCAGTTGCTTTATTGTGGCCTTCCCAAAGGTGCAGCACAGAGATGCGGAACCTGTGGCCCTCCAGGTGGCATTTAACTTCCATTCCCATCAGCCCCAATCAAAACAGCTAGTGGTCAGGGAAGATGGGAGTTGTAGTCCAACACCACCATTTGGAGCAGCCATTCTCAACCTGTGGGTCCCCAGATGTTGTTGAACTACAACTCCCATCACCCCTAGTTAGCAAGGCCAGAGCTCAGGGATGATGGGAGTTGTAGTCCAACAACATCTGGGGACCCACAGGTTGAGACCTGCTGATCTGGAGGATCATGAGTTCCCTGTTCCTGGTGTAAAGGTAAAGGGACCCCTGTCCATTAGGTCCAGTCGTGGCCGACTCTGGGGTTGCAGCACTCATCTCCCTTTATTGGCCGAGGGAGCTTCCGGGTCATGTGGCCAGCATGACTAAGTTGCTTCTGGCGAACCAGAGCAGTGCACGGAAATGCTGTTTACCTTCCCGTCGGAGCGGTACCTATTCATCTACTTGCACTTTGACGTGCTTTCAAACTGCTAGGTTGGCAGGAGCAGGGACTGAGCAACGGGAGCTCACCCCGTTGCGGGGATTCAAACCGCCGACCTTCTGATCGGCAAGTCCTAGGCTCTGTGGTTTAACCCACAGCACCACCCGCATTCCTGGTGTAGCAGGTCTCTAATACTGAAGGCAACAGGTGGGTACTCAAGTAACACCTAGCTACTGACTGGCTCCAAAGGTTTGCAGCTGGAGTGGAGAGAAGGGAATCATCATAATCATTCCTGGCCTCTGATGGAGATGCAGTGTGAGATCATGACCTAAGGCAGCAGTACTATGAAACCTTGACCTGAAAGTAAGCCCTACTGAACACAATAGGAAGTGATTCCAAGTAGTTTAAGGAGTCCACCGAAGTAGAGAGGAAGAGTCTTCATGACCAGGTTTCAGTTTGGCAACAGAGGCCAGCATCCTGTCCTATAGCATCCAGGCTTGCTGGGGTGTGGGGTGTGACTTCTGCAAGGGAGGGCTATAGGTTTCTTGGCATCCTCCCCAAAATATAATGCCCAGAACCCTTTGGGAAAACCACAACTGTCCAAATGACAGCAAAGAAAACCCAGCAAGCCATACATGTCCATGGAGTGGGTAAATAACTCAAGGCACTTCTAGCTTTATATGCAACAATGCCCTTGTTGTGTCTCATGGACAGAGGAGCAGTCAGCAACTAACAGGGAAGAGGCCTTGAGGGAAAGAGAATGATGATAAAAACAAAAAAGGACTGCTCATCTCATTGCCAATGACTGTTCAGGGACACACTTAAACAGTATTAGAGTGTGGCCTGACTCAGATCTAATGCAAGACAACAGTGAAGGAAGTTTAGCTATTATTTAGCATTGAAACAGATAAGGCACAGTTGATAGCTGGTGCTCCACTTTTGCAGGCCACTGTAGCTAGAAGGTGAAATGCCGAGCAGGGAGCAAAAGAAGATGTTTGGAAGCCTGGAAGCCTTAAAGCATGTTTGGAGACCTTCAAGCCATGGTTTGGTGTGGCCCAAGCCAGGGGTGTAGTGTGCCAGGGGTGCCATGGCCCCAGGAACACAATTTTTGACCTCAGTGCTTCTCTCCACTCGCCAAGGATCCCCCCTGGCCAGGATCCCCTCTGCGCAGGCAGGCAGGCAAGAGTCTCAGGGCAGCCCTGCTTTGCGTTGGCGCTGGTGGTGAGGGTGGGCTGGCAAGCGCTCTCTCCAGGTGCCGGCAACCAACGCTATGCCACTGGTCCAAGCACAAGAGTGAGTGAGTGTTGGGGGTCAGGAGAAGCACGGCTCTTCCCTTTCTCCTTACTTCTCCCTCACCCTGCACTGTAGGATGCGTAGCCCTGGAGAGCCCTCCCAATTACAGGAACTCTAAAGGGTCAATGCTTCTAAACATTAAATGAGGCAGCAAGCAACAGCTATTAGGATACAAAAGGATCTGCTGAACTGGGCAATAAAGAAGGGAGCGGCTGATCTCTGCAGAGGGAGCAGGAACAGATTGCACAACTTTCTCTATTGTTTCCTTAGCTGTCAGCAGAAGAAGAGGGAGGGAGACCAAGGGCAACCCCTTCAATGAAAAATATTCTCAGTGTCGTTTTATGCAAGAAAAGGTTTCTTCTCTACTCCCACTTAACTGACAATCCCCACCACTTGTAATTACTTGTAAGCCCACCCATCTGCCTGGGTTGCTCCAGCCACTCCAACAGAATATGAAGAAGACACAACGCGGCAGACAAACTCTGATGCAAAGTGCAGCATCCGCTCTCCCCAATAGTAGGCAACATGTACAATGACACAAGCCGCTTATGGGGCCAGAAGGGCAGTGCTTCCAACATGGACACTCCACTTAGCCATTGGGGGCTAAAGCCACTGGGATATATTTTAGAGGAGTCTCAAAAAAGGTAAAAATATACACAGAAGGGTAGCTGTGCCAGCTTGTTGGGAACAAATACAGTACAATGAAGTCTTGTGACAGTCTTTAGACAGACAGACAAATTTATTATGGCATAAGCTTTTGTGGCCTCAAAGGATGAAAGTGAATGGGTTTCAACTGAAAGAATTTGTTACAGAGACTCTTGTTTTGCTATTTTAAAAGGTAGAGGCTGTAGTAAGGCCAGGGACAAGGACCTGGTGAAGCTCATTAGAGTTGGCCCAAGGGCTCGGGTTCCAGTTGAAGTTGTCCGCACACAAAGAAAAGTAGTGCAAAGTCAGGAAACCACCACCTCAACAAGACAGAGGGCTGCATCCTGGGCTCTGGGAAGGGAGCATCCCAGGACCCTCCTGCGACCTGCCCTGATCCCAGTAAGCAAGAAAAACCAGCTGAGTGGCGGGGGGAGGAAATAAATAAACAAAGAGACTGGGGGACTGGCAAGTTTGCCCTGCTCTCCATTTATTTATTTTCTCACCCACCCGCATAGGTTGCGATTGTGTATGTAATGTGAGTGTAAGTTGCGAGCCCACTGTTTATGGACTCCGTTCTGGGGCAGTGGGCCAGCGCAAGCCCCCTGCAGTTCTGCACACAGTGTCTACCCTCCAGAACGAAGCACCCTCTGAGCTTCCAGCTCTGTTGGGGGGGGCATCAACAGAAGACAACCAGCTTATCAGAGCTGTGCTTCCAGCATGACCAGTCCTGCCCTGGGGCTTCTTGGCCTGGACTCCAGGTGACAGAAGCCCTTCTGGACTCACCCTGCCCGGCTTCTGCACAGTCCACTGTGAAGTAGGTTGGCTCGTGAGCCTTCAGGCCAGTCTTTGCCACACCAGGACCATACACTTTCACTTTGTTGGGGTGGCTGCCAGCACCAACGTTGACCTAGAGTGAGAGACGGAAAAACAATGTGATGTAACATGTGATTAGTAATTAAAAAATCTACACAACAAGCACACCAGCCCAGTAAGACCCTGCACACAGACAGCTATAGTCTACACCTGACCTAGCTATCTGCTTGCAAGGGGAAATAAGTTTATTTAGCTACTTGGTAAGGGAAAGACACAAAGAAGCACAAAGTTGGAAGGGTCCCTGAGGGTTATCTAGTCCAACCCCCTGCAATGCAGGAATATGCAACCTTAGTGTTATCAGCACCACGCTCTAACCAACTAAGCTATCCATCCGTCCTTTGCTTTCAGAGTGTGATTTGGGGGTGGGGTGGAATACAGAGAACACCAACCCTGTAGGGACTGTTGGGGATGTTGACTCCGCCCCACGACACCATTGCTGTGTGCTTTACGGGCTTCTTGGGCAGGTAGGAGCAGCTGTAGGTGCCATTGCCATTGTCCTTCACAGAGACATCCACAGGGGATCCTTCAGAGTCCTGCAACGGAGAAACAAAAACAGGAGCAGCTTAGCATCTGGCACACTTCCCTAGTAGTCCTCTGTGGTAAGATCAGCATCCTGGAAGCCTCTTCTCCCTTTCTGCATAGCGACAGCACGAGATAAAGCTATGCCTCCTCCATAGCACAAGCGCCAAGTCTCACCTGTACTTGTACCTTGAGGGGAGCCTTTCCACCACTCTTGGCATCTACCGTGAACTCAGCTGGCTTGTTGACCGCAACGCCCGTTTTCTCCAAGCCTGGACCATGGGCTTTGACCTGGAGAGGAGTTGGAAGAGAGGTGTGAACTCCAAAGCAACTTCTGCACAGTTAGAACACACTGCACTGGTCATCATAAGGTTTACGGCTAAAAAACAGTGGGTGGGGGTCCCTTCTCTCAGCAGGAATGGCTGGAGCATGGACACAACACTTGAGGTTGTGAGAGCTGTGCCAAGCACACAACTCCATGCTGGAAATTTTTTGGGGGATGCTACTCCCATGTAGCTCGAGCTAATCTTGCACAATCCCCATCATGAGCACTTGGTGGTGGGGAGAAGGACAGCAGAACCCCACAGGCTGACAGCAAATCAAAATAAAAGCTTGGATTGCCAAAAGGGACAATGTGCTTGAAGACCTTTTTCTACCATTGCCACTCCTCAACCAGAAGCACCACTCAACCCTTCCCTTAACTGTGACCTCCAACTACCCCAAGTTCTTTCACAGTCATAAGGCCTAGAACCTTTACAGCCAAGATCAGCTTTCCAATAATGTGTATGCTCACACCAGGAAGAGCAGTTGGCAAGACACCCCTACAGACGTGGTCGTGACGAGCTCTCAAGCCACCAATCTGGGCCAGTTACTGGTTCTCAGTTCTGCTTCCCTCACAGCCCTATACATAGACACACAAGAGTGCCAGGATGCACCATCCCAAAAGGAGTCTCCTTCATGCAGACACTTACCTTCTCTGGGTAGAAGTCCTTGGGAGCAGCTTTGATTTCTGCCATGAAGGGGCTGAGCTTGATGTCTTCGTTGTTGCAGAGCACATGGACTGCATATTCGCCTGGCTCCTGAGGCCAATAGCGCACGTTGCAGGAGCCATCGCCCTTGTCATCACACTCAATCTTGGCCTGCGAGGGACCCTCCACAGAGAAGCCTGCCAGGAGCACATGGAGAACCAGGCATTAGCTCACAGTTAAACCGACACTCGGAAATGCCTATCGCGGCCACTAGACAACAGTTACGTTATCCTGAAGACTTCAGCTGCTTGTATTTAGCTTAAACACTGATAGCCTATCGGTGTCTAAGGCTGACTACTAATTCTACACAGGTTCTGAAGGCTGCTTAGAACCAAATGAAAGTCATTTAAACAATTTTTGAATACACAGACAAGGTAAAAGTAAAAAAGGTGGCTAAACAAAGCTCCACCTAGGAGCAAAGGCCTTAAGCTGCCCAAGGTGGGACTTCCGGAGGCGGCGCCAGCGATTGATGGCGGATTCCCTCGGTCAGAGGGAATAAGCCCCACGAAAAAAGGGTCGAATCCCGCTTCGGCGCAGCGGGGGACCCCTAAAAATCACAGGCGGGGGGAAGCCTGTGAACCTGGGACCCAGCGGGCACATTTGGTGTTCCCCCCCAACCCAGCAAACAGCCCAGAAACGGGCTTGAAATCGGAGCGGGGGAGAGCGCGGTGCTGTGGGCTGTCTGCTCGTTCGTGGAGTGAAGCCGCAAGCTGTCAATCGGAGAGCGCTGCCTTTCTTTCTTGAAATTCGGACTTGGAAAGCAACGATCCGTGAGTAGGATTTACTCAAATTGGAACTGTACAAATTAGATCTGAAATCAGGCTGAAAACGGAGGAGGTTTAAAAGGAAGTCAACCTCCTTCTATTGTAGATAGACTTAAAGCATTGAACTTGAAAACGGAAGCTTTTGGAAAGGACGTTTTTAGAGGACTTTAATCCAATCACTGAACCTGGACTTTCCCTCTATAAGTTGAGGGAAAATAGGGGGAGATCTTTGGAGGTGATTTCTTTATTAAGAGTGGAAAAGAAGAGATTAAACCATCACTCAATTTCCTGGGAAAGGACTCTCCAGATCCTAGGAAAAAAAAAAGAGGTACTGTCTTGTAATATATTTTGACAGCTAGTCCTGCATTGGTTAATTTCTGGGAAATGATATATAATGAATTAAAAAAGGTATTTAAGTATACCTTCCCCAAGAAACCAGAGGCCTTTCTCCTGGGCATAGTGGGCCAAATGGTGTTAAAAAAGGATAGAACTTTATTTATGTATGCAACAACAGCAGCAAGAATACTCATCGCAAAGTATTGGAAGACACAAGAACTTCCCACGCTGGAGGAATGGCAGATGAAACTTATGGACTATATGGAATTGGCGGAAATGACTGGTAGAATCCGTGACCAGGGAGAAGAGTCGATGGAGGAAGATTGGAAGAAATTCAAAGACTATCTTCAGAAACACTGCAAAATTAAGGAATGTTAAAGTGATGTTGGATTGAAAATAAGTGGTTTCCAGCTGTACAGGTTAAAGCTAAGGATAGATTAAGATTAAAGATTAAGATTAAAGATGTTTAAAGAAATGGAAATTTGATAATAAAAAGGGAAAAATTTAAAGGTATATGACATTAAGAACAAGGATTATGTTTAAAAAAGCTGAAGCTATATAGTTTAATATTTCATTAAATTAAAGATTGGGTTTAAAAAAGTGGAAAAGAAACTGCTGGACAAATAATGTAGATTGGAATACAAAAGAGGGAGGTATGAGGAAGTCCAGAAAATAAGTAATTCAAAATTGGGAATGTAAAGAGAGTTTGTTTTAAATTGTTATGTTGTGTGTTTTTATTGTTAAATTTTGTATTGTTTTTTTTGTGTGTGTGTGTTGTTTTTTCTTTTTTCTTTGTTTAAAACTTTAATAAAAATTATTCAAAAAAAAAAAAAAAAGCTGCCCAAGGTGACTGCAGCTGAAGGGGCAGGTGGGCTTCCTCAGGCAAAGAGATCCCAGGTAAGGATGTTACTGGTTCCCTGACTGTCCCTTTTCCCTGAACACCAAGTCATACCATCCAGGAACCTGGAGGCTCCATTTAGCGTCAAGGCCAATGCTGACTGAGAAGTGCATCCTTCAGAAATCTGTTTGAGCTTTGGAGCCATCTAAGCTAGGAGGCCACCACACTGTGACAATGAATTCCCCAAGTCAGTTACGCATTGCGTAAACACCAATACCATAAACGCCAAGCCACTGGTCCTCTCCCAACTTTGCCGGTTACCTAGCGTGCCAACGTCATCACCAATGGCTTCCACCACGAAATCAGCAGACTTGCCAACCACGCCTCCTTCCAGGCCTGGCCCCCAGGCCCGCACCTTCTGGTTTGTACATTCCGTTCCCACTTTTACCTCAAATGGGCTTAAAAAAAAAAAAAAAAGGCAGAGGGAGGGAATAAAAAACATTAATGTTCAATCTCAGCCTTAAGATAAAATGGATTATTTTAACAGGCCGATTTGCTAATGAAACTTGCCTGCTCCAGTTTGCTCCAGCAGTGCGGCAAGCACACTTGCAAGTCATCACATGAGGAGGTATCAGACTACAGAACAAGAAAGCTGCAGGAGGCCAGCCCTATCATTTGGTAGACTGAGGGGCCAGCTGGTTTTGTGTGTCGCAAAAGGACTGCAAATGGTTAATTTATTACAGCTATGTTGTACACTGCCAGGGAAAGAAGGAGTGGCCCTTGTGGGATTTTCTGCCTCAGGTGCCAAAACAGCTTGGCTGACTGAGCACTTAGGCTTGGAGGCGGAGTCATCAATTGCTCCACTTAAGCAGCAAATGCCTTAGTCAGGCCCTGTGCGCTATTGCTGTGATTGGACAGCCACCCATCCCAAAAAAACCACAGGTCCCCAATTAAGTCCTACCTAGTCTATTTGCCTACTTATAAATCTCTTGAGTAGCAGATTGTGTTTGCCCCTCTCACCCCTCAGGGAATTGTGCAAAACACGGGAACACCTATAAGTCTGCAGGCTGAAAGAGAACACTCATTCCCCCAGAAGAGGAGACATACTGCACCAATGCTAGATCTCCACCCCCTCTGGAAGCCATGCCGGCTCTCCTGTTGGTTAATTGGAATCAAAGCCCCAATCTGCTCTGTTTTTAAGTGTATTTTACCTAGGATTTTAGTTGTGCGGTCTGTTTATTTTACTTATTTCTTACATTTATTAAATTTGTACACCACCCTTGATCCAAAGCTCCCAGGGTGGTTCACAGCATGTTAGTTGCTTTTTTCATGGAAACTGGCCCAAAGTGAATTGTAAAACAAAGATTTCAATCAAGTATAAAAAACCAAAACACCAATAAGATATAAAAAGACAGGTCTAGAAGATGAGCAAGGAAGATGCAACAAATGGGAGGGAATAAAAGTTTTTGCCTCTTGCCATAAACTGATAAAGAGGGTAACCAGGAATGCCTCTCTGGGGAGAGGATTCCACAAGCAGGGAGCCACCACCGAAAAGGGCCGTTCTCAAGCTGCCGCCCTCCAGACCTCCCTTGGGGAGGGGGGCACATACTAAAAGGCCTCAGAAATAAGGTGTTGGGGGACCTCTATTTAGGACTGAAAAGTAGTATCTAAATTATTCAAATATAAATGAAATGAAAACTCTACAGCTGAGACCATCAAGTTGAATGCTAGAAGGATCAAGGCAAGGAAGAGATTCAAGGCACCCTTATAACTCATAGTATCTCCCTGAGTCTCAGCAAGCATCCCCTCCCTCCTCTCTTTCAGATGGAAATAGTTCTCCCCCCCCCTTCCCGCTTCTTACCTGCGGGGGATGTGCTGCCCACCCCAAGTGATTGTGACTGTGTAGTTGCCAGGAACTGTGGGGTAGTACTCAAAACCATACACCCCATCACCCAGGTCCTTCTGCTTGACACGTTCCTCAAGTCCTTCTGTGGGAAGAGATTGTGGTGGTTGAGGGCGGAAGGAACTTCACAACATACAGAAAAAGCAAAACAAAACCCATATACTTGCCCGTTACATATTACCAGGGAAGATCATGCGTGCATGCCCTCACCTTGCAGAAGATAAGCCAATGAGTTCTTATACATCACATTTATCACAAGTCTCAGCGCGGCTCCCAGGGAGAGCTGCTAGGGTCAAATGCCCACTGGGTCCATGAAGCACACGGAATATACCTGATCTCAGTCACTATCCCAAAGTCTTACTCCCAAATAGTAGAGAACAAAAAGGAGGATTCAACTCTTATGCACACTATTCTGAGCACCCTGGAGGAAAGGCAAGATAATACAATTGGGAATGCTGCCTTATAGGTTGCCACTGGGAGTGCTTCACAGGTGAAGTACTGTAGCTCAGTGAAAGAACATCTGCTCTGCATGCATGAAGGTCCCTAGTTCAAATCCTGGTGTCTCCAGGGATGCCCTGTCTAAAGTCCTGGAAAGTCACTGTCCATCAGTTCAGACCAGGGGTGGGGAACCTCTGGCTCATGGGAGAAATCTGTCCTACCAGGCCATTTTCCCCAAACCATGCCCATTTGCCCACACCTGACACCATATGCAATGTCAGGTGTGAGGCAGGTAAAGACTCAGCTAGATTTCCTGCAGAAAGCGGGACTGAACTCTAGCTCATCAGCTAACGTGCAGGGGATTCAATCACATTTGACCGCTATCTCCCTTTGCTCCTGCTGGTCAGCTTTGACAGGTTTGCCCACAGGGTTTGGTCAAAAAGATTCCCCACCCCTGGCTAGACAATACTGAGCTAAAGGAACCAGCAGCTTCTTATCATCCTCACATTGGCAAGGAGGTGCAGCTGGTGGGTGGGACTCAGGTCTCCCCTCACCCTGGTGCCCATTTGCATTCAATTCCCCCATCACACTTCTCTAGTAACTGCAGCCCCTACTTACACCAAAGCCCCATGGAAGGGGCCTGGATCAAAACACTGACACACAGCTGCAACCAGCTTAAGTACAGCTTGCATTTGGCAGCTCCAAAGAGTCCTGGATGTTGTAACATTATACCGCGCTCTGCTCCCCACCACCGACAAACCCAGGCATCCCTTGAGGGCTCTTTGCAGGCTACAGCCTCCAAGGGAATAACATGCAGTCACATTCTCAAGATGTTATCTTCCAGCTGGGAGAGATCTTCAGCTCTGACAAATGTCTCAGGCTCCTGAAGTCTGCCTGAGGCCTAGTTACCCAACCTCTGCTTTGAATGCTTGCGGTCTGAACCCAGGGTTAGAACTGTCAAAATCCAGCTCCTCCATCATTCACATACTTCTCTGCATTGCAGCAGCCTCTCCTTCCAGCCCAGACAAGAACCCAATTATGTTTTCTACAGTGGTTTGTAGCTCTGCTTGCCCCGCCATGACTCCACAACAGCCACTCAATTTACTGCTTTGCTTCCTTGCCTCAGCACATTTCCATGCTTGCACAAAGTACAAATGCCACCATCAGCCCCTCCTACAGACCAATTACACTCGCACCAGAAGAACTTTCTGCTGTAAGACCCAAGATTTTTAAAACGGTCCATGGGCAAGCAAGCAAGATTGAGAGCTTCTTAGGCTTCAAAGAGTTTCTAGAGCTTGCCATGTCTGAGAGTCAGTGGAGCCCAAATCACCAATTCCCTATGAATGGATGCTCCAGCACAACAGAAGCAACAGCCTCCTGTGCAATCAGCCTGTTCCCCCATTGGTAATAAATAACTCTGCAGCCGTGTTAGAAACTGAGTTATGAAGGCTAGGAGCTGAATGGCACCTTAAACCTAGGTTATGGGCGCAACAAGGGAATGGCTAGGCACACTTTTTTATAATAATACAAAGCTGAAGATGAACTGCAGCTAAAATATGTTCATTTTTCACATGGTCTAGTCCTTCCCCTGCCCACCCCCTAACATTCTTAAGAGGGTCTCTTCTCCAGTCTTCAGAGAGTAGCTGGAAGTGGGGAGGCAGAAAAAAGTCCTCCTTTCTTTCCGCTCTGCAGTTTTAATCTGAAATCTTAGGCACAGTTCTGCGCCCAGAGCTCAGAAACCTCTTGCACTAATGAAAGTCCCTGTCACAAAATGTGCTTAGAACAATGGGTGTTTTGAACACTGCTCTGCAGTTTCTTCCTGTTCCCCAAACAGATCTGGGCATGCACTAGCCAGATGGGCTTTGCAGTATACTGCTTGCCTTCCAAAGGGGCATTACCATACAAGCTAGGGGTCTGCTTTAAGACATGTGCAGCAGCTGCACCCCGAATGCCTCTGAGCCTATGCAAAGTGTCATCAGGCTCCCAACATTTCCCACACAGAGTAATTAGACTATAGCGCTTCCAGGCCAAAAGGCAGAGCTTCTGGGTTAAGTGCAAATCCCACCCTCCCATGTCTGAAACACAGAGGGTGGGGAAGACAAACACACACACTGGACTTACTTGGGCCTTTTATTGTCACTTTGAGCTCTCCGCTGCCAGCGCCTTTTGTGTAGACCTTGAAATCTGCCGTCTCCTTCACTCGGACACCTTTGGGCTGGAGGCCTCGACCCACGGCCCGGCAAGCATTTGGGTTGCATGCTGTAGCAGCAGAGAGAGGGTGGCAGAGAGGGTGAGTGTCCTTATCGAGTCCAAGTAGAATTCCAGTTTTCCCAACTGGGTGGGTCTTTGCCATCATTAACACACCAGGCATTCAACTAGCTCCACCCATGAGAGGGAGGCCGGATCTCAAGCCCATAGGCTGCTCCCCTGGACAGAAGCAACATGCACCCTTGCCACAGGTCCCCACCCACACCTGCCAAGAGTGAAATACCATTGGCCCTGGATCCAGGCGCCGAGCAGCTGGGAGGAGATGAGTGCCAGCAGAGATCCAGGGAGATGGCTCTTCAGAGGAAGAGAGGACAGAGCAGAGGAGAGCTGGGCCAGGACAGGTGGAGGTAGGCAGAGAGGAGAGGAGAAGCGTTAGGAGCAGAACAAAGAACCACCCCCCTTCTGGTCACAAAGAGGAAACCAAGCAGCAGCAGTGGTGTTAAGGTTAAAAGAGACCCCACCAAGAAGCCCCGTGCCAGATGGGAGACTCACCCTGGCCAATGGTGACCGTATATGGGCTGCGGGGGATGGGGATGCCCCCAAAGGTGATGTAGATGGTGTAGGTGCCCTCCAGAGTGGGCTTGTAGGTGCAGCGGTAGGTGCTATTGCCTTTATCCTCCAGCTGCTGCTCCACTGTCCCTTTCTTGCCAGTCGGATCTTGGATGATTACCTCGATTTCCCCAACACCAGCACCTGGGGGGAGGGATTAGGGTAAGATGAAGAGAGGCAGGTGTTAGGTGGAGATAGTGCATGCACCCTTAAGTATTCACTTACGGGAAGGCCTTTGATCTGGACCAAGAACACAGCAATGGGTTTCCAGGGGAAAAATAAAGCCCTGCACAGCTCCTTGTCATTTTCTGTAGTTAGCAGTGCTGTGCAAGAGAAACATTATGCAAGTTTTGCTTGCTCTATTTAATTTACGTAGGAATTGCAGGTTTCTTGGGGCAGCATTTTAAGAACAGAATTCAAGTGCTATTTATACTGCATCCCTACCTTCCATGCTTAGCGCACCCTGCAGCCATGCACCTAGCAATTAAAGACATTTAAGAGCGGCCTTAAAATTTGTTTGCAGCTTCTTTCTAGCTAGTGGAGAAAACACAATGTCCCCAAGTTAAAACTTCACTATGTTTCAGCCTTTGGTAACAGACCCATTTCTGAAAGCAAAGAAATGGAAGATTTGTTTGCTACAGTTACTGTGGGCTGCAAGTTATGCTCTACTTAGATAGGCTTCAGCTAGGATTTAGTGGGAGACCTTTCATGCTTGGAAGATGAGGCCAACAATTCAGACAGACTTGCTTAGGCAGCAACTAGCCTGGAAGCAAAGGTACTCATCTTTAGCCTCAAGAGTTCAGAGGAGACTATTCTAACATCCAGCTATAAATAAAAATGAAACGCCAAGACAAGAGACCAATTGTTTGCAAAGGGCTGTTGGGACAAGGAAGTTGCCTTTTGCCTGAAGGGAGAAGAGCCCAGAGTTTCAAGGCAGGCAAGGAGAGAGGGTGACATTCCTGGATAAGAGAATCAAGGATGACTGATCTCAAAAGCAAGCTCCTACTGTGTACTCTGAATCATTGTTTCGTTTCATATCCTGCCACGTTGAATACAATATTACTCAGGGCAGTTCTGAATTCACAATTACACATATGAAAGTTAAGAACACGTGGAATCATGAAACTGTATATTCCTAATATAAATGTCTGATCATTCTGCCTCCTACTCTATGGCATGCTGAAGCAACAGGCATAAACGTCACCAAAATGTTGACCAACTAAGGCCTGTGCAGCAGGAGCAGAAAGCAGTTCCTCCAGCCACAGCCTACCTTGAAGGAGTCAGAGTGGGGCTGTTAAGCCAACTAAGCTGCCCTCCTCCACGGACAGCCTTAGGCAAGCTACTCACTCACAATCTCTTCCTTTTGGTATTCTCTGTAATCTTCCCAACAATCTTATGTGAAGCACTGGACACCTAAAAATGCTATGTGTAGCCTGACTTGTTCCCAACTTGGAAGCCCTCCTACCCAGAGCTGTTAGTCTCTGAAGACATGTTGCTTTGACAAGCAACTCCGAAAGCAGGAGAGCTAGAAAGGTTCCACTTTGGCAAGAAATTGAAGCCTCCTACACAATTACTCAGTTCATAGTGAGAAAAGTTCTCCAACAACAGTTTATTCATTGCCAACAATTCAGGTGTCCCCAACACAGTACTCCCTCCCCCAGTGTTACTGGACTGCAGTTCCCATCCTCTGACCATTGGGGCCAAGAATGCTGGGGCTGATGGGAGCTGTAGTCCTAGAATGCACCAGGTTGGGGAATGGTGGCTAAACTATTTATAACAAGTTTCTAAGAAACCAGCCAACTATGTCATTTGCTTTCAAGCTGTGTCCAGGCTTCAGCTGGCCAACACCCTTCCACCCTCTCAGAACCAGCACCCCGCCCCCATCCACTGACCAGCAGTGAAGATCTCAAAGTAGGTGGTCTTGTTGGCAATGTTGCCCACAGGCTCCAGGCCAGGGCCCTGGGCAGTGACCTTGCTGGCATCCCCGTGCGATTTGTCCACATTCACCTCAAAGGGGCTCTTGGCAATGTGCTGCCCAGCGAACAGTACCGTCACCTGGAGCAAAAAGTGAAGGTTGTCAAATGTTGATCACTGAGATGAAGGCCCAGTTCCAGAATTTTCTCTCAATCACCTACACGATATACAGACTCTTACCTTGTGGATTCCTGTCACCTTTGGCACATACCACACAGAGAAGGTCCTGTTCTTGTCATTGTTGGCAATGACCTTCGCCTTGAGGACAGACAGAGCAAGTTCAGTAGTGGTTGCCATTGTACAACCCAACCAAAACACCCCCCATAACTCTTCCGCCTCAAAGCCTGGCCATCCAGACCGCTAAGGACACACTGCCAGGGGGACTCACTTCTTCCCGATGTCCAGCAGGGTCCTCCACATAGACTAGCACTTCTCCCTGGCCAGCACTGATCGTTTCAACGGTGAACTCTGCCTTCTTCTTCACCATGTTGCCTGTGGGCTCAATTCCTGTGAAATGATCAGACACAGTAGTAACTGCACCACCCTCTGGCCCGTGATGCCATCAATTTGTACAGCAGTGGTTCTAGCATCACCTCCACTGTACAGCCTGGATGACCTCAGGAAAGCCCACACATGCTAGCTGGAGCCGATGGGAGAGCCACAGAGATGGTACAGAGCAAACCATCACAAGGCAATCACAGGGTGTTGCAAGAAAGAGGTTAAAAAGCATAAAGGTAAAGGGACCCCTGACCATTAGGTCCAGTCGTGGCTGACTCTGGGGCTGTGGCGCTCATCTCGCTTTACTGGCCGAGGGAGCCTGCATACAGCTTCTGGGTCGTGTGGCCAGCATGACTAAGCTGCTTCTGGCGAACCAGAACAGCACACGGAAACGCCGTTTACCTTCCTGCCGGAGTGGTACCTATTTATCTGCTTGCACTTTGATGTGCTTTCGAACTGCTAGGTTGGCAGGAGCTGGGACCAAGCAACGGGAGCTCACCCCATCGCAGGGATTCGAACTGCCGACCTTCTGATCGGCAAGTCCTAGGCTCTGTGGTTTAACCCACAGCGCCACCCACGTACAAACACCTGTAAGTCGAGCCCTATGAGGCAGCTATTCTATTCACGACACCCTGGGTCCCCAGAGATTTTTGGGCTACTACTCCCATCATCCCATTGGCTAAAATAGCAGGATTACGGAAGCTGCAGTCCAACCACATCTGGGGACCCAAGGTTGAAGAACGCCGTCCTAAGAAAGATCCCTTGTCAACACCCAGCTGCCCCCACTGTGGTCAATCTCCCAATTGTTTAAGAAGTCCTCCAGACCCTCCTCTGCACACATGTAATCCCAAGCCTTTACCACCTGTTCCTGGACTCACCTGGGCCATAAGCTCTGGCTTTCTTGGGGTTCAGTTTGGGCCTAAGGGGGGCTCCTGGCTTTAGCTTAGCTTTGGGGAACTGGGAGAGGTATGTCATGACCGAGTGCTCATCAACATTGGGGTCCACAATCTCTTCAGGAGTGATCACCTACAGAGGAAAGAAGGCAAATAGCTGGAGACAGCAAAGAAGAGGCAAGTTTACCTCTCACACGCCAGGAGTCAAGTACAGAGCAGGCACAGGATGTAGCCTCCCAAGAAACCCAGTGCTTGTTTTTCAAAAAGCAGACTTCTAGCCCTGAAGGCTGCAGAGGGGGCCCTAGAATGTAACTATTTTAAGCATTTCTGGGAAATCTAAGCAGCATCCTGGGGGGGGGGGTGTCAAGGGATAACACACATTCGGACTCTACATTGCTCACTTGCCCCTGGCCAAAACTGGAAGCAGTAAGCACTTTTGCCAATACACCTACTCATAGCAGAGTTCAGCTTAACACACAGTTCTGTATAGCACAGACCAAGTATCTGTGCTGCTTACCTGTGGGATGCCCAGCCAGTCATCCGCTTGCTGCATGGCCTCCCGGGCATTGTTGACAGGTTTGCTAGCATCCCACGAATCCCAGTCAGGGCACAGACCTGTTTGAGAGAGAGTCCCAGCTCTTTGTCAGTCACACACAGTAGTAACACTTCCTCCATACAGATCTCTGGAACAGTGCTCTGGGGCACTGTAGCATCCGTCCACAACATAAGGTAGAAATAAAGCCAAAGGAGCAGGCATCCAGCACAGGCCACTCCAATACAGGCATCCCAAACCCTCAGCGGAATATTAGACCCAGGGCCAAGATGGAGTTGGCATCAATGACAAGGACAGCCAATGCTGGGGCCCTCCAGATGATGATGTGCTCCAACTCCCATCAGCCCCAGCCAGCATGGCCATGGTCAAGGATGACAAGAGTTGTAGTTCAGAAACATCTGGAAGGAGCCTAATTGGCTACTCCTGATCTACAGGTCAACTAACACAGGAAGTAGTGCTGGCCCTCCAGCACCCATGTGAGCAAGTCAGAAGAGCCCTCCTTGCAAACCTCTCAAGCTCACCCTCTCACCCCCACATGAACAGTGCTGCTCCTCCACTTACCTGGGGCACAGCTGTCAACAAGAGCGCCTAGTGCCCGGCCGCTCTGCCAGTCCTTGCTGAAGTTGGTGATGGGCAATTGAGGCAGTTTGTTTTGGATCCAGCCCAGCAGTCGCTGCTTGGGGGTTTGTTTCTTGGCCTCTTCGTCATCTTCCTCATCCCACATGGGCATGGAGATAGAGTAGTGCAGGATGAGCGTCCAGATCAGGCCCAGGATCAGCTTCAGATTCCCATCCACGATAGCTTTGCTGTCTGAGAGTCAGAAGCACAGTTCAGCATTCGCAAAAGTGGACAGTGACCTGGACTTTCAGGGAAGAAGAGTCCCACTCAGCAACATCCTAGGCCTTCTCCCCTTGGATTTCTCTCCTTTAGTAGGAGGAAGGCCAGTCTACACTTAAGGAAACCCAAGAAGAAGCCTGCAGGCAGTTTCCACCAAGTAATAAGTCCACTCCCACCTTTTCTCACCTCCTCAATAGATCCGAGACCTACAGAACAAGCTTCTAGCAAGAGATTCTGTCCTTAGGGGCCTGAAGAAGTTGGTGGGAGGGATTTTGATGAAGAATGGCCATAATTTGACTACAGGTAACATGTTTGAAGAAACTTAAAAATGATTTTAAAAGTGGCCTGTGTGTGCTGGTTACTACCATGCCTTTTTCACTCATTGGCCACTCCCTGCCACTTTAGACGCCATCACTGCCACCAACCATGTACAAAGAATACCTTTCCTTTATACCGTCTCAAGTCTCTTTGGTAGTGTCTCTTCCACATCTACACTTCCTAACCTTATCTTAAAATAACAGTGACAACAGAAAATAAACAAGTTGCAATTGATACTTGACGTATTGTTCTTGCTGCGGGTTCCATTTATTATTTTTATCCCCTGCTTCATGCAGGGAATTTTGGGTGGCATACATGGTCCATACTCCCTCAAGTTTCATTACAACAACCCTGTGAGGTAGTTTTGGCTGTGAGGGAATGATGGTCTCAAGATCACCCAGTAAGCTTTCATGACTGAGTAGAGATTTCAATCTGATGCGAATACAGTTCTCCAGCCACTCAGGATGGCAGTCAACCTTTATGCAAACTAGTTAAAAACCTGATAAATCTGAAAGCACCAGAAGCTGACTGGATTGTATTGAGCTCAGTGGCTATAGCTTTGCTTCACTTTCTCCTTTTCCTTGCAAAGTGTGGTGACAACAATGCCCCCCTCCTTTGGCAACATGACAGTGAGATGAAGTATTACTGTAGCTGTGAATCAGACTCAGGTACACTTACTTGGAAGTAAGGAGCCACCGGCATTATACACTATATAAAGTTGTATCACTTTCAACAGTCATGGTACGTCCCCCTAAGAATCCTAGGAAATGAAGTTTGTTAAGGATGCTGTTGCGTGACCTCATTTCCCTCACAGAACTACAACTCCCAAAGTTATTTGGGAAGAGGGATTGACTGGTAAACAGTAGGTCTGTGAGGGGAATAGTGATCTTAGCAGCCGTAAACTACAATTCCCAATATTCTTTGGGGGACACCATGACTGTTAAAGTGGTATAAAAGTGTCTGCGCCTGTACCCAACAGCCTTTTCCCTTAGAATATTGGAAATACTTGAAACAGGTCATAAGAGTCATTCTCCCCTTGCCCTCCTCCTGAGGTAAAGTCGACTGTATCCAGGGATCCTTCAAGAGGCGTTGCCCAAACTCTAGAATGCCCTCAGCAGCTCAACGTATCTGGTGCCAACACTTAATTGAGTTTCAGGGACTAGGTAAACATCATTTTATTTGCACAGGCCTTTTAATTTGTTTTGTTTTAATAACATTATCTGCTTGCAGTTCAGTTCATTTTAACGGCTACAGCATTTTTGCCACAAATTTAAGTAAAGGAATACCAAAACACAAAATTATTCCCAGTGAGTCTATTCAGGAGCAAGTCAACAAGTGCTGAAAAAATCCAGTATTAAACATGCATGTGTAAAATGCCCCCCCCCCCCCAGTTAAGCCCAATTTTGCTACAAGGCCATAAAGAAACACAGCCAATGAAGCCTGGGGGTGGGGGGAGAGCTATGTTCTTCTGCCCCATGCCCTTTGTTGGCCCCACTTTATTTATTTCTATGCCCATATATGTACCTCTTATGTAGATTCTCCTACAATTTTTGTTTGCAACATACTGCCATGAATCCCACAGTATGTGGGCTGTTACCAAACATAGATTTTTGTTACCTTGAGGTCCTGAAGCAAGAAAAAGTGGAAATGTTGCGAAGCAAAAGCATCACTCGGGCAGCCCTTAATTCAGGTGTTCTGCTGCGCTGACTGCGTGCCGACTCAAAAGAAATTGGTGAGTCAGCAGATGTCATGGAGGGAATTTGGAGCAAAGGAAGATAGGGATGGGAAGTGTACATGTGGAGGAGACACTACCCAAGAGCCGCTTGGTGAAACTGCATGAAGGAATCCCACCCTTTGTATATGGTTAGAGGCAACAGAAGAGGAAGCAGCAGCCGCAGCAGCAGCAGAGAGAGGCCTGCCCAGGATTGCGCAGCAGCAGATTGATGTAAACACACCAGATTCAGGGAAACAAAGAATTCCTTCAATGCACTGGCCTCCTGCCAAGATTAACCTCTCCAGAGACTAGACACAGCAGCTGAAAGGGGCCCAACTATTCTCCCTCAGCTCAGGTTCAGACAAGTCTTAAGCAACCTTCCTCTAAACCCCAAGGGGTAGGCAAGCTGGATAAAGCTGAACTCCCACAGGCTCCAAGGAACAACCCAAGGCCCTGCCCTGTATTCCCTTGCCTTCAGTTGTGGCACCACCATTATGGGATTTACTCCCAAGGGAGACCCACCTGGTCTAGTAACGGTTTGCCTTTTTTTCAGCAGGCAGTGAAGACCTGGCTATTTTCAAGGTCAGCATTGTACTGCTTGACTATGCTATTTATTATGCATTCTTCTGCTTTAAATGCATTTGATGTTGTGCATTCTTTTATTCTATTTTTTTAAGCCAGTGTACAGATCCTATGGGATCCGGAGCACAAGGTATGAAGGAAGAATCAACCTCCAGATACAAAGTGAAAGAGACTGATGAAGATCAAGGCAACAGAAGAGAACCTAGAATGAATTCAAAGCGATGGTCTAGTCTCAGAAGCACAGAACCTAGGTGTAAGATGGGAAATCTGAGGGGCAGGGTGGTTCCCCAAGCCAACCATTTGACTCCCAACATGGAAGTGGAACACCATGTCCAAGACATCACCAAGCCAAGCACATCCTAAGTGCTTTATGTGGTGAACTACAGTGGTACCTCGGGTTAAGAACTTAATTCGTTCTGGAGGTCCGTTCTTAACCTGAAACTGTTCTTAACCTGAGGTACCACTTTAGCTAATGGGGCCTCCCGCCGCGCTGCCGCAGCGCGATTTCTGTTCTCACCCTGAAGGAAAGTTCTTAACCAGAGGTACTACTTCCGGGTTAGCGGAGTCTGTAACCTGAGGTACCACTGTACTCTGCGATTTTCCCATTACATACAAATGTAATAAATAATTCCTGCAGCTGCACAAACACAAGAAGGTGGTTTTCACTGAAGTGGGAAAAGGCTTCTTGCAAGTGCATGTGGGGTGTGGGTGGGTGTGCATGCAACAGAAGTCATAAAAATTACTGAAGAAACCTTCCAGTGGTTTGAAGTCAGGTTTTCATTGCCCTTTACATTTATATAGAATCATAGAACAGCAGAACTGGAAGGTAGCCCAAGGGTCATCTAGCCTGACGCCCCGCAATGCAGGAATCTCAACTATAGCATCCCTGACAGCCTCCGCCAAGCTGAAGGCAGCCCTGTATCAGGAAGTTTCCAGTGTTTCATGTTTCATTGTGTTTTCATGTGCGTTGGAAGCCACCCAGTGTGGCTGGGGCAACCCAGCCAGATAGGCGGAGTATAAATAATAAAATTATTTATTTTTTGCTTAAAGACCTCCAGTGAAGGAGTCTACATGCTCCTCTACCCCATAACAGTAGGGGGAAGCAGAATTATGAAAAATGGTTTAACTTGCATAATTTAGACAGGTCAGTTGTCTTTTTAGTATGGAAAATGAGCAACTCTGTTTTATGGTCCATGAAGGAAGAAATTAAGTATCTGGCACCTTCTGGAAGAATATACTTACATGTTTACAGGGAATGTGCTGCACAAAGCAGGTTATATAAAGCTTGTGGCTAAGGACCGCCCCCCCCCCCAGTGACAGGACCATGCATATGTGTTTTGTTGCATGTGCTATGGAACTGCTTTTTGCTAAAACAGGGTGCAGAATCTCAGGCTCAAGGGCCAAATGTAACCCTCAAAGCGCCTCTGTCTGCCACTGAAACTCAACAGGTACTGGATAGAGAAGAGCGTGTGTTTGTAGATACAGTGGTACCTCTGGATACGAACAGGATCCGTTCCTGAGCCCCATTCGCATCCTGAGGTAAATGTAAGACGCGACTGCGCATACGCGGGTTGCCGCTTCCGTGCATGTGCGTGAAGTCATTGAGCATCTGCGCATGTGCGAGCAACAAAACCTGGAAGTAACACGCTCCGTTATTTCCGGGTCGCCGCGGAGCGCAACCTGAAAATATTCATCCCAAAGCTACTTCAACCTGAGGTATGACTACTAGCCTAGTATACAAAGCTAAATTTTACATTTGCTGCTCTGGTCCCACCCACCAGTTCCATGAGGCTCCCATAGTTTGGCTAGATGGGAATGTGGCCCTCGCGGTGAAAAAGGATCTCCGTCCCTTGAACTACTGCTTCCTAGCATCCACACATGTGCTACTGCCACACAATATACACACTTGGACCCAATAGGCTTCAGTCCATTTCCTACCCAAGCAGTCTGTGGCCTCCAAGTAGTTAACATGACACAACCCTCAACAGTATTAGAGGGAGCTGCTATTCTCCCTCCTCTGCAGCAGATTGCAGGATCTGGTTACAGGCAACATGGAGTGAGTACCATCCTGAAAAAAGGCATTTCCCAAGCTTCCATCTGCATTCTTCCCTCCCCATCGCACACACTTTTACTTTTGCCCTCCATATCCACTGAGCCCCATAGCAGCTGGGAGCATTCAAAAGGGCAGGCGTCAGGGCCAGTCTCAAAGCTGGAGAGGAGCATTCAACACTGTCTGGAGAGGAGCATTCAACACTGTCGAGCTGAATAAGCTGTAAACTGCAGAACAAGCATTATCAAAGAGGACAGGAGGGCCAAAGGGAATCTAAGACCCTGAGGCCACCGAGATTCACCCACATTAGGCCACATACCCCCTCCCTCCCCGGAGCAGAGTCCCAGTCAAGGCTAGAGCAGCTGGGATGGGAGCCCCTTCCCATTAGCTCTCATGCGCTTAAGCTTTGTTATTGGAGTGCCAGAGCAGATGCATCCCTCTGGCAGGGTTAAATACGCCATGCTTTCCCTGCCACTTTTTTCCCCTGGGTGGTGTTGGGGGGGGGGGAGGAACAGGGAGAAGGCAAGCCATCACATCCCAGCCACCTCCCCACCCGGCTCTGCACCGCCCACCCAGCCACAGAGCAGACCGCTCCAGCATTTTTTAGCCTTATATGGAGTGGCCGGCAGGCAGCAGCTCCTCTGTCCCAACAGGATTCTCCTTCCAGGGGGAGGGAAAAGAACGCCCCCTCCACATGTTTGGCCTGGTCCCTCCCTCTCTGCCCGCCTTCCCTACATCCTGCCTCTCTGTGAAGAGGAGCAAAAGGCCCGCCCAGCCCATCCTTCTCCTCACCCCAACCCAAGGAGGAGGAGGAGGAACAGACAGGCACACCCAGGCACAGGGTTACCCATCTCTAGCCTACAGGCATGGTTATGGTGTGCGCACGCCCTTCCACTTCTCAGCAACTGCTTCCAGACCTTGTCTGAGTCAGAGTCTGTGGCCCAGGGACTGACTCACTGCATTGACGGGCAACACAGGATTCTCATCTCCCACTGTCCTCAGGATCTTCTGCAGGCTCCAGGGGGAGTCAAACAGAGCAGGGGGTAGAACCCTCTGTCCAGCTCTTGCTGGACCACAACTCCCACCCTTCTTGACCACACTGGGTAGAGCAGATGCAAGTTGGAGTCCAACAACATGGGCCCGTTTAGAGCCTCACTTACAGGGAGATGGAATGAAAGCCAGTATCCCTTCGGTGGGCCTTATCTTCCCATACAGTACGGCTTTACAAGTGTTACACACAACCACTACATTGCTGAATATCTAGCAAGTTTACCACAGCGGTCAATCTAATCCAGATTTTCCTATCATTACCAGCTCCCAACAATGTAGAGCACATCCAGACAGATACACCAAGAGGGTTTCATCAACAGAGGGGTCCCTGCAGCAACGTAACAGTCCTCTAAGTGCACATGGGCAGCTGCCAGAAATAGGCAATAGGGAACTTTTTAAAATAATAAAAAACCCTGCAACTTCAGGATAATAGGTGGGTTCATACCTCTGGTTAGCCACCAGCACAACCACTTAAGACTTTAAGGTACTCAAAGTAACTAGGCCTTTGAAAGCTGTCTCTGTATTACAAGGTGTGTTACCCCAACTTTACCCCAAGATATGGAGTTCCTGGTCAAGTGGACAAGGAACCATACCAGGTCCAACATAAGGTAACACAGGTCTACACCTTTTGTGTAGGATCCACCTAATCATAGCCCACCAGTACTAAGGCCTGCCAGGCATTCAACACGCTGCCACATTTTTGCAACCCTGGGCCAAACATAGCTAAAACAGGAGGTTTATGAAGACCCTGCTGGTTGTATTTAGCTTGCAGCGTCACAGGCCCAATTTTAGTGAATACAAGGAGCTACATGTGTTGGGATGTCAACACATCCCAGCTGACACCAGGTCTTTACAAACTGATAAGTGTGGGAAAGAGCAGGAATGAGACCGGGGCATCAGTACAGAAAATACATTCTGCTTATATTGGCAACATGGATTGACACCAGCCATTCCAAGAGCCAAGGGATAGCAGTAGGAGACGACTGTGGTTTTTTTTTAAATTATAACAGTATTTAGTCATGTCACTCTTTTCCACCCAAGTTTGGTCTAGTTGACTTCCTCAACAAAGGGCTATGGGCAAACCCCAACCCCAGAACAGGCAATGGATGCTCATGACCCTGAATCAACAGTGGGGATGTCTGGGCCCAGTGAATTGTCTGGGAATAGCAGATGTTTCAGCAGTGCTGAGGCTGAGCAGGCATGATAAATCTGAATGAGAGGCTACTGGAAGCTCCCTGCAAAAGCAAGGTATGCATAAGCCATTGGTTTTTCTGAAGAGCTAATGAGACATCCAGGATTCCCACATTAATGAGTCAGACCTAAACTAGAATCGGTTACTTCCTCTACCAGGCAATGCAAGAGCCAGGCTGCTCAAGGCCAATGTTACATTGTTCAGAGACACACCCATCCACAGCTTTTACTGCATGGAGTTTTTACCAGCGGAGCCACCACCAGTCAGTCCAAACCTAGATGGCTGGTAAGCTATCCAAAAGGCTCCCTTTGCTGGGACCATAAATGCCAAGCATCCAAGCCAATTCAAGCTGCCCAAGCATGGAAGCAGCTGAGAGTCACCACCCATTTCCAAGAAAAGGCTGCTCCTATTATAAGGCAAAGGGCAATTAACAGTCATTTGCTTTCTTGTATTTCTGCCAAAACAGGAGGCACTTGAACTTTTGCTTCAGGAGCTAGGGGTCCATGGCAAAGCAAGGGGAATACAAGGATCAGTGAACTGAATGCAATCTTTGCTCAGTACACATAATTCCAATGGGAGATACCATGGTCTGGTTTACATACAGTGTTAAACCATGGTTTAAATTAGTTAAGGTTTGGTGTTGCATACAAACCCAGCCCAGCACCTTAACTACAATTAGCTATGATTTTGTTAGCAAAAATAAGCCATGGTTTGTTGCTGGCTGTTGGTTTACTCACCTTAACTATGGATTAGCATTCCATACAAACCCAGTCAGTTCATTAGTTATAGTTTATGTATGAGCAGCTGCAGATCTATGGAGAGATAAGGAGGCTCTCCCACAAACTGGGTACTTAAAAGTCTAGCCTAGCTAAGGGCCCCGTCTGAAGCCGTAACTTCTTTCTGTGTTACTGTTCATCCCCAGCATGTGCCACTGTAGAAATATCCCAGACTACTATCAGACCCTCCAAGTGTCCCCATTTCGCCCCAGTTTCTGATTTGACCCCAGAATGTCCCACTTCTCCTTAGGATGTCCCTATTTCTGTAGGAGAAATGTTGGATGGTATGTACTAGGGCATTACTGTGGCTGGAAGAGCTCAAGAGTCCATCAACTTCCTGACACCTTTCCTTAAGGCAGAATCTTTGCCCAGACTCTGCACTGACCCAAGATTTACCCCAAAATCAGAGCAGAAGGACAAAGGCTTCTCCTTGCCTAAGGTGTCGGTTGTGGGTTCAAAGGGCTGCGGCTAGTGATCTACGAGAGCGCAGATAATGGCTCAACCACATCCCACTTCCACTTCTTGGGCAACTTTCCCCCCTCAATGTAAAACTTGATGCGGCGGGTGGGGAGGAAAGGAGAAGACAAACAATTGTTTGAGCTTGGAAAATGTGCGTGCGGCGCGTCAGGAGCTCGCTCGACCGGCGATTCAAAAGGCATCTACAAGAAATGGCTCAGCGGAAGGCAAGCGCCAGGCCGCCCTCCTCCCATTCCTAAATAGTTAACGGGCCTTTCCGAAGCGGAGCGCGCCGGGGTGGGCTGGGCCAGAGATGGAGGGAGCGCGCGGAGGGCGGGGGTGCAGCAACGCGAACCGAGGCCGGGCTGAAGGAAAGGGGGCTTCCCCCCTTTTTTGCAGACTCCAGACAAAAAGCCTGAAACCGGAGCCGCCTCCTGCAACCCTCCCCGCCACGCCCAGATGCAGCGTCCTCCCGCCCGCCCCACCCCTCCAGCCAGGCCTCTTCGCTTTCCGCCCCCCTGCGACTCTCCCCAAAAGGCACCCCAGGACTACAGAAATGGGACCCCCAACTCCGAGGTGGCCCCGATCCGCTACCAGCGGTCCTTCTCCCCCCCCCCCGCCACACATCCCGCGAAGCTACGCACGCCCCCTTCGCGGGAGGGGCCAAGCGCGCCCCTCTCCTCTTCACCTGGGCCTCGCCATGTAGAGGAGAGCGGGGTGCCTTTCCAGCCCCCCCCCCGCCGTAAGAGACAGACTTGGGTGTCCCGCATCCAAAGACCCCGCACTCCCCCACTTTTAGGATGCTCCCTTCAGGTCCCCCTTTCGCCCTCTCCGCCCCCCCGGCTCCCCCTCCCCTCTTTCGCTGGGACTTACCGATGGAGACCAGCTTGATGTTCTCTCTTTCCAGAAACTCCAGCGCCACCGAAACGTTCTCCAGCTGCATCTGCCGGAAAGTGGGGCGCGTGTTGTACTTGCGCCCCATCTTCTTCTGGCTCAGCACCTCGAGCAGCGCGATGAGGCGCAGCCCGTCCCCCAAGTCCGTCTGCAAGTTGGCGATGCGCTTGTTGACGCATTTCAGGTGCTCGTTGCACCAGCGCGTGAAGGTGTTCTGCTGGATCTTCTTCCAGGGCGCGTCCTCCGCCAGGTCCTTCTCGGTGGCCGGCATCTCGGCAGCGACCTCCCCCTGGATGCTGCTGCTGTTGCTGCCGCTGCCCGCTCCTCCGCCGCCACCAACGCCTCCCGCTCCTGCGGCCTGATGGAGTCGCGCTTGTGAGCCGCTCATTATAACGGCTGGGCTCGGGGTGGGTGGGACCCCGGCGCTGGGTAGGTTGGGCCCGGGATTAAAGGCGCAGGATCCTGCAAGAACGACAGAGGAGAGGGAGGCGGTGAAGTTGGGCGCGGCCAAGGGCGCACGGCGATGCGCACAGAAGAGCCAGACACACGCCCACCTCGGGGCAGCAGAGACTGGGCTCCAAGGAGGGCAAGGCGGCAGGAGCCCCACTGAAGCGGCGCGCGCCTCCAGGGGCTGGTAGTAGGACGGGCGGGGCAGGAAGGAATCCCCAGACCCGAGGCTTCTGCAATCCTGTGCACGCTCACTTGGCACGCAATCCCAATTGGGAGTGCGGGGGTGGAGAGGGATCTACTCTTGAGTAAGTTTCTATATAGGCAACAGCTGCAAAAGTGCCTAGCCTTCTTAAAGGTGGGTCAGCGAGCTTAGAGAGGCGTCCTGTAAAAGGAGTGAAGCGGCAGATCTGCGAAAAGGGCAAGCTATTCATTGGCCACGGCAGCCCAAGGAAGCCTCCATGTGCAGAAGCAGTATACCTGGGAGGAGGGGGGGCGTGGTTGGCCGGTTGCCCGGGCGAGGGCTTCCCGGAGGCTACTTTGCGAAGCAGGGTGGACGAGGCTCTAAACCTCTCGGGTCCCTCTTCTGGAGCCCATGGGCCTGGAATTGCAGGGTGCCACGGCCTTTCATTTTCGCGGGGCCCTTTGGCGAGGGGAAGGGATCACAAGGAAGAAGGGGGGCGTTGCTTGGGAATTGCAGCCGCAGCCAGACCCGCTCGCTCACCCCACACCTTCGAAAGAAGGCGGGAGAGCAGCTGGGGAAAGAGGGGGGAGCGCCTTCCGTGGGGCCTCCTTCTCTCCCCCCCCCACCCCTTCCTTTCTAAAAGTGAGGATCTCGGGCACCAGGCGCTGCGGTGGCAAGGCAGGAGGAACGGAGCGAGAGGAAAGGTGCCCTCGCCCTGGAAGGCCCTGATCCCGGCTGTTCTCTCTGTCTCTCGCACACCCCCCGTCCCAGAGAAGGAAACGAGACTTGCCCCATGAGGGAGGCAGCTCTGAAGCGGGGGGATTCCGCGGTGAGCCCCCCTCCCCGCCCAAGCTGGAAGGCGCCGGAGAAATGCCCCCGGGCTAGTAAGCGCACGTCTCCCGAATTCCTGCGCAATGAGGCCCAGCCGGCGGGAGCTGCCCCTCGCCTGCCCCTCCTGCCGCCCCCGCCCCGGCCGGCCCTGCGCCTCTTTTGCCTCGACTGCGGCTCTGGCTGCCCTGGGTGTCGCCTCTTCCTGGGAGGGGTAAGATCCAGGGTCTCTCTCTGTGTCTCCCTCCCTCTCACCCTCGACACAGCGCGGCGACCGGGCCGGTCTCGGCTTGGCATCTGCTTGCAGCTGCTCGCCCGCCCGCCTGCCCGCCTGCCTTCCCTCCGCTGCGCGCGCTCTCCGACACCTACACGGCTGAGCTGCTGCTCTAGGATCGCTCCGTCAGTAGAGCGAGAGATTCTTAATCTCAGGGCTTCTACAAGAAGCAACCTTCAAAATTAAAAAAAAAATCAAAGATAAATTATTACCTTACCGTATAAATTATTAAAATACGTGGATATTTATGCAGAAAAGACTGCACAAACTTTATTTTAGTTCAATAAAGAAATAAAATTTTTGTTTAGAAAAAAAATCTCAGGGTTTGCTGGGGTCAGACTAGTTGACCTTCGTGCTCCCTTCCTATTTTATTCCTACAAGCCAGCTTGGACCCGCCATACAGAGGGAAGTGGCTTGGGGAGAGGCGTTCTGGAGCAGGTTTTATTCATGGCCAAAGAGTCCCCTTCTCTGCTGAATGGTTTGTGTTGGGTCATCTGTGGTAGAGGCTAGAGTACCTCTGAACATGTGCAAAGTCTGCTCTCAGACTGATGTAGACACACACATTTGCACATCATACGCATTCTAGGGTTAAGGGCCCTTTAATTTTTCAGACAAAAGAGAAACCCTGGCAGCCTTGATTTGTAGAAAATTAACTAGACCCAACCAAAAATGGTCTCACGTGAAGCCACCAGTTGGACTATTGTGTGATTTGGCTCAGGTATTGTCTAATCTGGCTAGCTAAGGTCCCTTTGGCTAGAGCTGCCAGGGGCTGCACCTGGGCAAGGCATGTCCTGCTGAGCTGCCATCACCACCTGAAGTCATGCTTCTTGGTGTCGCCACATCACTGCCTCACTCTTCCCGCTCCACCAACAGTGCTAAGAAGAGCCAAGGTGGTCCATTCTCAGCCTTCTTACTTGTTGAAACTGGGCCAGGTGTGTGTGTGTGTGTTTTGCCATGGCCTTGTCAGTCTGTTCCAACTTGCTATGTCACTCCCATGTCACAAAGCTAAAGAGATGGGGAGAGACCTCAGGGAGGAGATGTGCAGCTACAACCAGGGCCGGCCCTACTATTATGCAGAGCGAGGCAGCTGGTGCTGGGAGACAGCAAGGCCAGTGCCAGACTTCCAGGAGGCCCTTGGCACAGTGCCATGGATGACGCTTCCTAACAAACACACAGCAGGTTCAAAAAACGAAAACAAACCACCTACTGCAGTGACAGCAATTCTGCAGCCTGTGCATTTTTGGGGAAATTCTGATTGTGAGCAACCACTGTGGAAGGGAGACAATGTTGACTCTCACTCAGCACCTCCACCCACTGCGAAGATGGCCACCCAGAATTCCCATGAGGTCGCAGAGTGGCAGCACAGCCAGGCCACACGGGTGAGCCCATGGCTTCCCAAAACAGGAGTCCTGGGAACTACACTTCCCATCACCCTTAACAAGCTACAGTTCCTGGAATAAAGTCACATGCATGTATCTTTGTGCACACTACAGTGTTTTTTGTTTTTGTTTTTACAAGAGGGTAATGCCTGGGGGTCTGCAGCTGCAGAACAGCACTTCTCTGCTTAATAAGACTTCCTCAGGTCCCGTGCTATTTTCCTATAAAAAGAGGTGCCAGAGGTCACCTTGTTCTCTTAGAACGGCAATGGCACCCACATGAGAGGTGCTGGAACTGAGTTCCAGCTGAAAAAAGCCCTGCTCAGGTCCAAGGTGGAGGGGTACCTTAACAGAGGGCTGAGTAACCTGCGGCCCTCCCAATGCTGTTGGACTCAAATTTCTATCACCCCCAGCCAGTAGGACAGTCAGAGGATGATGGGAGTTAAACATTGGAGAGCAGAGCATTGCTGTGCATGGAGGGAAACAGGCAGAGTCTTGCTTGTGTATTAACAGCAGTCTTTGGGATGGACAGCTGGAGGACTTCATAAGAGTCCCTCGTGCTGGAGGAGCAGTGCAACACCTACAAGTGGGAAGTGTTTGTGGTTCTGCCCCAGCTCCCATCTCTGCCCTACTCATTCCCCCACATTGCTGTGGTTCAGCAAGCTGCAGTGGCCTAACGGCTTTGTCAAAGCAGCCCCAGCCCCACCCAGACTTCCTGAGACGGGTTTTGAAATCTCTCATTTTGTACCAGCTCCTGTGCACCCCACCCTGGGACTTCCCCATCTTGCAGGGCTGGGGGAAGGTCGTGGGCAGATCAGACAAAGCACTGTGTGCAGTAAGGGGACCCCATTGCTAGGGAAGATTAGAGGAAGTGCTTAAACTCTATATATCTGGATGGGGGAGACATGAAAGCATCTGGCCCTGTAAACTGTGAAGAGATTCCTCTTCTAATTCCAGTTGCCTTGGAGGCTTACTGGAGTGACTCGGTGACGGGGTGGTAGTGGCAAAGGAACACAGCACATGTTTGTGCCACCAGTGGGGGCTGGTCAGTTAGGGCAAATGGGGCACAGCCTCCTTTGCACATCAGGTGTTGGCTCTGCCTGTCATGGACTCTGGCTCCTTGCCTTCCTCCCTACCCGTCCCCTTGGGCCAGCACCGCATGGCACTCAGTATCATTTCCATCCCACAGGAACATGGGTCCCATAGCTCAGTGGTGCAGCACATGCTCTGCACACCCAAGGCCCTGGGTTCAATCCCCGACCTTCAGAAAAGGCTGGGAGAAGCGCCCTGCCTGCAACCCAAGAGAGCTGCTGCCAGCCAGTGTAGGCAGTCCTGTGTTAGATGGACCCATGGCCTGACTTTGTATCAAGCAGGTTCAGACGCTCGTTGTAGAGCATTGGAACATCAACAGGCTCTGACAGGGAGAGGCCAGTTGGTTGAGCATGAGGGCAGGAGGAGCTGTCTGTGTCCATCGCCTTTCAGCCCATTTCCTGCCCTTGGAGTCATGCAGCCCGATCTGTTTCTTCACCAGGGCAGGCGGCCTGCTTCAAATCATCTGCACTCTCACTGCAGTGGCCTCGGACAAGCCTGTCTTTCTCAGCCTCAGCTTGCTCCCCCTACGTCTGCAATATGCAATATTGGCCTACCACGCAGGGTTGTTATGAAAGCGCATGAAGACAAAGTGTGGGATGCTCTGAATGACGGGAGCACTAGAAGTGTTCCTGTCCCCTCCATTTTTCTCCCCAGCTGAAGCAGGGGTGGGGATGGGGCTAGCTAGGGATGGGAAAGGATACGTGGGTGCCCCCTGCTGGCCTAGCCAGGAATTGCCATTCTGCACTTCTGTGTGTCTCTCTCTGAGAGCTTGGTCCCTTTTAAGAATCAGGACTGAGGGTTAAATTCCTCACACACAGCCTCTTTGCAGATAAAAATGCCCAGAAGTCAGCATTTAACGTTAAATTTGACAGGCCTCACGTCTGTCTGGAAGGCATTATTCATGTAAATAACAGCATCTACATAGCACATTTCAAGTGCTCAGAGCATATTACACAATGCATTTTCATTAAGTGAGTCTTATAACCAGTGTGGTGGTGTGGTTAGAGTGTGGGAGGCAAGAGTTCAAATCACCACTCAGCTATGAAGCTCACAGGGTGACCTAGGGCCTGTCACTCATTCTTAGCATTTTCTCCCTCACAGGGTTATTGCGAGAATAAAATGGCAAGGAGAACTATGTCCGCCACCTTGAGCCCCTGGAGGAAAGGTGGAATATCAATTTAATGTATAAATAGATAAAGTAATAATAAACAATATCTCTAGAAGGAAAGCCGGTATCACCTCCCCTATATTCCAAGTTGTGCATATGCAACACTAAGAGTTTATTAGCTTGCCTAGGCTATGAAGTCAGCTGCGAGGATTTATAAGCAAATTATACACTTTGTGTTTAAAACAGACATCAACATACTGTTAGTTGCTTACAGTAAAAGGCTAGCCATGCTTACTCAAAAGTAACCCCTACTGATTCAATGGGGCTTACTGTCCCAGGTAAGTGGCATTAGGATTGGAGCCTTAGTCAAATTACTGGTGACACATACCACAACATACATGTTCATGTTATGCTTGCTTCTTCTTTTTCAGCTAGGTATTTGCACATGCACACACACTTCCAGATTTGCAATCCTGGGGGCAGATGTGTGAAGAACCATATTTTGCAATTATTGATGTCACTAGGAACCATTCAATACCACCCTCTGATAGTCATACAAAACAGAAGTCTACTAAGAATGTTGCACTCCTGGTGAAGAGTGGTTTTCAGATTTTAGTAGGCACTTCTTCAAGCACTGTAACCCCTCTGGAAATCTAATTTGTCAGCTAGGGCAGGAGTGGAGGAAGAGGAAATAAATGTGTATCAGGCACAGCCAGTAAGGTTAAAGTGGCTTCCATGTGTCTGAAATGTATGGCTGCTGTTGATGCACACATATCATGGGAACAGATTTTCCCCCAATGCATGCGGATTGAAGTGGAGAAAAACCACAAGAGTTTAAATGAGCAAATGCACATGCAGCACTTTTAGCTATGAGCAGTATGCAATTATTTAAACAAATGTTGTCCTTGCAACATGAAAACAGTGATCAGAAAAAGATTGGGATCCCATACTGTGTGTTCATGGTTGGAAAGCCTAACCATTTAAACAAATGTGCACCACTCACAATGGAAACTGCCATGCATTGGTACTGGAGGGAATTAATTCTTTGCATGCTCACAATCATTTCTATCCATATTCTGGGTATGCAGACTGTGTGTGTGAATTTTATCTGTAAGTTGCTATAGTGGGTGGTTGTGTGCTGTGTATACATGTGCAAATACATATGCTAAAGTTCTCAGAGTGATTCTCAGTAATACATCCCAGTCATGGTGGTTCATGACTGGGCAGGTCAGGCTTGCTCAGTGCCTTTTCTGTTGGTGTCGGGTGGCTGGGAGACACAGTTCTATCAGGGCAATTTTGGCATCAGAGCCACTTAGAGGCTTGCAAGGCAGTTTCATTTACCAGCAAATTGTTGTTGTGGCAAATGGAGGGATGGGGCAAGTGCTGGTGCACATGTCTGGTCATTGCACTCTGAAGGATCTCTATCTTTGCCCCCCTTAATGCCACAATGCAGGCTTGCTCTTTTTAGCATCTGGGTAGAAAGTAACAGCGTACACTCAGGGATGCCACTGCGACAGAGGCTAAACCTGCTCCCTCCTACCCACACCCTCAATAAGTCACCTGAGGCAGGTGAGTTCCCTTCTCACCTATGTCCCATATTGCCACCTATTTACTTGGTCCCACTGAGGTCCCATAGAAGCCTTTGAGAATCAAGACTGTGCTTATCTACATAGCCCAGCTCCTTCTCCAGTACAAATCCCTCCTCCAAATCTACAGTTCATTTTTGGGGGGTCTTGGGACCTGGCTTTCATAAGGAAATAAAATCTTAAATTCCTGAAATCCTGTTTTATCCTGGAGTCCCAGAGCAAGTAAGAATATGTTAGTGAAGAACAGATCGGGAGGTAAGTAGATATGAACAGAAACATCCATTCACCAAACACTCTCAGAACTTGGTAGCAACAGGAAACATTTTGTCCAAGTTGGCCTTTAGTCACCATTGGCTTCTTACAGGCCAGTCAGTGGGCCACATGACAATGCTTCTAGCTCCCCATCCTACCAATCAACATGAGGCACAGTCCTCCAGAAAGCTTCCCTACATCAGCCCCCACTGAAGTGAACAGGGGTACCTGTGTGCAGTTTGCTGTGTGTCTTCCACACCCTCCCCAGCCCCATAATAGCACCCCAAATTCACCATTAAGTCTGCAGTCCCACCCACCTAAGCTCAGGCTTCTGCAGTCGTTGTGAGCACACTCAACACCTGGTGTGCCATCACAGATGTTCAAAAAGGGAAATTTGATTCTTTAACATGCTTACAGATGATGACCGGCAGTTTGTTTGCTGAGTGATGTATTTAGGAATCAACACAAACGAGGCTTTTCCCACTGGCAACTGGTGCCAAAGGGTTCACGTAACTGGACCCTGAAATATGCTCATGCTAGGGCTCTGGCCTACCTCCAAGGGAAGGCAGCTCCAGACTGTGGTTCAGCAGCCACCTATGGCCAGCCAGGGGGCATCTTGCTGCCCCGCGCAATCTGAGAGATGCACTCCAGCCACAGAGATAACGCTCAGGCTCAGCCATGGGCGTAGCCAGGATTTTGGGAGGGGAGGGGGAGCCAAAGCTGTTGAACATTTTTTAGGAGATTGCCCCCCCAGTTGTTGAGCTTTCTTTGGAAAATCATGCGTAAATATACCCCCAAAGAGAAAGCATTACAGGGGGCAATCTCCTAAAAATTGCTAGCATTGCTAGGTGGGGCAGAAACTCAGTTAACACAGTACTCGGCTCTGGATCCATTCCAGTCCGGCTTCCGCGCTGGTCATGGGACCGAGACGGCTCTGGTTGCCCTAACAGATGATCTTCGTAGACAGCTGGATCGAGGTGGGTCGGGGCTGCTGATTCTTCTAGATCTGTCAGCAGCCTTCGACATGGTCGATCACGAACTTCTGGACCACCGCCTTGCCGACGTGGGGATCCAGGGCACAGTCCTTCAATGGCTGCACTCGTTTCTCTCTGGTCAGGGACAGAGGGTGGCGCTTGGGGGGGAATTGTCATCGTGCCACTCCTTGGTGTGTGGAGTACCTCAGGGTGCGATACACTCCCCGATGCTTTTCAACATCTTTATGCGCCCCCTCGCCCAGCTTGTCCGGAGTTTTGGGCTGGGTTGCCATCAGTATGCCGATGACACCCAACTCTATCTGTTGATGGATGGCCATCCTGACTCGGCCCCAGACACACTGACCAGATGTTTGGAAGCTGTGGCTGGATGGTTACGCGGGAGCCGGTTGAAGCTAAATCCTTCGAAGACAGAGGTCCTGTGGCTGGGACGGGACGATATGGGATTGGGGGGGGCAACTCCCATCTCTTGCGGGGCGCAATTAGCGCCAGCACCGTCCGTTAAGAGTTTGGGTGTAATCTTCGACACCTCCCTTTCCATGGAGGCGCAGATTGCAGCTACAACAAAGGCGGCATTTTTCCATCTCCGCCAAGCTAAGCAGTTGGCTCCTTACCTCTCTCGCCCTGACCTAGCCACTGTGATCCACGCGACGGTCACCTCCAGACTGGATTATTGTAACTCGCTCTACGTGGGGCTGCCCTTGAGACTGACCCAGAAACTCCAGCGGGTGCAGAATGCTGCAGCGAGACTCCTTACGGGGTCTTCGCTGCAAGATCACATTCACCCGGTGCTATACCAGCTGCACTGGCTCCCGGTGGAGTACAGGATCAGGTTTAAGGTGCTGGTTTTAACCTTTAAAGCCCTATACGGCCTAGGACCCTCGTACCTACGGGACCGCCTCTCCTGGTATGCCCCACAGAGAAACTTACGGTCTTCAAATAAAAACATCTTGAAGGTCCCAGGCCATAGAGAAGTTAGGCTGGCCTCAACTAGAGCCAGGGCTTTTCGGCCGTGGCTCCGATCTGGTGGAACACTCTGTCACAAGAGACCAGGGCCCTGCGGGACTTGACATCTTTCCGCAGGGCCTGCAAGACAGAGCTGTTCCACCAGGCCTTTGGCCAGGGCACAGCCTGACTCCCTCCCTCAGCAATCTTCGCGGAGCTCTGGCCCAATGGTTGCCAGTGGCTTGAATTAATTAATTTTATAATGAATGATTTTAGAGTGTTGTTTGTGCTGTACTTTTGTACTGTTTTATTGTTGTTAGCCGCCCTGAGCCCGGCTTCGGCTGGGGAGGGCGGGATATAAATAAAATTTATTATTATTATTATTATTATTATTATTATTATTATTTTCAATGCTTCTCAATAATTTTGTGGATCTGGGGGGGGGGACTGCCCCTTGTCCCCCCTTGGCTATGCCAATGGGCTCACCCCTTGACGGTATCTGCACAGGTTTCATGGGTTGAGCTCTAGCACCCGCCACAACATTGCAAGGGGTGTGTGTGTGTGTCTTTGTGCCCTCTTGGATCACGCACACCGCCTCTTTGGAACCCTTAAAAGTAGTGCAAGAGATTGGGTTGCTTGTGAAACTGAGATGACCATAGGACATCCAGATTTGGTACAGGATGCTAATTCTTAATGCATTGTTCTTGGCCAATCATGGAAGAGACTTGGCTACATTGTTTCAAGAGCTCATTGAGCTTCCAAGGCACTCATGTAAATACAAGCTGGGCAAACACACACACACACACACACACACACACACACACACACACACCAGCAAGAAGAGGAACCAAAGACACTTCTGTAAAGTATATTATGGGTCCTACCCCACCCAAGCAGCCACTACTCATCAGTCCTGATTTATAAAGCTTCCTTGGTGAGCACTCATTTTGAGAAATCATTTTCCTTGTGGTGCAGAAAATAAACTTTAAGCAATGCCTTTCATCTCCCTTCCACCTTATGGCAATCCACTGAGCAGGTAAGTCCCTCTATGGCATGGGTAGGCAAGCTAAGGCCCGTTGGCCGGATCCGGCCCAATCGCCTTCTCAATCTGGCCTGCGGACAGTCCGGGAATCAGTGTATTTTTACATGAGTAGAATGTGTGCTTTTATTTAAAATGCATCTCTGGGTTATTTGTGGGGCACAGGAATTTGTTCATATTCCCCCCCTTCAAAATATAGTCTGGCCCCCCACAAGGTCTGAGGGACAGTGGACTGGCCTCCTGCTGAAAAGGTTTGCTGACCCCTGCTCTATGGAAAAGGCTTGGCAGGGTGGGGTGGGGGTGCTTAGTAAAAGAGATGCATGCAGTTCCGAGGTTCTATCAATAGGTGGCCCTCTTGACTCCCTTCCCAGCTCCCCCCTCCCCTCCCTCCTCTTCCCCCCACTGCTCCTCCTCCTCCAAGCAACACAGAAGAACTCCCAGCCTAGGGACCTGGCTTCATATTTTCCCCTTATTTGGAGAGTTTCATTTCTTTGGGTTTTTAAAATAACCAGCCAGACCCTCCCCAGGGCCCTGGGGGAAAGGGATATTGCAGTGGGCTGCGAATCAGGGCAGAAGGGTGTCAGTCAGCTGAGGAAGGAGCACTGGGGGTGGGGGGTGCGGGTGTGTAGCAGAGCAAGGGGAAGCCCAAGCTGTAAGAAATTAAGACTGAAGCAAAGGTGGTGGGCCGAGTTCTTGGAGCTGGTGTTTGAAGAAACAACAACTCCTTTTACACTGCATGACCTAATCTGGAATAAGAGTCATCCCACCCCCACCCCACCCCTATTCTGCTCTCCTCACCAGGCTTAGGAATCCCCACTTTCCTCATGAACACGCTTTGAAAGGGCGAGAAAGCGACGGTCTGTCCCTGTCACCCCCCCACCCCAAATATTTAACAACCCCAATTGTGTGTGAAGCAGTGTAGTTGAGGGGAGTTCTGGGCTAAATGAAGGATGCAGCAGTGGGAATATTTATTGTCTTCCTATCCCATCTTTCCTCCGATAAGCTTAAGGTGGTGTCCCTGGCTCTTCCCCTCCCTGTTTTATCACCACCACAACCCTACAAGGCTGAGAGGCAGGGACTGGCTCAAAGTCACCCGATGAGCTTCAGGGCTGATTGGGAGTGTGCATGTTTTGAGTCCTGGTCTTCTAGGTCTGACACTCTAACCACTACACTGCATGGCAATAAAAGGTTGGGGATGTCCCACCTGTTTGCTCGTTTTTCCTGACACAGGTGAGACCAAAAGCCCATTCACACAACGCTGATGGCCATGACGGCCATGCTTCTTTTAGTGCCTCCAGCACAGACTTTCTCCCACACGGCTGCAAGCTCTGGGCTGCCTGTGTAAAAGCTGGCCATTTCCCACCTGTCACCCAGCCACCATGGGCTCGGCCAGCTTTCTGAGCAGTTGTGATGGCATGCCAAAAGTGGGCGCAGGCTCAGCTTAGCACACAGCAAGAGCCGCCTTCCACTCAGCCAGTTCAGCCTAGAGCAGCATGGCAGGAAAAGTGGGCCCGTCATGAGGTAATCTGAGGCAGCTGCCTTAGGTGGTTTGTGGAGGGGGACAGTCCATTAAACAGCAGCTACATGTCAGCGGCTGTTCTTCTGCTTGCATTTCCTGGTGAGTTCTGTTTGGCTTTCCTGCCCTCAGGCACCAAAATGCCTCAGGCTCTCTCTGCCAGAGGGGCAGCCCCCAGAGTGAGGCCAAGTGAGGCAGTAGGTTTGGGATGCCGTGAAGGACAGCAAAGCAAACCACACTCCTGGTCTGCTCCTGTTCATTTGGTGAGGCTCAAGCAATATAACCTCCGGGAGGATGTTTGTGGCCGTTCCCAGAGGCATCTGGTTGGCCTCTTCAGAAACAGGATTTGGGCCTAGAAGGGCCGTTGGCTTGATCCAGCAGCCAGGGTCTTCTTAGGCCCTTATGGATTGTGCCCTGTGTTAATAGTGGGAGTCAGGGTAGGGTGTGTGGACTTTCTGCCTCAGGCATGCAAAAAAGTAAGGGGTAGCCCTCCATGTTCTAGTACTTCTCCAAGAGATTTTGGCAGCCCCCAACTTCCATATTAGTACCTTTTTGTTTGCACTTTCCTTAGGGTGGCCTACACGGCTTCCCCTTTCTTTTTACCCTCACAACAACCCTGTGTGGTAGGATAAGCTAAGAGGCAGTGGGTCATCTAGTAAGCTGAGTGAGACATTGAACGTGGGGCTCCTTGGCCCTCGCTTGACATACTAACCAAGACACAGTGGCTCTTCCTCTCTGCCCCTCTCTCTTCTCCATACACACAGATGGAGCTATGGGACAGGAAGGCTTCTAAGCTGTGGCAATGCACCTTGAGGACATCACCAGGGATTCTGTGCAAGTGGGACTGTAGTTGCCAAAAGACATGCAGGGTCTTCCTTTTTCTTATTTTTTTAATGTATTCAGCGATGCTTTAACATGTCACAAAGCAAACAGGCATTGAGGACATATCTTTTCATCCTTCCTCATTCCCAGGACATTCCTAGGGCAGCATAATTCAGAACACATTACACGTCCTAGAAGGGATCTTAAAGGTAAAGGGACCCCTGACCGTTAGGTCCAGTCACAGACGACTCTGGGGTTGTGACACTCATCTCGCTCTATAGGGTGAGGGAGCCAGTGTTTGTCCACAGACAGCTTCCTGGTCATGTGGCCAGCATGACTAAGCTTCTGGCAAATCAGAGCAGTGCACAGAAATGCTGTTTACCTTCCCGCTGGAGTGGTACCTATTTATCTACTTGTACTTTGACGTGCTTTCGAACTGCTAGGTTGGCAGGAGCAGGGACCGGGCAACGGGAGCTCACCCTGTTGCGGGCATTCAAATCGCCAACCTTCTGATTGGCAAGCCCTAGGCTCTGTGGTTTAACCCACAGCATCACCTGCATCCCTAAAAGGGATCTTAGGGACATCCTTATAGCATTTGGGATTGGCATAGGAAGGATGGGCCACTTGGTCTAGAACAGAGTCCTAGGTTTTTACATTCTCATCCCTTGTGCCCATACCCACCCCCCACCCTGCCTATATTATTCCACCAGCCCAACCTCACCCCTTCTTTCTGATGCAATATACTTTTGGAATACTCATTCTTTCCAGGGTAATCTGCAATAACAATACTTGTACTATATTCACAATTCTAAAGCACATCGGAACCCCTTGACTGGCTCACAAAAGCTTTTATGCCAGCCTTCACTCACCTGGTGTCCTCCAGTTGCTTTGGACTGCAATTTCCATCAGCCCTGCTACCTGGAGCCGAAGGGAGTTGTAGTTCAAGACATCTGGAGGGCCCCAGGTGTCCAATGGCTGTTTTATGGATTAATTGTCTGAGATTATATCACCCCCTCCAGGTTGCATAGCCATGATTTGTAATGTGGCTTCTACCCTTAATTGTGCATTTTAAGAAGGAGGAAAGTCCTCTCTTTAATTGTGAACATATAGGAATAGTTAATGACTTTTCAGGGACTTCTAATAATGCAATCCTATACTTGTCTAATCATCAGACAAGTTTAATGGGGCTTATTTCCATGTAAATTAATATAGGATTGCAGACTGCTTGACTGCAATCCTAATCCCATTTACCTGGGAGTAAATCCCAATGAATAGAGAAGGTTTTAATTCCAAGTAGACATGGTTACTGTAAGGCTGTTATCCTATGGTATGCCCCGGAGTAATCCTAATAGAATAAATTGGGATTTATTTCTGCATAAACGGCATAAGGTCATGCTGGTTTTTGCCTTACATTATCTTGAGCATGCACATGTGAGTATGCACTGAGAGCTAGGGGTGGGGGCTGTACTCTTTAATTACCACAATTGTATTGACACATGGGTGGTGAACAAGGATTAAGTGAGGCTGCATTCATACGATAGGCACAAAATCACACCCTTAGACTTTTTGTTAATTCATCCAGAATAAATATCACCTTCTCCCAATTAAATGCTTACAGTCACTAATGGCCATTAGAATTTCCACTTGACTCCTGAAATAATATATTTAATTATAATAACATTTAAACTATGTATGGAGGTTATTGTTTTTGTTTGTTACCATGTTATGTATTTTTGTGCTTTGATACTGCAAACCACCCTGTGATACTTGGATGGAGGGTGGTGTAGAAATTCAATAAGTTAAATAAAATATGCATTAAAATTGTTGGTGGGAAAAACAATTTTCACGTTTGCCAGTGTGGTGGAGCGTGTTAGCCTTCGAGCTCAACAATTTGGGTTCCAATCCCCACTGAGCCAGAGAGCTCACGGGGTAGCTATGAGCTTCTGCATTTCAGATTAGTCTGCTTTGCAGGGTTGGTACGAGGACAGGATGGGATAACACCATGTGCACCACCATGAACATGCTAGGTAAAGGATAAATAATACAATACTGTACAATGTATTACATTACATTACAATTCCAAACAATGTAATGCAACGTAATACAGCTTCCAGGATTGTGAAGATGACAAGATGTTTAAAATGATGCTCAGGGGTAGCTAATTTGCTCTAATGTGTATTCTTCTCCCTTGTTCTCACCGGCCACACCCAGTTGTGGCTCACACTCAGTGGTGTCAGAAACCAACCTGGGGCACAATCACGAGCCCATAATTGCACATTCCCCATCACACAGGAAAAAAGTGACCAGAAACTTCTGCATTTTGCAGCACCATCAGCCACGAAGGCACACACCCAGAAATTGCTTAGACCAGATGGCACACTTTTGTATTCCGAATCAGATGTGGTTAAAGAGGTGCTAAGAGGTGGCGCTTCTTCTCCCTGAGAAGCAGCCTCACTGTGAAACGATGACTGCAGCCCCCTAAGGTGGATTTGGGGGGTGGTCCCCTTAAGGACAGCAGAGTGAGAGCCAGCAAAGTTCCCACCCGCGGAGGACAAAATCCGCGGGGAAATTCTCCTGCCACCGCCTCACTAAAATAGGCAGGGGAGCCACCGTTTCGACAGTTTGCAGGGCTTCCGAGAAGACTGTGCCCATGGCGTAGTCAGGATTTATTTTAGGAGGGGCAGGATTCATGTTAGGGGCGCAGAACCGAGTAATATGCAATGCCATGACTGTGCCCCATGTTATTTAGGGGGGCACTTTAAGGGTGGCGCACGGAACCTGCGCGGGTCTATTTCGAATTCCTGCTTACTAAGAGACTTCCCGACCTTCCCCGATGCTAGTTATCTTCTGATCTACTAATCAAAGGCAAAAGGATTTTGGTGGCTCCGGCTTTTCTGCAAGAACCACAGGCTCACAAGCTCCAGACTCGTCCTCCCAGCCCGCCTACCGAAACCTACACAGATGCAACCCAGGCTGGCAGCAAGTTGAACTGAAAAGGCTGTTGGGTTTAACCAGGGCGTGCAGGTAAAGTCACCTGAATAAAGCGACTGCGTCCATCGCCCGGCCGAGCTGGGAGGGGAGGTGCGGCGGAATGGGCGGGTTACCGCGCTTCTGCGCTGAGCAGGAGTTCACGCGGGTGGCCACTTATCACGTGTCTCTTGTACCTGATGCGCGATGCACAGATCTCTTGCCCCTGGCCGGATGATGCCCAGGAACCAGCGGAGCAAATGGTTCTACTGGAAGGGGAGTGGGGAGGTTCCGTGCCGCTGGTCCCCCCAGGACCTTGCCCTCCACATCTCCCTCTCGGTCACGCGAAGAGGCCCCCTGTTGCCCACCCAGGGGGCGATGGAGGGTGGGACCCGGGCCCAGGAGGGGGCGCTGCGAGGGGAGGAAGACCCGAGACCCCGCTCGCCTTCCGCTCTTCTGCTCAGCAGCGGACCCCTTTCTTCTCCGGACGCTCCCGCTCCCCTGCTCCCTCTTCCGCGCAGCTCCCGCATCCCGACGTGCCGTGCACGCGGGTCCCTCCGCCGCGTGTCCTCCTGGCTCCCCGCCTCGGCTCTTCTCAGCTTAGGCATCCCGCCGACGTCTCCTTCCTCGCTGCGCTTCCCGGCCTCCCTCCTGCATCCCCAGCCTGACTTCCCTCCCTTTCCCCGCCCGGTCCACCTTCCGTCTTCCTCCTTCCCGGCGCCTTCTTCGTTCCCCCGCCCGCCCAGCCCCGGCGGCGCCCGCTCCCTCTGGCCCATCTCACCTCTCCGGACCGGCGGGCGGGCGGGCGGGCAGGGCTCGGGCTGGTGCTCCTGCCTGCCTGGGACGGGACGGGGCGGTGCGTGCGTCTCGGGCCGGAGCTGGGCTCGGAATGGCCGGGCGGCGGGCGGCGGCGGGGAGGACACCGGGCGGGCGGGCGGGCGGGCGGGCGGCTCAGCAAGCCTTAATTGGTAAAGAGCGGAGTCGACGGGAGGAAGGAGGGACGGGGGGAGGCCGGTGGCAGCAGATGGGGGGAGCAGCAGGAGGAGGAGGGACCCAGGCGCCGCCCCCGGGGGGAGCGCAGAGCGACGTCCACCCGGGGTACAAGGGTGGCCCCTCTAGAGGGCGCCCCACGGGGAGCGCGCCGGTCGTTGGCCTTTTGCCCCCCAGGGAGCGCCACTGCAAGCGGGGCGTGGGAAGCTCAGCCACGGAAGGGGCATCCCCCAGCTTCCACTAGGGGGCATCAGCCACCATGGGGGGAAGGGGACTGGCGAGCGGAGGGCTCAAGCAAGGCAAAGCGGCTATGTCAAGTTTGCAGGGCTTTGGCCACTCCCCAGGTGCACAATTCACAGGGCTGCCCTCCTGCACAAGCCTCCTGGACCCCGTGGACACAGGAATCCCCAAGCCCCAAAATGACCCCCCACCTCTAGGCCACCTTCCTCGCCCCAAATGCCAGGCAGACCACCACAAGCCCCCTTAACCCCCATGGCCATGCCCACGTTGACCCAGGGATCTTTCCGCTTAGTCATGGTGCCACTCTGTGCCCCATCACTATGGGCTGGGCATGAATCATGGGCACAGAAGGGGAAGGAAGAGGGTCAGCTCGTGAGGGACGTGGGGCACGGGGGTAGGGAACGGAGACAGAGGGGGCAGGAAGTGGCAGGAAGTGAGGCATGGCAGGCCTGGGTGTTGAGGGTGATAAGCTGCTGCTGGGAATGGCCGCAGTCAGGACGGCTGCATGGCTGGCATGGCTGATAAAAGACTTGAGCGAGAGAATGACAAGGCATGGCCAAACCTGGCCCTCCAGACGTTTTGGGACTACAGCTCCCATCATCCCTAGCTAACAGGACCAGTGGGCAGGGATGATGGCAATTGTAGTCCCAAAACATCTGGACGGCCAAGTTTGGCCATGCCTAGGTTATAAGAATACATAATTACTTATTTGTAATAGATGACATACAAAGAACCCAGAGCTACGTCTAAAAATTGGCAAACCTATCAACTTAAAAAATGGTACATGATTTGTTACCCACCTGAGTGAGTGAGTGGATGTATGTCTACAGCTGAGCAAGCCTGTATGCGTTGGAGTTCCTATGTGATGCGTTTGCCTGCTCCATGGCATGTCTGCGTAGGTGTTTATGCAGGCACTTGTGTGCTGCAGCTTGCGTGTGTGCACATGTGTGCCAGCAGCACAGATGCATGCTTTAGGCTTGTACAATATGGAACACGGAGCCCTGAGCTGCACACTCAGTGCAGGGCAGAGAGAGGTGATCTTCCAAATATATTTCTTGAAGACAGAGCACATGAGAAAAGCAAGTGGACTGCTGGATCCCATATTGAGGGGAGATCTGGAAATTGTTACACCAGAAAACTGTGCAGCCAGGACCAGCCATTTTGGTGTCTAAAATGCAAATGGTCCCACTTCCTCTCCATTGATTAATATGGGAAGTGTTGGGGTAGTGCCCATCTCAGTGGCAGAATGATGCAGAAGGTCCCACAGTCTATCCCTGGCCTGTGCAGGTAGAGCAGTGAAAGACTCTTGCCTGAAACCCTGGAGAACTATGGGCCATTGGTGACCATTACTGAGCAAGATGGGCCAATGGAAGCTTCCTATGTAAAATGAAGCACAATCCATTGGGAAGTTCTCTTGGGACAGCCTCCTCTTGAATCTGCTCCTTTGCTTAGAAAAACTTCCTGGTGGGTTGAGCTCCAAGGGCCAGATCTACCTATCTGTCACCCTTCAAAGTGTCCAAAATTGGCTTCCTGAGGGAGCCACTCTTCTGAGGGCCAAGCAGCAAGGAACTGGCTCATCTAGTGGCAGGCTGTAGTCTCTCTGCCATATACTACCCACACCTCAGGATCCTCTTCATATGAGGATGATTAAATTATTTATGTACGCAACAACAGCAACAGCCAGAATCCTATATGTGCAGAAATGGAAGGAAGGAAGAAGTTCCAACCAAGGAAGAATGGATCTTAGAACTAATAGACTAGGCAGAAATGGCAAAATTGACAGCAGGAGTAAGAGATCAAAACAATGAACTTTTATTGAAAAGTAGAGACCCCGTTTGGACTATTTGAGGAAGTATTGTGGCCAAATGAAGTCGTGAGCAAGATTCAAAATATATGTAGGAGAAGAGAAATTACAACAATTGTAATAGAGGAAATAAGTAGGATATATATATATATATGCAACATAATGCAGCAGAGAAAGGAATTAAAAACATCATGGAGGTAAAGATGGGAAGTCAAACCGTTAAGGGAAGTACGTATTAAAGTTGAAGTTGATTTGTTAAAATTTCTTAAATTTAATAAAATTTGGGGAAGAGGCACAAATTGGCACACAGGAAATGACATGGGATACAGGAGGCTCCATGCAGCACGCACTCTGCAGCCGTTCTGCAGAGTGCCAGGATTGTGCCTATGGCAGTTTTACAGCCTGGCCCTCTTCATGGTGACTCAGGAACAAATCCAATGGATTTCAACAAATCCATTTCAGCCTTAATGAACGAAATGCTTTATATTGCTATAATCTACCTCTTTGTCACAATGAACTTGGTGAGTTGTGTTGGACCTGCTCCTGTATGTTCAACTCACCTAAGCTCATTGCAACAGAGAGGTAGAATAAAACACGCATACTTCAGGGGTGTGTGCACACTGGACGAAGACAACCAAGAGCAAGAGTGTGGAGCTGCTCCTACTGACTCAGACCATTGGTCCCTCTACTCCAGGAATGACAACTCTGCCTCTCCAGATGTTCTGCTGCCTGTGCTGGATGGAGCTGATGGGAGCTGGGGTCCATCACATCTGAAGCAGCTTCCCAGTCAGACGTTTCAGACTGCAGCATGGCCACTGATGAGGGGAGTTGGAGTCTGGCAACATATGGGGGCACCAAGTTAAGAAATGCTGACCTGGAGGGCCACAGGTTCTCCCCCCTAGCAGGTTTCCAAGGGCTCGGGTGCAGCTGCCCCTTCCATCACTCCAACCTGAGATCCTTTTTTGAAAAATGTATATGGAATACAGAGTGGAATAAGCTGCTTGTGGGGAGGATGTGGGGCAGGAAAATTGTGAATATAGAAACATCAAGCAATTTGCTTCCTCCAATCAGTTGCTCTCTTCTTGAAAAAAGAAACAGTGCTGGGGTTCTAATACACATAAATGCCCCCCCCCCCACAGCCCCAAAGCCATCATACCAGCTGAAATGGAGGAGCATGTGGAAGCATTCTTATTGATAATAATGCCCATGTCTCAAACGAAGCAAATGAACCAGAGAAACTTTTCCAAAGCTAGGCAAAAATATGTGGCTAAGTCAAAAATTGAATCCAATAGTGATGTTGCTCAGTAAGTCACCCAGTCAGTTTAATGGAATGTATATGTGCAAGGGTACAAAGTCATAGGAAGTGCAATGGGTTGCATTCCTCCAGCTGCCGCATTACCATATTTGCATACCTGGAATGAAGTTTTGTGAACATTTTAGGCTCTCACACTGGCAGGCTTTCAAAGAAGAGGAATCTTGACCCACTTTAACACCGCCCTTCAGCAAGAGTACTTCCTTTTGGTCTGGTTGACGCAAGCACTCCAGTTAAAGCTACGGCCGCTTCTCTTGGTTTCACACCCATACTGAGATTAGATGTTCCTTTGCTTTGAATAGGGGGTGCTGGGTGGGGGGTGAGTGGATGAGGCTGCCTAGGAAAGGACTCTCAGCTCAGCTCAGCTACTTATGCCCGTAAGTGATGCTCTGCTCTGCAACGGCCTTTTCTTTGAGATATCAACTAGGAAACAATGTAAACTTGCTGGGTCTTCCAGCACTAAGTAAAAACAGCAAAGTGTCTTTTGGCAGTACAAAGACTAACAGATTCCTTGTGACATATGCTTCCTTCAGCTGTAAGTAAACACCCAACTGTGAGCCCTTAGACAGATTTGCATGTTGATCTGGTTTACACAGAGCACTCACATGGTGTAAAAAAATCCTAGCAAATCCTGACAAATCTAGATTTTGAACCAAGATTAGGAGACTTCTGCAACCTCCCAGTCCACTTTGGATGTCCCTAGACTGGAGGGTTCAGGGCCATATAGAGACGGATGCAGATCAAGCAATATTTGAGGCCTCTCTAGGTCCTGGTGTGCAGCAGTGATGATACCATTGCGCACCAAGGCCTGGAGACGTTCAGGGTGTTTACATCCATGAATGGGACTCTTCCCTGCTTCACACTTCACAGTGTTTACTAGAGGTGGGAGCAAGAGGAAACACCCAAGAACATTCCATTTGTGAAGGAGAAGCCCAAAGTCCTTAGGGGAAGGTCTAAGCATCCAGTTTGTGTGCAGAAGGTACCAGCTTTAGTCCCCGGCATCTCCAGGCAGGGCGGGGAGAGACTCCTGCCCAAAACTCTGGAGAGGCACAAGTCAGTTCAGACCCTGCCAGTGGACCAGAGATCTGAGGGAGCTCCCTATGTCTCAATCTGCACAAAAACCCTCACAGTGATGAAAAGAGCCCCCCCCCCCATGCTTGTGTCTGAGGGTGGCTGGGAGAGGAAGGGCCCTTTCACAACCATGAACACCATACAGCAGGGTATGAGTTTCCAATCCAGAATTCCTATTCACTTTCCATAGATCCAGAGGACACCTGGGAAATTTAGGAAGCAGAGTTGGATCTGAATGACTGACTTTGTCTTTAAGAGGGAGCAATTCTCTGAGTGGAGAAAAGTCACACTAGGATTCCAGTCCTGTGCTTCACCTAGCAAGTATCCCAGACACTATCTTTGTGGTTCCTAAGACCATGGAAGGAATAGTGATGTTGTGCATTGCTGGTCACTATTTCAGCAGCTTGCAGGCTCATGGCTGGATCTGGCTAAAGCAGACAGGGAACCTGTGTTGTCCTCCTGATTTTGTTGGTCTTCAACTCCCAGCTTGCCTGAGCATTGGCCATAGCTGTGTTGTAGGTTGTCCCTTTGATGTGGTCCCACCTTGCTTTGATGCGATCTCTG